TTGATAAATTAATAAATTATATAAGTTAATAAATTTATTCGATTATAATTTGGGTTAGCTCAAAATATAACAAGAATCAATAAAATAATACTTAATTTTAAGAAATTTATGTAAATATGGTTTCATTAATATTATAAATTAATAATTATCATAAAAATATAATTATGACAATCTACTAAGATATAAGTATACTGTTGTATGTTCTTATTAAAATTGAAATATTGTTGCAATATATCTATAATTTTAAAATAATATTTTACAAAATATTATTAACTATAAAAAATAAAGATAAAAGGTTATTTAAAATGTATATTTGTCATTGAAGTCAACTAGTCCATTGAGCTTTAAGTGAAATAAGCCCAACAAATCTGAGTCCACTTAAAAAACTAAACCGATATCAAAGCTTAAACAACATAAATCAAAATTCAAAACATTATAGTTACGCTATCTTCATTGTATTTATGAACAGAGTAGTCAATTTGAGAGGAGTTCAGTCTCTTAATAAGTCCCACCTTGCCATTTTTAGAAAGATAGGTTTTTTTTATATTTTTGGTAAATTAGTTTGTATGAGTTTAAAAATCTGGGATATTCAATAATTTAAAAAACATATTATATATTTTAAAATCAGAAATAAAGATAAATCTTTGATAAGAAATATGGTATTTTATTTCCAAAAGTAAACAACTTCTATTTTGATAATGTTGAGTTTTAAATGGATGATATTTAAATTGTCAAGTTTTTCTCTGATTGTTATATATCTGAGCAATTGATTATAAATGATATTAAATGTAATAATTGGCAAATTTTCTATGTGGGAGAAAATTCATTTTGACCAATATGATTATATGAACAATGCTTGTGCAAATATGAGTAGAGAGATGCTTTTGTGCTAGCAAATGTAAGTTTTTATAGTGATAACTTGCTTCATTTTCATTTTACCATATAAGCATCTAGATTCGTCTGCGATTTCTTCAAATTGGCAGATGTGTTCACACCGGTAATTTGGATCACACCAGTGACTTGGAGAGAGGCTCCTCCGCAGGCCGTTTATTCTTATGGTTTGTACTTAGGTTTACTTTAATATGTAAAGGCTATTTGATAACTAAATATTTTCTCATACTATCGCTAGAAATGGTTTGTACTGGGATGCTGAAGTTAATCGTCTCAAACTTTTGATTTCTTTTCTGATGTCAATGTGTTTGAATGTTATGTGCAGTTTGGAAAAGGAGAGCCTGGAGTCAAATTGAAACCATATTCAGAGGTTAAAACAATCTTTTTCCATCTTCATGTCCATATCTTGTAGACTAGTGAATTTGAGTCCAACTCTCTTTCGTCCTGTTTAAATAAATGATTTTTTCCTCAGCCTTTTGGAATGATTAAAGCTTTGAGACTATTTTCTTCCAAACAATACCATATAATATAATATCCACCATAGCAGTCAAGAACATAATATTTTTCTTATTATCTCTCAAAAGTTTTGAGACAAGCTTTATATCAAGTATTCATCAAAGAATATTGTGTGTCTCTGAACTTGGGCAAACCCAATCGAAACTCCAAGTTTACTCTCAACGATTTTTGTTATTAGACGAGTTTATGTAGTGAAGTCTAAAACACTTGGAATTTTGTAATGGTAGATGTTAAGATTGCCTTAAAAATTTTGATCATGTTATCATTATGAGTCTGAGATCGAATACGTTTTATATATACAATTTGAATATTACGGCTTAGTATTTAGATTATTAGATAACCGAGAATTTAAGAAAAAAATTGTATAAAAAAATTGTAACATGTAGTTTGAGTTATTATGGATCACCTAATCAGCTAGTCTAACCATTTCAATACATCCTAATAATTAAACCTCATATAATAATGAAACTGCTCAGCACCTAAATCATATGAGCAATGCCCTTCACTAACTCCCATAATTTAGTTATGATTACTAAAAGCTTTAATTTCATAATGTTTTTTTTTCTTTGTTTTTTTTTGATAAACTCTATCGGTTGATCCGGTCCGCAAGTTTTCTTTTACTCTAATCATTATGTCGCTTCAAGTCTTCGACAATCATTTTGGTTGATCCAAGGGCTTCCAGAAAATCTAAAGTTCCTAACTCTTTCATAATCAGATCCTTCTCTAGCTCCGCTGCCTGTTTTTCCATCCTCTGTATGTCAAATTCTCCCACACCGTCCTGAAAAATCACGTCTCACGCTTTATATATAGCTCTCACTTTAAAAGATATTCTATAGTAACATTTTCTTGTCATTCTCATGCTTCCAACATCAAATGATTAAACATTCAAAATCAAAGCAAGACTCGGCTCTATAGCGCTCAATAGTTTGCTAGTTTTAAAAGTAAATTGTCACATAATGGCCTCACTGAAGAAAATAAAATGTAGCAGAAATGGTCTTAGAGATAATACTTGTGACTCAGAGGCAGAGCAAGCATTAATTATGATGATAGATCCCTTAAACAAAGTTTTGAAATTTCTACTTAGTTCGAGATGATAAATCTTTCAAATTCATTATGATGATAGGTCACTTAACAAAGTTTAGAAATTTCTACTTAGTTCGAGATGATAAAACTTTCTAATTCATTATGATGATAGATCACTAACGAACATACGTTTCAAAATCTCAGAGTATAGTACTTACAGATGCATTCCTCGAATTCCTTGGATAATCATGGCCTGGGTGACTTACGTGGCTTGCACTGATTGGTTTTTAGCTCTTCTTAATCTAGTTTGACTCTACGTTGACTCAACGATGAATAAAAAAATGCCAGTTTTGGGCCGTTGATTAAGGAAATGGTCGTGGGCCGTTGATCACGGAGATGCCGAAAGGTATCGTGATTCACATCTTCCGTGATTATTTTGGGGTCGAAAGCAGCAGAACACGAATTTAGGTTATCATTTATATACGTTGATAATAAATTAAGGATTACTACATAAAAATATGAACCTTTACATACATGTAATCGCAGAAAATACGGTAAATACATTTTTGCATGGACATTTCTACAAAGTGATCTTCATATTATGGGCTTATTTTCTGTAACAAAAATTTTGTGTTGTCTGTATTCATACAATTTCATATCCGGAAATCAACATAACAATTAACACCCACCGTCCCTGAGCGATATTAATTGCATTAAAACGTATATAGTAAATGTATACGTGAAATAAATAGGTAGATCATTCTCATATAGCTTTCTAATTCTAACTAACTTTGTGGCCATATCATTAAGACATTAACCCCCAAAATAAAATAACGAAAACAAAAACTTTGTGACTTACGAATACGGTCGAAATCTTCATTAATTATACGGTTGAGACCATCTTCATCAAACGGTCCAAATCCATCACGCTTCTCTTTTTTTCCGTCACGTTTCTATTTTCAAAGCTATACTTATGCTTTTTGATACTTTTTTATCAAATTAATGTGTTACCTTATATAGAATTTCCCTTAATTTACGTTGTTATTGGTGTTCTTATTATTAAGGAAATATTTATTGACTAGCTAATTGACGCTAATTAATTTAAGCTATAGAAGATGAAGACTTCACACCTAGCCCTACCAAAATTTTAAAGCTCGTATTGGTTGTAATAAGGAACTACTCAAAACCAAAAAGATATGCGAATATCGGAATAGTAAAGCATGACAACTTATGAGGAAAATTTATACACAAAACCAAAATATCTTTTTTATTGTTTCTAGCTTTTTAAGGATATTGTTTCTACAACGTGATCTCGATATTGTAGGTTAGTTTTCTGTAACAGAAATTTTGTTATTTGTGTTCAAAATACGATTTCATATCCCAAAATTTATATGATATGTCAATGTATGCGTGAAATAAATAGGTGGAGCATTCTCCTCATAAAGTTTTCTAACTAAAATGGTGGCCATTTCTCTATATATATACTGTATAATCGAATAACAACCGAAATTTGAGCTAAAAATGGGTGGACCACGTAACGAATACGATCGAAGCCTTTCATTAATTATACGGTCTCAACCATCTTCCTCACTTAAATCACCTTCCTCTTTCTATCGATCACGTTTATATTTCTTTTTCCGCATACGTATCTTCCAACGAAATTAGAACCGACAAAAAAAAGTTGATGTTGGACTTATCTCTCACCACTAAACACTAGTAGTTTTATTCATACTGATACAGTCATACTTATATAATTATGAATTACTTAAGTAGGATGTTTTCGTCACAAATTAATATCAAGAGTCATGAGTTTGTAGAGCCTCAATTTTTTACCGTGAGATGTTTTTGTAGCGATGTGTAGATGTCATCAAACTCAGTTTTTTTCATAATGTAATTTAAAAGAATAAAACGAAAGTATTTTTTGGAATCCCACATATCTATCCTAAACTTGAAATCAATCAATCATAAGACAAAATTAGTTTTTTCTTCTTGTCTTGTTGCTGAAAACAATAATGAGTTGACACATCGGTCTCTCTGCATACAAAATTTTAGTTCGTTACGTAAACAAATTTTTTTTTTGTTAATTCAGGTTAATGAAATAAAACAAGTTAACATGCATTTGACATTCTAAACTCTTTTTTTGGCTTTGACATTTTAATGATACGGTCCTGAAGAGAAAAACGGAGAAAAATGTTAATTATACACTTAATCTAGTTTTAAAAGACAAATTAGCATAGTAGAGAAATAGAAAAGTTGCTCCTCGACACTCTTAACTCTCGTATCTTATTATTTCGTCATTCATGATACACAACGCACATGCACTATGCCACTATCCGATAACTAAATTATTATTAGATGAATCATGATTCATGTACACATGCCTTTTTGGATGTAAACTTTAAATTTTGGTAGGTGTTAAGTCTTTATAACTTCTATAGCTTAAACGTATGAGTAGATTAACTAGTCAGATAATTGTTTCCTTAAAAATAAGAACACCAAAAACAATGGTAATAAAGGCGAATTCTATATAAGGTAACATTATTATGCAAGTATAAGTATTAAACCTCTAAAAGCAATGCCTATAGTTTTGAAACTTACTAACTATTACCAATAATGTGATCCCCACGACTCTCTCGTAATTAATGAAAAGCATTTAGTAATGCATACACGTCCAACAGTAAGATAGCCACCTTTCATTTATTATCTAACCATTTCTTGGCCTATGTATTATTTCGAAATATCTTTCTTTTACATGTAATATGCTCATCCATATGAATTATTTTCCTATAAAAAAACAAAAATAGTTTCATTGAGAAAAAAGAACAAGATAAATATCCACACTTGTAAGTTACAACCATGCAAAGAAGAGTCTTTTTAAATTAGATCACTCCTTTGTCTCTCTTTATTTTTGTGTACGTGTGAGAACTAATCACCTCTCAAGTACCTTCGAATCTGTGGCACTTCTTGTTTCCACTGTCGTTCGTACTTAAATTTCGACTCAAACGCATAAGAGGTTACAACACAAATAAGAGAGTTTGTATAAAAATGTCAGGAAGATTAGGAGATGAGGTGGAGTTCTCTGCGATCGATGAGGAGCAAGAAGAAGATAAAGAAGAGAGATCATCCTACTATGGAGGAGCCTCCGTACCATTCGTATGGGAGTCAAGGCCAGGCACACCGAAACACAACCACTTTTCCGATTTCTCTCTTCCTCCGCCGCTCACGCCGCCTCCGTCGTATTACTCCTCGGAGATTTTGTCAACACCAAAGAGACAGAACAAGGTGAGATCAAAACTAACTAGAATCCTGTCCATGTCTCTGTTCTATGATCTCAGGAAGAACAGTAACAGTAGCAAGAAGACGAGCAACTATGTCTCTGGGTCATCGTTTTCTTGGTCGTCTACGTCTTCTTCATCCTCCTTTTCCTCCTCGCCGCCACATTCTTTGAGAAAACCAGTGAGTCATGGTACAAAATCATCGGTTCTGTACGCTAGTGACAAAGAGCACGAGCTTAGCTCGTCGCCCACCTCGACTCTGTGTTACTCCAATGGTGGAAGAAAAGGGTTTAGTTCTTCAATGGAGAGCATGAAGAGAGCTCTTTTCTCTGTTCCTAGACATGGATCCACTGGTAAAGCTCTCATCATCGGCGACATGAACAAAGCTTGAATATAAGATAATCTATTGTGTTGTTTGCTCGTACTATGAGCTGATTTGCCTCATTGAACAGAAAGAGTATTATAATGCTTTGATGTGTGAATGTAATTGTAAGATGTATATATATATAAAGCTTGTGTTGTAAACTGGCTTTTTGTCATTTCATATCTATCTAGAACCAAGAAAGTTCGCTCTTTCCAGTAAAAAGAAGTCATCATATATTATAAACTGATAGATCTTTTGTATACACAAAGGTTGGCATGTCATGTGTTTTAAGGGATCAGTGAAGCATCCTTAGCTATACAGTGATAAGAACGGGTTATGGTATGTCATTGATATCCTTAAGATAGTTATCACTTCTTACTTAGTCTAAGTCGCTACTAGATACCTCTTCTTCTGCCAGCTCAAATGCATCGACCTCTGCAAAGTATGCTCTCTGCTGCTCGATATAATCCTTAGAAACTCCTTGACCCAAATTATCTTCCTCATTCTTGACCGTTCGCTGCCTCTGTGATGTAATCATAGACGAGTAATTAAAATTGGAGCAAATTTAAATGGTACCAGTAGGTAATACAAATGAATAATAGGAGATACAGGTTGCATTTCTCATAAAACAGCTATACTAGAGTATCACATGACAATATTCTGAAACCTGTTGAAAAAAGAAGAATGTACATGAAATCGAACTATGCGTAGCACTAGTTTTCAGAAGATGTTGTAACCGGTCAATGTTGAAACACACGATGGACTGATATACAATTTGCTAAGAGCCTAGAAACCCATATATCAAAATACGGACTACTTTTTTTCACAGAAAGACAATAGCAACACAAAACTATTAACACTTTTGATAAGTAAATAGCTAGAGCTTTCCTGAATTCACCTTCCTGGGAGCCATTTTCGAGGGCTTCGGTTTGTTTATATTTGCTGCTTGATTTGTTTTGTTCCTGTGATACAAATTTCACAAAAAGACTTACTAAAACAAAGACATGCTTGGATTTTACACAGGCCACAAAATGCTAAACAAATTTGATGGGAGTGAGAGGTTCAATACTAATAGCAGTTATTTATCATCTAGATTCCTTACTGATAAGATTCTTAATAGAACAAGCCACAAGTCAGCATCAACAAATTTAGCAGCATGTACTATGTTCTAGCCTGATTCTTCATGTCCATAGCTACCATTAGTCATACCAGATCTTATTTTCCCAGAATCCAACAATCATATATCAATGAATTGAGTTTCATACCCAGAGCTTGATATCAAGTCGAGACGAAGGCGAGTCACTGCACCAGAGGAAGATTCGTCTTTACTCCTTTTTCTCCCAGAAGCCTTCCTTCTCACCGTGTAAACCGAGTAAGGCTCAGCAACCTCCTTGACACCAACGCCTAAGCATAAGACAATTCATAAACATCAGCCTAATACAGACACAGAACCAATTGAGCAAAAAACTACCAATTGAATCGAAAACCAGCTTGATATCAGTTTTCAATCCACTTCATATTGGTGCCATTTGAATAATTGAGGAACATAGTGATGACCCAACTAAATCCCTTCCACAATAACATGAAACGTGATAATGCAAGTATGAATCTCATGTTTCTTCGTTTTAATTCCTCGAAAATATGTATATCATCACGAACCCAACAAACAAAACCCTAGAATTGCGCACAACTGAAATTCCCTCAGAAGAAGATGGAAATCGATATACTAGAACCAAATTCGACCAAACCCATTGCAGGAGAATCGATTACCCTCAACAGAGCGCGACTTCTGGGGACGAGTAGGCGCAGAGGCCGGAAAATCCAGATCGGCAGACATACGGCGAGTTACGGGTCTAACGTTCGTGGCAACAGGCCGGGAAGCGTTTCCGGCAACAGCCTCTGGTTTATTAACATCTTTGCGTTTTGAGGGACGAGAAGGCGTAGGGGCCGGAAAACCCAGATCGGCAGACACACGGCGAGTTACGGGTCTAACGCTCGTGGCAACAGACCGGGAAGCGCTTCCGGTACCAGCCTCTGGCTTATTAACATCGCTGGGTTTTGAGGGACGAGAAGGCGTAGGGGCCGGACAATCCAGATCGGCGGACGAACGGCGAGTTACGGGAATAACGCTCGTGGAAAGAGGCAGGGAAGCGCTTCCGGCACCAGCCTTTGAATTATTGGCATCTTCGGTTTTCTCCTTGAGCCTAGTTTGATCTACTAACCTCTTAAGAGAAGAAGTGAGACTCGGATTCGCGAATTTGACGAGAGAAGCGGTCGAAGAAGACGACTGTTGGGAAGTTCTAGAGACGGTGTTTGTGCAGTCTCCGAGGGGTTTCCTCTGTAATCTTCCTCCGACTGAACGATGAGCTACCATTTTTACCCGGTGAGTCGGAATATTCGGAATTGCCTGAGGTTTTGGGGGAGAAGATGCCACTCCCGATTGGCGGGAAAGAATGAGGGACGAAAGGAGGAGAAGAAGAAGAGTTCTGAAGAAGACTCGAGAGCTGGATGAAATTTGTTAGGGGGATTTTTGTTGTTTTTTTCGTAGTTTTGGGATTTTAATTTTAGAGCCCAAAATTGGCGAATTATTTAGTGGGCCGATATTGTAGTGATGAGGTGTAAGGGTGATGAACAAATTGTTAAAAATTATTAAATCTAGTATATGTACTAATTAAAATCAATCAGAATCAATTAGTATAGATCATAGATATAGACTTGGTTTTGGATAGTAAGTGTGAATCAATCAGGACTTGCTTGATTAGAGAATGTCAGATGAATATAATGGATAATCAGAATAGTCAAATGATTCACTATTTTAAACACTTGAGTTTCATAGAGTTTTCACATAGTAATCACAAAACGTTAAAAACTAGTTTTTTTAGTAATATTTTAAATGCATCTAAAGTATATAGTATAATCATTTTAAACAATGTAACAATTTGGTTGATATGATTATTACATTACCATAAAGACTTCAAATTCAAACACAAAATACAAAGATAAGGCAACATCTTAAGTCAAAAATCAAAACATCACTAGTTACATCGATATGGTTAAAAATAACGGGAAGACGTTTTTAAAAATATAGAAACATGGAAATAAAAAACTTAATAGAAAAGGTAAGTAATGTGTATGAACTTATAACAAAAGTGTACTATCTAATAAATTAAACCTTTCTATTTTTATACGTGACACATTGTTTACCTTTCTATCTATTAAAGCCTGTCCATGTTAACACTCAAATATTTTGTTATAAGTTCATAGTCAAAGTATGCTTATCTAATAAAATAAACAAGTAAACTTTTGAATGACCCCATACAGAAATGCTAAAAACTAGTTTTAGCAATATTATATAGTACAGTCATTTTACACAATGTAACAATTTGATTAATATGACTACATTATCATAAAGACTTCAAATTCAAACACAAAATACAAAGGTGAGGCAACATCTCAAGTTAAAAATCAAAACATCACTAGAATCATTGATGTGGATATATCTATTATTAAAAATAATGGAAAGACATTTTTATAATATAAAACATGAAAATAAAAACTTGATGGAAAGGTAAATAATGTCTATGAACTTACAACAAAAGTGTGCTATCTCACAAATTAAACCTTTCTATATTTATACGTGACACATTGTTTACCTTTCTATCTAATAAAGTCTGTCCATGTTAACACTCAAATATTTTGTTATAAGTTCATAGTCAAACTATGCTATCTAATAATAAAATAAACAAGTAAACTTTTGAATGACCCCATACAAAAATGCTTAAAAAATTAAGTAATTACTATAGTAGTACTACAACAAAAGATGTGTAGTACAAGAAGACCTAATAAGCCTTGTTCATTCGTTTGGTACTTGTACGTTTCGTTAGTGGAATTAAAAGTTGGTAGCCTTTTTCCACATCCGGTATAACTAACCTTCCTAAAACTTTATATTCTATTGGAATATATATGGTGAATGCACTAATTCTAATAATGCGCTCGTTTCCTTTACGCTAACTCTTTCTCCTCCTCCTCCGAATCTTTGCTTTTTTGCATTGCTATAAAAAAGCCCAGCAAGACACCATTTCTTCTCATCCTACAAACATTTAACATCTCATTATCTAATACGGACCATCGATCTCAACAGCTTCTTGTTTCGTTTCATCTAATTCTAGCCATGTCTCAGGTAACTTTGACCTTGATCTCATCTTTCGTCTCTCCGTTTCTTGGGTTTACTTCTGACTATTTGCCATAAAACGATGAAATTTATAATTTTCTGAAGAGCCAATGATCTTCAAGCAAGAACGTCTTTTCCATTTCTGATTAGCGATAAAATTAGATATTGATATATTTGGACCAGTCTAGTCCAGTTGACATGGTTCTAACAATTTCGGATTATATACAGATCGTTGTCCTCAAAGTTGGTATGTCATGCCAAGGCTGCGTCGGTGCCGTCAATAGAGTCTTGGGAAAAATGGAAGGTATTTTTATTTCTCTAATTTCTTTTGTTCCTGTTTCCAAATACGTTCTATTAATCTTTATCTTATTTTTGTTATGCCTGACTGTTGAATTCATAAAATGATCTCAGGTGTTGAGTCATTTGACATTGATATAAAGGAGCAAAAGGTGACGGTGAAAGGTAATGTTGAGCCTGAAGCAGTTTTTCAAACAGTTTCAAAGACTGGAAAGAAGACTTCTTTCTGGCCTGTGGAGGCTGAGGCTGAGCCTAAATCTGAGGCCGAGCCTAAGGCCGAGACTGAGACTAAAACGGAGGCTGATGCTAAGGCTGTTGTGGCTGATGTTGAGCCAAAACTCGCTGAAGCCGAGACTAAGCCATCACAAGTTTAAGTAATAAAGATGACGTATGAGAGGCTTCGATATCCATATTTGCAATGCTTCTTATTATCTTTTGTTTGTGTGTTGTTTGTAAGAACCTAAGAAATGCTTTCTCTAAATACCTAATATTTTAATATATAAACTTTTCATCTCTTGATAACAACATATTGGACCCATGTTGTTCCGACTTTCTTTTGCTGAATTGTCTTCAGTGTTTAAGTAAGATGAGCCAGCCTTAGGCATTTGGGACCCTCTAACCAAAAGTTTATTGTGTGGCCTATAATCAGTGTTTTGTTTAAGTTGAACTTGCAACATTTATAGGACATGGTTAAGGTGGGACTTGAACTCCCTTTCATTTGGTATTGTATAAGCCCAAAACTAATTACAATTAATGGTTTTCTTGTTTCAGACCTAGACGTGGCCTTAAAGTTACATAACATTTATGTGGCCATGAGCTAAATGCACAAGAAACTCAGGTTTGGGGCCACATAACTATCTTGTATTTTGTATGATCTAGAGGGTGAAGATGGGATTGGTTTTGGATTTCATTAGTTGTAAGATAAGGAAAGGTTTTGGTTTGGCATTAGGTTTTCGATTTGCTGCAGCTAATTTGGAGGGTGAAGATGGGATTAGTTATGAGTTTGGTAAATTGGATGCTGAAATGTGGTTTGGCAAATTGGATGATACTGATGTTGATTCCGTCGAGTGCCAGAGTTGTGCAAAGTGTTGTGATTACATAGCTTGGAAAGCATGGTGTACTTTCTATCTTTTGTCTTAGTATATATAGGCATACAAAGACGATCTAACTCAACATTATTCTTGGAACGACTAACAAAGAAAATCCTAAAAGATTAGCAACTAAAAGACTCAAACTAAAGACTTTGTCATAGTGACTAATAAGTCGTTTATTTCTAACACACAAATTTAACCATCTTTGTTGCTGGTTTGATGAAAATGCAACTAGTTTGTATCATAAAAGGCTTACTGCTTTTGAGTATTATAAAAGGTTTGGTTATCGGTTTGGTGAGTTTTAGGATAAAGATGGATTTAAGTTTGCTGATTAATTAGATGATGGGAAGGGTTTCGGTTTGCTGCAGCTGAGTTGGAAGGTAACGATGGGATTGGTTTTGAATTAATTTTCTGTCATTAATTAATCTCTTTAATGCAGTAAAAAAAATTCCTCTCTAATTATCCAATTTTTTCTAATTATATATGTGAAACGCATATTATCAAGCGCATTTAGTGAGTCATGCTGACTTCTCGCTTCATCAGATTTGTCGCAATGGCTCTTCTCACTGCTTTGTGGCTGTCTCATGGATTGCACCTAACAATAATGCTGGTGTAACTTGGCATCTCTATACAAAGGAGGCAAAACTCGTCTGACAAGGTTTTTTTTCTATCTGATCAAATCAAACTTCAGTTGAAGCTAAAGCTATCTCCATGAAAATGGTTATCCAATAGATGTCCAAATTTAACTATGAGATGTGGTTTTTCTAGGCGCTTGTTCCATCTATATCTCCCGCTTAGTAAAGGTCATGAAGCAATGGTTGATGTGGTTCCGCTACGATCAATTACTATGGATGTTCAAGATGTTGTCCGATTAGCAACGCAATCAAATCATATTTTTCTTCATATTTTTTGGTCTATGTTATATGATATAGCTATTTTAGCCAATACTGCATGTACTAATAAACAATCTTATGTAATCTATTCCTTATGTTAATACAATATAGTATTTGTAGAAAAAAAAATCCAGAATATAAATAAATAAATTTGTTAGAATAATTTTCTTATCCATAATAATTTTCTTTTTAGAAGTAATTTTCTATCTTATCTTATATTTATTTTTTATAATATAAAGTTAAATGAGTTAAATCTAGTAATTCACATAATCGTGGTAACATATAGCAATTTAAATCAATCAGATTTTAATACATATTACAAATAAAATAAAAATAAATAAAATTTAAATTTAGCAAATTATATATCTATTATTAAAACAAAATAAAAAATATAACTACTATAATATCTATAGAAAAAATAAATACTATATAGGTGGTCCTGATCAGCTTAAATACATAAGAAAAGCTCAGGTTTGGGGACACACAAATATTTGTGTATTTTGTATGAATAGTATTCTTTTTTTTTTTCGACAACAGCTCCTTATATTATTAAATTCCAAAAAATAATAGCTCAAGAGCCAGCCAATTTAAAAGAAAATTGTTTACATAAAAAAAAAAGAGAAACCTCGGGTTTGAGCGCTTTTTGACAAGACAGTCAGCCCGGATATTTAAATTGCGAGGAATAAATTCAAGAGAGAAGTCATAGAGGGAAGATTTAAGGAACTTGAATTCTTCTAATTCTTTTGCAAATTCTTTCATAGTTCTTCATTCCCAAATTTCTACTTTGATCCATTACAGAAACAATTCGTGCCAAGACTCGGAAAGCACACTCTATTATAATATCAACTCTTACAAAATTATGAGCTAATTAATATTTTGCCATAAAATAAAGTAAATTAATCTTGAAGCTAATACGCGTATACATCCACGGAAGGAGCGACGTGCTTACACTACACATATATGTTGTTGAATGGTTGGAAAGTCTTTTTCTTTTTCCCAACTTTAGGTCTTTTAGCTTTTGAAGCTATCATATCCCAAATCTCCACATTCTTATTATTTTCATTAAATTACCTTTTCTAATTATGTATGTTTAACATCATCGTTCATGAACATACTAAGCATATCCAGCATATAAATCGATGAATACATACGTTATAATAATTTCCTTATCCATAATAATTAATTAATAATATCCCATGAAGGTTCCAAGTTCCAACTAGACAACTCCTCCTAAAAAAGATTCCTTCATGACTTTATCATTTCATTTTCCGTTGTTTTATTTGCTAAATTATGCTCAACAACTATTTACAGAAACAATCATTCATGTGTCGACTTGATGATCGATTATTAACAAAATTTATATAAAAAAATATTTCCAAGAACGTAACCATCTCTAACCAACTATTGAACAATAATTTAACTACTTGAGTTCGAAGCAAGAAACTGCTCCTCCATCATCTTCCTCTGTTGAATCTTCTTCATATTCTCAAGTTTACTCCAAAAATCTGCGAAGATAGAGAAAAATTGAAGCAGAGAAGAGGAAACTACAAACTAAGAAAATTAAATGGATTGCTCAATCTGCACCACAATGCCATCTATTTTAAGACCACCAAGGAACACGATATGTGGATCATGCTACGAAGGAGCTAGAACCACTATCGCACTGCTCAAGAAGCTCGAGGGCTCGAAAGAAGATCATGACAAATTCACCGATAAGTCTACCGTCACTAATGGCTCTTCTCTTTCTTCTTCTCCTTTGTTTTCTTGCGAGGTAAGCTATCTATGTATTCGAACTTAGGTTTTTGAAAAAAGATATCAAAGTTTCTTCATTAATTGATCGGTCTTATATGAATTTTAATTTATATTCCAGCCGCAACCATTAGAGAAGGTGATAAAATGGATGAAAAACATGAAAGAAACCGAAGAGGAGCAGAAGAAGAGAATAGTCTTCTTGAGCAGCTTTGTTTCGGGATTCAAAGAACAGCTTCATGCTGATATTCTTCTAAAACCCGGAGATGACGGACCTCCGATTCCTGCACATAGAGCTCTGCTGGTAAATTCAATGATCTCTAGTCTATTTCTATATATATATATATATATATATATATATATGGCATGTATTCACATGAAACTCCATTTTATGGGATTTTCATAAAATTTATTAGCGTTTTATGTGGTTGTTTTCTTTTAAAAACATACGAAAAAGTATGTAGAAAGGAAGAAGAAAATGAATTTTAGTAAACACAAACAATGCAATCGAGACTTGCATATACAACTCTATATAAAAATGTGTGCCTTTCTATATATATAGGCTTCAAAATCCGAGATCTTTAAGAATGTTCTAGATTCAGACGAATGCAAAACCGCTCCAGAATACGCCATAACGCTTCAAGAACTAAACTCCCAGGAACTTCAAGCTCTCTTGGAGTTTCTATACACGGGTACATTGGCTTCAGACAAGTTGGAGAAGCATGTCTATGCATTGTTTGTTGCAGCTGATAAGTACATGATTCATTACTTGCAAGAGTTCTGCGAGCAACATATGTTGAGCACCTTGGACATTTCTAGCGTTCTTGACGTTCTTGATGTCTCGGATCTTGGTTCGAGCAAGATGCTGAAGGAAGCTGCTTTAGGATTCGTGGTGAGAAACATTGACGAAATCGTTTTCTCCGAAAAGTACGAAGCTTTTTCTCAGAAGAACCAGCATTTATGTGTACAGATTACTAGAGCGTTCTTGAGAGAAACGAGAAGTAAGAGATGTGACTAATTAAATTATTGAAAGATGGATGAATGTTTTATGTAATCATGTTTTTGTATGTTTTTACTTTAGCTATATGCATTGATCAAATTTTTTTTTTCTTTTGGGTAAAAGACTTTCTAATTAAATTGCAAGATAAACAACTAAAAAGCTAGTAAGGACCCACATTGCCGGAAAAGCCCATCAGGAATTGAACCAGATAGCCCATTGCTGCTCAAATCCACAACTTTAAGGTTAACGAGAGGCTCAGCAGCAAATTAGGGTTTGATGATTCCGGTGATATTGTTGTTGGACAGAGATAGCTTGTGAAGAAACTGTAGTTACTCTAGAAGATGAAGAAACAACCAGAGATCACACCGGAGCAAGAAAAGCCACCACCAAAACCAGTTGGGCTTTCGACACTCATTTTATTTGGGCCTTTCTATTTTGTTGGGCCATTGATTCTGAGACGAGGTGTCTCTTGCCGATTAGAAACAAAACAAATTTGATTAACAAAAGAAAAAGACAAAAACAAAATTGCTCGCTAGAGTTTAAACCAATACAACTTTTTTAACTTCCTTCTCCTGATCACTGTTTATTTTTTAATTACAAGAGGTAATGTTATTTTATTTCTTTGATTACGTTTGTATTAGCCTAATAGTATTAGGCCAATGGAACGAATTCCTAATTGGTTTATACTTTGGTTTTCCTTTTCATTAATCGTCTTTCGACTCTTTATATATGCATATCATGGCTTTTTGGACATGTTTCGTCTCCTCATTGATCTATTCGAGTTTCTTTAGTCATAAATCCTAATTAGATTATAATATTTGGTTTTCTTAAAGTATCTCTCATTCGTTTGCTTGTTTATAGAGAAAACCATATAGGTATGGCGAACATGGATCTATTCCACGATGGATTAGTGAAGATCTTGAAAGAAAAATACCATCCCGATGTAAAGTTTTTGGCTGGCGATGATGATCACGAAGATCCTATCCCCGCCCACAGAATTATTATGGTATGCCAGTTTCAAGTATTTTTATTGTTTCGATTATAATAAATAATAATTTCCAACTATCAAAAACGTCTCAATAGTTAAAATCCAATATTAAGTAAAATTTATGGCAAACTGATATAGTGATATTTATATTATAGGGCGCAAGATCAGACTTTCTGAAAGAGTTATGTGAGGATAATGATTATTATAAGGAGAAGCCAATCATTCTCTACGAAATGAACCATGAAGAACTAGAGGCTTTTGTCGAGTTCATGTACGTGGGAGACTCCATACAACCCGAGAAGTTGAAGAAACACGCAAGGTCGTTATATCTTGCAGCTGATTTGTACAAAGTTCCGTTATTACGAGAGCTTTGTAGATACCAACTTATGTCTTCACTTAACACGAAGAATGCTCTTGACATCTTCGAGCTCTCGAAAGATGATCCTCATGAGAAACCCCTCCACGACAAAGCTCGGGGTCATGTTATAAGTCACATGAAGGAGATTGTTTTAACTCAAGAGTTTAAATCGTTCGTCGAGAGAAATCCAAGTCTAACCGTGGAGCTGATCAGGGTTCTTACATTGCACGGAGGAGCGGGCAGAACATGCCCGTAAAATATAGAGTAAAGTTGATTTAACCATTAAGAACTTAAACGGATTAGTTAATGAGAGTCATACAGATGTAAGTTTAAGTTCTTAATGGTTAAATTTAAGACCTAAAATCTTAGTTTTCTTTTTTGGTTTCTTTGGAATATAGATGCAAGTTTTGTTAATCAAAGTGTTTTGGGCCGGAGAGGATGTATATATATTCGAATCAAAGAGACGTACAATTGATTTTTTCTTGATTTTTTTAAAGAAATATAAATATAGATATAGAGAGAACCATGTGATCTTTGATCTGGTCTTCACCCTTTTGAACCGTGGCTATTACTCCAGGTCCTGACTGCCTCTGCCACTGCCTGCCTCACTGTTTCAGCATCCATGCTTACTCCATCATCATCCTGGAGTTAATTTAGATTATATATAAATTAATTATCTATAAAGATTAGTGATAATTACGATGAATGGAAATATTTAATGATGATGAAGGAAACTAGTTTTTAATTACATCTGATGAGCCAATGGCATGCAAGCTAAAGGAATCCGTACATGAAACCCTAGCTTCAACAACTTCGAGTCCAAGTGTCTCAAAAGCTTCAAGAACACAAACCAAGATGCCTGCTTCATTCTTCCCTGACATTACCTTTATCATGAACCCCTTCTCTAGGGTTTCCGCTGTAACCTATCAGTAAAAAAAAAACCAAATCAATTGAAGCTTATGAACGTAAATGCGTCAAAGACATATGTTTATATATACCATGGGATCGGTAGGATAATATTGCTCAGACGTGGTCTCATTGTTGATTTTTTCGACTTTCTGCTTAAGCTTTTTTATATATTTGGATGCATCCACTATGATCGATGTTTCGCTCTCCTGCAAAATGTGTGCATTTGCCTATCAATGATATGGTTGAGTTTAGATTCTCAAAGAGTTTATATAGTCCAAGAAAATTTCCCATTTCAATTATCATATTTTTGGCTCATTTATTATGTATACTTGTTATAATAAATATATATATATATATATATATATATATATATATATTCATTATGGTTAGAAACGAATCAAGTAACTACAAGTCGAGGATAGACAAAGAAAAAAATTTCAATAACAAATCAGCAATCGTTTAGTTAAAATCTAGAGTAAATTTTGATCTCTAGTGACTGTATATAGAGATAGAGATCACAGTTGAATTGGAGTGTGTATAGGATATGATCTAAGGGAATATTTATAATTTATGGTACACATAAAAATAGTAGGACTGAATTGACTTATAAATTTAGAAGAGATGGAATCGTCTGAAAATAAGGGGGAAAAAAGTTTAAAAAGAGTGTGGTGGAATCTAATTACAGCATGAGAGTTAGTGATTGAACGAAGCAATTGAAGCTTCTCACGCAGAGAGGAATCTCTCCTCGAAACCATTCTTCAATGCTTTAGCTTCTTCTTCTTCGGTTTCTCTTCTTTATATATAGAGTAAGAAAGAGGAATTAGAGATCTGAGCGTCTTCAATGTTTATAGGATCCTCTCGTCTCTCACATGTTTGCCTTATAGTCTCTCTTCATCGCTACAAAATGTGATATATACGGACAAATCCGTTTGGTATCTCGTGAATTACTTGATTGCCTCTATGTCTAGTAACACGTTACTCCATATTATATTATATATTTTTTATAATATATACGCGAGAATACTTACGAACGTGAATATTTAAAGGAATAAATTCGTTTTTCTATTTCTTTCCTTTGCACGTGTGAGGGTAATTTTTGATGTACTGTAATGATCAAACTTTGTAGAACCAAACGGAAAGCAATCATAATGTAAATATAGGAGGAATACAGTCGATTTTACATTGGAATTTCAACATGACCTTCAAGATCATATATTTCTTTATAAGAAAGAAAAAAAAAACATGTCGCATACATAACTTTGAAGAGCGTCTTTCTTCATTCTTTTTTTTGTGGATCTCTCATAAAGATGAATTTGATTAATCATCAAACTTATGTATGCGACGACATGGTTTTTCTTTTTTCTTATAAAGAATTATATGATGTCTTAAATTGAAGAATAAAAAGATGTCATATTTTTCTTTCTCAAACTCATCTTTTAAAAATGTAAAAAGTCAGACCTATTGAGAGAATACCTAGCTTTTTGGGGTGCCTTTTGTATATTAACTATGAATTACAATTGAAGGAAAAAATATATTGCATTTTATATGCCTTCAAATGGGTAACTACTGTATATAAGGAAATATAATGAAAGGAATATAATAAGATAAGATGAATAAAAATTGTTTGGTTCATGTTTTTCCTATTTGGAAACAGATTATCTTCATTTTCTAACAGGTGTAATTCTGTTATCTATAGTTGTGTGTATACATGAATTTCACAACTAAATGAAGATACATCTATCACTTTAGAGTTTCAAGATACAACTACGATCCAATTTCGAACCACAAAGATTCAAGTTCATTGAATACCAGTGACCCGTTCAATTTTGCTGAGCATTGATCGTATGCTTTTAATCTACATGTATTTTCCTTGTCTCTCCTTATATGATCTTGAGACTCTTGAACAATGAACTCTTCACAGGCTTATATAAGGAGAGGGCAAAAGTATAAACGAAGAGTGCAACCATGAGCTCGTGGTGGAGGAAGAAATAAAACTGTAAAATATATATCAATACCTATAGTAATAAATATTGAAACAGGAGCATCGAAAGAAGTGAAAGAAGAGGATAAAAGCAAACAGAAGAATGTTAGTTGTGATTTTGGAATGCCTCCAAACACTCCTCACGGGGATCTTTATGAAATCCCTCATTTCTCTTCACGATATCATCCAATCTACTTGTTGCTATAGGGAAACAGCAAAGATATTTCATCGTATACACACATTATTCTTGATTACTACTATGCACGCCTACTAAAAAACATATCCAAAAATGTACATGAGGCTTACGTGTAGTGTAAGCGCGTTAAAATATATCTTAATTCTTAAGGAATGTGATCATTAGAGAATATGGAATTGTCTATATATTCCACAAGGACATACAAAAGTACCCATCAATTCACATGTGTACCGATTAATCATCACCACAAAATAACACTCTACACAATAGCTAGACAAGACCCTTTCCTCTCACGTATAGCCTCACTAGAGATCCTACTATTTATCTTCTTTAGTTAATTGTTTAATCTTTATAACGATAGATATTTAGGGTTTTAATTGCTCGGTTTTGCCAAAGAAATGGCACTCACGTGACTTGCTCTTCGGGAAGTACATTCAAATTCACATGCACAACTTGACGTTATAAAAAAAGTTCAAAAATCAATACTTATTAATCTCTAAAGTTGGGAAATAAATAGTTTCGCTGCCCGTAGAGAGTAGAGTAGAGAGAAAGGGACGTGAGCGAGAGAGTTTTGGACATCAAAAGTTCTTATGCAAAGGCGATTGTCTCTTCCAATATTCTCTAATTTCTACAAGAATATACATCTCTACTACTGTGTACTAATTGGTAAACAGACGAATGATAGATGATAACACACTACAAATAATTTATTTGCCCACCACAGTACTTAAAAGTGATAAAACTGCATAGTATTTAAATTACTGTAAGTGAGTGTTAACAGTTTCCTTAAAGCAGTTTTTTACTAAAAGTTTTTTTTTTTTTTTTTAATACTAAAAGTTTAAGCATTACAAGTCAACTTTCTTAAAAAGGGATTCATTACCAGTCAAATAGTTTACTAAATAATTTTCTTAAATATCCGCAGTGAAAAACACAATCTTACGACACGTGACTACGTGAGGTTGATACAAGTGTGGACTTTGGTTAGTTTTTTCCTTTTTTAATTTTTTAATAAAAAGACTTTGGTTACTTACTTAGTTGCAGAGAGAGATAGAAAAATAAAAGAGGAGGGTCGAGAAAAAGGATGATTATGCGCGGTGTATGTTAATGTCACAATGTTTCTTTGTTGTAAACGAATGCCAAATGTTATTTCATTTTGAATAACAGTCACTTCACACAAACAAGAGGGTTGGCTTAGAGATGAATGTAATCATTTATCAAAACTAATAAGGGACTAGTATAAAGTATAAACTATTTCATTTTTTCTTAATTTATTAATTATATATATATGTCCTTTCTTCTTATTTCCTGCATATTATATCTGTAATAAAAAAACAAAATATAAGAAGGTCTCGTGTTTGTGACAGCTATATTTCCTTTGTCTTTCTCTCCATATGTATTGTAATCCCTTGTCCGAATCAAATATCATTTCATGACACCTAAATGCACATATTCATAATATTATGATTTTAACAAAAAGTGAAAAATCCAATGCAGAGGCTACTAGACTCAAACCAGGTCCACGTGTGAAGAGATCATTAGATGGCTTCCATTGTTTTAGGGAAAAGGTTCCTGTTATACTTTTAACTTCGGTAATTAGTTTCCATTGACTTACCTTATATATATTATATATTCTATGACTAATATATGGTTATAAAATCTTTCACTGCTTTAATCCACAAATATTTACTGGCATGCTGCATTGTCCATGCATGTCTCTCTCGTTACATCGGAGTTAAAAAGACAACTGCATTAGTTAAACTCCGAGATGTGAATTGAATTCGCATGGACTGTAATTGAAACTTTAGAAAGGACCAAAAGGACAAAATAAACATTGAAAACATATCTTAACAAGAATGTACAAAAACAATACCCATTCCATCTGCCCCACTCTCTTGTTCTAAGTGACAAAAATTATCTTAGAGAATTAGGTCACGGGGGCGGCTTTGTGCTATCAAACATCACTCCTTGGTTTTTCAATTTTTTTTATATTCTATTTTGCACATAGCATACAATATACAACTGAAGAAAATATCTGAGATAAATGTTCCATTTTTTTTTGTTTTTGTAGTATTTGGGTTTTATATACGTTGTGTTCTTTCACTAAATTTAGACAGTAAAATCATTCTGAAAGAAGAAGGAAACAAAAAAAAATCATTAAGCCCTCCAACAAATATATCACTATGAACAAAATTCATAAATTCTTCAGGCCCATAAAAGTTTGAACTTGAAAGCACAAAGGCCCATTATGTATAGTTTGGGCTCTCTTAAAGCCCAAATTGTTTCAGTTTCTTTCTCCTCCTAAATACATATTCTATCAAATTACATTAAAGTTAACTGAAAATTTGGTTTTTACATTTCAGGACCAAAGAACATCATCATCGGCAGAGAAGAAGAAGAACACGAGGAAGATCTCAAGCTTTGATAAGTCATGCGAATTCTCGCTGCTCGCGTAGCTAACGTAATTGACGAAATTCTTCTTATGTGCCTTCGTTTTTTTCTTAAAACCCATCAATGGCTTAACGGGACTTCACCACCGATTCGTCTGAAATCTGAAGTGAAAATTTGCAGCATTTTTGCAGAGGAAGGGATGCGTATCCTCGATCTCGTAATTTCTCATCGTTGACAAAAAAAGGTGCCTCTTTTTTTTTCCTCTGTCTTCTTTTCTCAATCACATCGTCTCGTGGGCTTAGAAGAAAAGAGTGAAATCTTTTGATTTGAAAAATCTGATGAGTTTTGGTTCAGTAGTAGTAGCAATGAGATCCATTCTCATTTCACAGTAGTGAGAGTCTCTATTTCAATCCGGATTATCACATTTGATTGTAGTTTTTACTCCAAAGTGGTTACTTTGTTTGATGGATTAGTAGTTTACTCTTAGATTTAGTGATGAAAGAGAAAACCTTTCTTTAAGAACAAAGGCATAAGAGTAGAGAGGAGGTTTCTGCAGAGTGTGAATTGGACTTCAACAAAGAAAAAAAATGGAAACTTTGATTTGGGTTTGCTGATGTTGCTTCCATTTGCTAGATGATCTTACATTGGAGGAAGAAGCTGAGAGGAAAATAGGCTGGTTGCTGAAACTTTTCTTTGCTGGGACAGCAACGTATGTCGGATACCAGTTCTTCCCTTATATGGGTATGTGAATCTCTAGTTCAAATCAGCTTTTTAACGTTTTCCGATTGTAAAAATTTCTTCTTGTATGCTTTAATTGTCACTTTCTGGTTTAGGTGATACGTTAATTCAGCAATCAGTCTCGCTTTTACATGTGAAGGATCCCTTGTTTAAGAGAATTGGAGCTTCTAGGCTTTCCCGTTTCGCCATTGATGGTATAGTCTCTGGAATAGCTCAAATTACTCTCTAATGGATATTACTGGTTGAAAGAAAAGGATTTGGTTTTTTTACTTTACCAGTGAGCTTGTTTCTTGCTGATATGTTGTAATTATTTGGTTTGGTGTATAAAGATGAAAGGAGAATGAAGGTTGTGGAATTGGGTGGGGCTCAAGAGCTTCTACATATGTTGGGTGCTGCTAAAGATGACAAGACAAGGAAAGAAGCTCTAAAGGCTCTCGCTGCTCTCTCTAAATCAGGCAAGTCTTGCTTTTAACACATTATACTTCTTATTTCTGCATCTGCATATGGGTTCATTGAACATAAGCATTTCAGGACTGTGAACTCTTTATAAATCTTCTTGAGCAATGTTTTAAGCCAAATGCATCTGGATTTTTGACTCATCCTTTTGCTTGCAGATGAAGCTGCCACCTTCTTGGGATCTAATGGAGCACTCTCTATCGTCAAATCGACTCCAGATTCCTTGGAAGATTCAGACATTTCAACTTACAAGTCAAACATACTCAACAAGCTAGATGAGAAAAACCTCGCCGTCTCTTCCAACTGAGGTTCTCTTTACAGAAAGTGATAGGTCGAGATTCATGAGTGTAAGGCTTCTTTATGATCCAAGATCATTCGAGCTTCTTCTATACTCAATGCTGTATGATTCAGATGTCCTTTGTTCAATTGGATAATGATTAAAAGTAATTCAAGGAATAAGTTTTAAAGAAACTGTAACATTTTTATCTTTCTTTCTCTGATTTAAGTAGCAACAGACATTGCATTTTCTGACAAAACCTACTTCACAAAGATACATGTATAAATACAAGGAAAATCTAATAATTTTACAGATTTCTTTGAAGTGATCATAGAGGGGACTGTTTGCAAAAACTTCTTTCAACGATCAGTTTGCTGTGAGGCTGTACAAATTCGTCGATATAGCGATGATGCTAGTGGCAACAGCAAGAACAAGCATTATTGCAGCTACCATCTTCTCTCTTGAAGTCGATACACCATGGACATTCCTGCCATTTCAAAAATCAGAAAACACCTGAATTAAAGACTTTGCGGGAAACATAAAGCATCTGATAAAAGTATACAGTAAAGGAATCAAAAGCTTCTGTGTTACCTTAAAACAATGGCGGCTGGAAATATGAATGCTATGGAAACTGTGGTGGTTGATCCCAAGAACTGAAAGAAGTACCAAATGTCTGGCACAGCGATTGCAGACAAGAAACAGCAGATCAGTAGAGCCAGAGTGAGTCCGACGAATCTTTTCGAGTCTTTGGCCAAGGACGGCTTCACGGGGAACAAGAGCTCGTCCAGGTTTGCTCTCAGTGAGAAGTTCATGAGTGGAAAGACCAGCATGAGGTGAAGCGCGTAGCTGAGTCTGACGATGTCATTGAGAAGAGAACCAATGGAGGAACCAGAGCTCTGGTCAAAGTTCACTAGAATATCCGACATTGTTGCGTCTCCGAAAAGGAGATACCCGAAGAGTCCAGTGGCGAAGTAGATCGCAGCGCACAAGATGACAGAGATCTTAGTTGCTGGGATCACATGTAATGGATCCTTGAGCTCGAACCCAATTGGATGAACTGCACAAACAAACTCAGAAACATGAGAAAAAAAAAACAGAGAAACAAGTACCGATTTGGTGTGTAACTAAGAGATGGGTTCTTGCCATTGAAATGAAACGTGAAGGCTGTAACTATAACAGGGGAAGCTGTGAAGAGATTCCAGAAAGATCCTCCATTGTTCAGCTCTGGGAACAGTCTTGGATTCTTCGTTTCCCCTTTCATCAACGCGGAAATCGCCAGCACCGAGCTTATTACCACAAATAGCACCGCAAGCAGAAACGATACCGCAGAACTAAATGCCAGTCTCTCTACAAAAAACCATTTACAGAAAATCATCATAAAGAAATTTTTTTTTTTTTGGAGGAAATCAAGATTATATATGTTAACATTGAAAACTTACCCACACGCCTGCACAAGACCAATGGAAGCAAGACGAAGCCGTAGATGAACAACAAAGCGAAGATCCTCGTGTTCCACCAATGAGAACCAAACCATTCTTGCAAAACTCCAAAATGTTCAGATCCTCCATTTTCATTACCCGAGAGAACATCTCCTGAAAGAGAAACCACAAAGTTCCAAACTTAGCAATCTGTTCTTTTAGTTCTTGAAATGGAAACCTCTCCAGTTACTGTATCGAATTACTTTACCTATGATAATCGAGAAGATAACCATACAACCAAAAGTGGCAACCATTGTAGCAATCTGTACAGCGACGGATCCTGTTTTCCCGAACGACTCTTTCATGACTCCGGCGTAAGTAGTCGATTCTCCGGCGAGGGTAGATTTCATCAGAAATCCAACAGAGATTGTAGAGAGCCAAGCTATGATCGTGATGATCAAAAACGCCGGGATGACTCCGAGAACCTTAAACGCCGCCGGCATCGACATTATACCGGCTCCGATTATGCTCGTCGAGACGTTGAAAACGACGCCGGAGGTAGATCCATGCTTCTCAGACGACGGTTCTTGCTTCGGCAAGAGATGAGTTTTGATCTGAGGAGACATTTTCTTACCGCCGGAGAAACTTTAAAATTTGCCGGCGGGAAGAAGAATTATTGTCTGTGTTGTGTTTTTTTTATTTGTTGTCATGTGTGACACGAGGAAACGGCTTCATATAGCCACACGGTTAAACGTTGAAAGTACACAAATACCCTTTGAAATTCGACAGTGCTTCGAGCATCTCTGGAGGGTAAAATCGGGATAATGATATATGATCATTGGAGACCTGACAGGCTGGTCAAATCACATCAGAGATATCACCAAGTGATCTTTCGTCACGTACCTAAAAACATATAAACAATACAACAAAAAAAAAAAATTGGTTCGATGAAATAAGAAAATACTATTTTTTCATTTTGTTTTTCGTTTACCAAAAAATAAGAAAATACATATGGGGCCAGTATCCACTTGGACATTTTCGGGAGGAATGAATCATTCGCTTTCATCACAAATGAGAGTGAATTTAGACGGAAAAGTGGCTTAGAAGTGTATCACCGCTTCTAGTATTTACATTTTATATAATTTAGTAAAAGCTCTCCCAAAAATCATTTTGAAAAGGATATAGACATATAATAGTATAAACTTAAGGCGGCGCCAAATATGCTCACGTGTAGAAATTAACTTAGAAGCAGACGTTTTGAGACTTTTTCATCAACAAAACGAAACGGCAGCGATTGAAGAATTGGTTACGTGATAGTTAAGGGAACTAATAAGAAATAAACACTTTCATAATCCCTCGCTTCTCCTTTTAAAATTTTCTATCACATGAATCAATCTCTCACGAATACTACCAACTATCAAGTTAGCCTGTGGTTAGCAATTAGCAGAATAGTATTTGTTTCTAAGTATGGTTACTGTTAGTCAGAGTTTAAGTTGGCATTTTCTTTTGTTGGTTTAGTATACATGTATCTGGTTCATTAAGTTGAAAGTATACAAAAACGTTTATATATTTTCAACTTAAGTTAAGTATCCAGGTGATCCTTTTGCATTTAAGGTTGTTTATATGTATATTTCCAGTTTAATGAACCAAATACAATGTGTTCCGTTCATATACAAAATCCAAATGTGTTATGTCCATTTTTGGGTTAATTAGTAGTTTATCTCAAGGGTAGTTTATTGGGCATTTCGTTAATGGGCTCAATTATAAGCAAAATACAAAGGCCCAGATTCTTTATCTGGTCTCTCTCCATCAAATAACTGTGAAAGTGACGACAAAGTTCCGAATAACGCGTCAAATTTGGGCTTTTAGAAGATTAAGCCCTATATCTGAAATAAACATATTCGGCCCACGTAAATCGGTTGAAAAATCTTTCCCTTACCGAAGTTTGTCTGATATTTCGCTCCCGATCGATTTCTCGTATCTCAATTTCAGCGAAAATCCGTCGAAGCAAATTCTCTCGAGGAAGAAAGGGCAAAACATTTTCGAGAACAATCGGACGCTGGGGAGGTAAAGGAAGCACACCATCGGAGGTGGAACGGAGTTAATTTTCCAAGTCAGAGTTGAAGGAAGAAAAATGGGGGATCATCTGGTGAGAGCGGAGGAATTTGAGAAGAAAGCCGAGAAGAAGCTCAATGGATGGGGAATATTCGGATCTAAGTACGAGGATGCTGCCGATCTGCTCGAAAAAGCAGCTAATTCCTATAAGCTTGCCAAATCATGTAATCTCCTTTTTCAGCCGACCTTTTTGTGCGCTTGATTTTCGTTTCGTGGATTTTTTATGTTTTCTGAGAAATATATATGATTATGAGGAAGAAATTGAAACTTTTGATCTTAGGTTATGAATTTACAGTGATCCATCCATGGTCATGGCAGAAGTATAGTCATTGGGTTTAGGTTATGAGTTACAATGTTGAGAATTTGTAAACTAGTAAAGATTCTACATTCAGATTTCTCGATGATGGTTTTTAGCCTTACAGAGTCATTGATTAAGTTGCCGATTGGGTTCTATTTGATTGATTTTTTTTTTTTTAATGGGTTTATGTTTTCTTGATCGTTGTTCGATTCTCTATCAGTATATCCTGCTAATGTGTTAATTTTATGATTATTCAGGGGATCAGGCTGGAAAAGCTTATTTAAAACTTGCCGACTGTCACTTAAAGGTACATATTCTTTTAGCTTCAAACATGATTGTGTTGAAACTATTATGTATACGATGATAACATTGATGTGCATCTGCAGTCGGACAGCAAACACGATGCTGCTAATGCCTATGCCGAAGCTGCTAAATGCTACAAGAAAGTTAACACAAATGGTATGTAGAGGTCACTGGATTATCAAGCTCTTTGTGTGTTTTTCTTTTCTCTATGTGCTTGTGTTTCGTGTCCTAAAATAACCATGATCTTATATGCGCAGAGGCTGCATCATGTCTAGAGCGAGCAGTGAATATATTCTGCGAGATTGGAAGGCTCAACATGGCTGCCAGATATTACAAGGTACCATATGTCTCTAGTATAGATACTGAATGAATAGAGTTACTAAGGCACTTCTTTGGTACTCGTACTCCCTCTAGTGCCCATGTTTCCTTTTTTGAATGTTGGATCCAGTGTTTTTTACAGTGTAGTAAGATTGGTGTGGATTTTTTGGTTTTTTTTTTGTGTGTGTGTGTGTGTGTGCTAATAGGTACAGTCATGGTTTTGTACTTTTGACAGGAAATTGCTGAGTATTATGAATCTGACCAGAAGATCGACCAGGCTATTGCTTACTTTGAAAAGGCAGCTGAATTTTTTCAAAATGAAGAAGTTACCACTTCTGCAAACCAGTGCAATCTAAAGGTGGCACAATATGCTGCCCAGTTGGAGAAGTAAGATTTTTTTTTGAACCGTACCTCTTTTTTTGCTTCCTCGCGCCTACAGTACTCAGCTTGAACCTCCTGCCTTCAATTTTTTTTATGGCCCATCAATAAACTCGACATTGGTAGCTTTTTGTTTACTTTGGGATGGGTTGGTTGATATGGACGTGGTGTATATTTGACAGTTATGAGAAGGCAATCAAGATTTATGAAGAAATAGCACACCATTCACTCAACAACAACTTGCTTAAGTATGGAGTTAAGGGCCATCTTCTCAATGCTGGCATGTGCCACCTGTGCAAAGCTGATGTTATTTCCATCACTAATGCGCTGGAGAAATATCAGGTTCGTCTTCTTCCACAGAAAACACTCGTTAGATCAGCATTCTGGTGTGTTCCTTGGGAGTAACTATGGCATGACTCTAACTTTTACTTTTCTGCAGGATCTGGATCCAACTTTTTCAGGAACTCGAGAATGCAAATTCTTATCGGTAAGGTTTAAAACTGAGTGTTATGGTGATTATGGGAGTATATAGCTTACATAAAGTATGTTAAATTTTATGCATTAATTTCCATGAGCAGGACCTTGCTGCTGCTATCGATGAAGAAGACATCGCAAAGTTCACAGACGTTGTCAAGGAATTTGATAGCATGACTCCGCTGGTACGGACCTTATAATCGGATACAAAAAATTGAATAACATTGTATTTCTTACCTTTCTCTGATCTTCATCATGGATTGTGTAACTACGTTGCAGGATTCATGGAAGACAACGATGTTGTTGAGGGTGAAGGAGAAGCTGAAGGCCAAGGAGCTTGAGGAGGATGACCTTACCTAAACATCTTTATCCAGAGCTTTGCTTACTTATGATTGCTGGTGTGTATCGTCCATTATGTTCGTTACTCCATATCCTACTCTTGGTTGATTTTATTGTGTCTGGTTTTGAGTTTTTAAGGTTTCTTAAGAGGTTTGGTCAAAATGGGTTTGTTTGATGTCAGTGTCTACATTTGTTCTGTGTCTCACATTACATCATTTATGGGAACTTCTCAAGTCAGATTTGCTTTTGTTCAAAGATTTGATTTTCGATTGTTTGTTGGCATTTGTTATTATGTTTACATCTACTTAATAAAAGTTTGTGTTCTTTCTTACGAAGGATCAGACATTTGAAATGAATGTTATTTTTCTGCGATTACGCTTCACTATGAATGAAAACAAAAGCACTGTTACAATAGAGATTTTGTAATCTCAACTAAAATGTGTGATTTTCTGAGATATCAAAAAAAATATTTAATTATGGACGTTACATTGAAAAAGACGTACCCATATCTTGAGAAATGAATATTGTGTGAACAAAGAAAGAAAAATGTTGAGAATACATGCATGATGCATACAAACACCGATAAATTGTGGAAATGACAAAAGAAAGACTTTTAAGGACCAGAAGATATATATCTAAAAAGATAACAGTACTAACACCAATTCTCATTGTCATCGATCATAACAAGCAAAGCAATGATAAAAGCATAGTCGACCTCCGGATTTACTCTCACCATAAAATTATATTTCCCTTTGCAGAAACTTCCCCATGTAAACTTATGCGTCACCTGCAAACATACCCCCAAAAACGCAAAAAAAAAAAAAAAAAAACATTTCACTTCTTTACCAACAACGTGTAAAAAAAACGCCACAAGTATATTATTAAAAATGTGTTTGAAACATTTTTACCCCTACCCCGGCGATGAGAGCATCCGATTTGAAAACTTTGAATGAGATATTGGAGTATCCACCTGAAGCATGAAAGTCACAAGTATTGGTCTTCTTAACATTATTGTTCTCAGGCAAGAAAACATCCACAGATGTTTTCAGCGACACCGCTTGAGATTGCTGTGCCGTGAACAGCAAGTCTTCTCTCTCTTTGCTCTCTCCTCCATGCACTTCCCACTTGCTCTTCAACGTTATTCCCTGTACACACACACACACATATACACAATCTCAAGAAAGATTCTTTGTTTGTTTGTCTGCGTCTATGGCGGTTTTTTAAAAATTGAATACGTTTTGGTAAACCTTTTGGCGCATTGTGAGGATTGTGAAACCAGCCGGATCACGCATAACCCTTTTACGGTTAAACCCCCAAGCTTGTCCATCGATTTGAAGGAGGAGATTGCCGCTTGGATCAAACACTTGGTAGTTATCTTTTGAGAAGTTCTGAACTTTCCTCTTCACCATTAGATCCATTGGGTTCGGATTACAGAATTGATCGCTCACCACGCTTATCGTAGGATCTCCTACTTGCCATTCTGTTTTCTTATTCTTCGGCATTGATTCTACTTTGTAAATAACTCAAGAAGAAGATTGCAAAAGATTATGAAAGGCTCTTGTTTAAGAGCCCTTGATAATCCTCTTTATGATGAAGAATTATATATAAAAAAGAAAACTCTGTTTTTTTCACATTTTTGTAGCAATATATCTCTATCTACTAGGAAACAAATTTGCAATTTGGCAAGATTGGATTTTTTTTACTTTCTCTGGTTATGGAAACAGAGTTTTATTCTCACCCCTTGATTGTTAAACCCAAAAATAAACTAATTCTTTAAATTTAGAAAAAAAAACAACTATGCAAACTCTTATTTTCCTGGTTTAAAGAGAGATTCTCCATTGCCAATAACTTTATATGTAATACATTTACACATACAGCTCTTACAGTTACAGAAACAGATCACATGTTTTACAAATCACAATAATCATCAATCGAATAATATTGTTACTTTTGTTATCGAACTGGACTTTACATAGAATACAAGAAGGTATCAGTTTCCTCCACGTTTGTTCTTTCTCCACTCCCATGGCTTCTCTGGATTTGTAGATGACCACAAACCTATACGCTTCTCCTTAGCCTCATTTTCCCACTGAACTCAAACACCAAAACAAACGTTAAACATCAGAAAGACTTATTCAAAGAAACTAAAGAGACTTTTACAAAATCTTGCCTTTGCAAGCTCTGCACGCTTGTCGTAGGCTACATAATGCCATGCAAGACCTTTCTTCAACATGACTTCTTGAACAAATTTTCCATTGCAGTATATATCTCCTACACATCTTCCATAACGATCCTCTTCATAAACCAACACTTTCAAGATTTTTCCTTCAACCATCTTAAGTAGCTCATCATGCGCCTCTTTTCCAAAGGGCATTTTACTTTCCGGTGAATCAATTCCCCTGTTTTCAAGTTGTTCTTAGAAAAACTCACAAAATAGCTTTGATTCAAAGAGATTTAAGATGAGAGTGTGCATTTTTACCTTAGTCTAATTCTAAACTTTTTAGCAAGCACTTCTTCATTCTGATAATTTATCATCCTAAATCACAAGATCAGAAAATGGTCAGAAGAGTTATAAATCTTGTTGTTGTGAAGCATATAAAAAAAACACAAACCTGTAACCAGAAGCTATGATCTTCTTGTGAAGTGCATCTGCTTCTGTATAATTCTTCTTCTCACGCGCTTTCGCTCTTTTAACCGCTGCAAGACTCACTTCCTTAGGTAGTGTAGAGGACACAATCGGGTCTTTGCTACTAACATACACAGTAACAGTATCTCCATCTGCCACAGATTTTTGATCCACCTTATTTCAATTAGGACATTTGTTTATCAGCAACATTATCCTCAATAATATTCCCAAACTAATATAAACCAACTAAAGATTGATGATATGTGTTTCTAACCGGAAGCGTATGGAGCTCAAACCGAACACCTTTAGGTGCAGAAACATGAGATTCAGTGGAGACTTCAACGAGATTAGGAGACAAAGGGAGTCTATAGAAAGACAAAAGCCCCTAAGAAATGTAATTAACAAATAAAACCAGATTAATAATCTTTCCAAAAACTCATTAAGATTTTCGAAAACTTGGAAACATAATTAAAATACCTCAACATCGGCTTTTTTATGACCCTTCAAAGTCGCGATAACAAGACTTGCGGCTTCATCAGCGGTCTGAGGCCGAGGCTTAGCTTGCTTCCATGCCTCAAGTATTTTTCCATACCTTAAAACATGTTTTGAAATATTAAGGAAAAAATTAAAATCTGAAAATTTACAAACCTGAAGGTTAATAGTAAGAAAGAAAGATTTAGGATGATCTGTGTATTGTTTCTTTACCAGTTTGCTTGAGCCTTTTTAGAAGACACAACGTAACTTCCAAGCCTTTCAGGAACCTAGCTAGGTTAAAAGACTTTTAAATTCATACGAATGTGCAAAAAACAAAAAAAAACATGATAAAATTGTGAACAATCTCTCTGACGATTGGTATTGATTCTACTCAAGCGACAGATCAATTCACAATTCACATATAACAGTTACTAGAGACCAAATCGAAGACTAGTAAGCTGGAGGAAAAAAAAAAGAGAGAGGAAATTTAGGAGAAAGCAATGAAGAGAGACCTGAGAAGTGGCCTCGAAGTTGAAGAGATCACGGGAAAGAGCTGAAACGCCGGATGTAGAAGCAGAGACGCCGTGAGGTTTATCCTCCGTCGTCGGGCTGCAGCATGTCCGGTAGAGTAACCTAATCGTGTTACCCATTTCTTCGATTCGATACCTGGAAACAGCAGAGAGAGAGAGAGAAACAAAAAGAAAGAGAGAGAGAGAGAGATTTGATCTATCTTTCTGTTCTGGTATGAAAGTCTTTGATCGTCGTCATGTGGAAGCAAAGAGATTGTTTAGTTAACAAGGAAGTCCTACGTGGCAGATTTCTATTGGATGAAACTGAATATATCATTTTTATTATATATCTAGATAAAAAAAAAAAAAAGTATGGGGTGCCTTGTCGTAATCAGATTCGATTTCAATTTATTGTTTGGTGTAAGCTGAAGTTTGGAGTTTAAGCGAATCATAATGACGCATTGTACTTTTGTGTCCATATTCTTATTATTGACATTTTTTTTTTGAATGTGTGGATTAGTGTATAGATATCATGATTGATTCAATTCATGTCAATTTGTGGCTCCGGACGGGGTAATGTGTCTTCTCAATTGTTTTTTATATACAGTATTTAGTATTTACTTACTAGAAGAAACGAGTTATAATTTATTTATGGTAACACTAACGATTTTTTTTTAATTATTTTTTTTTCATTTTGGAGAAATTGCATTCGACCTATGCAAAAAAAAAAATGCATAATCACTTAAAAAAAAATAAAGATAATCACTTTTACTTATGTTGATTGTTCTAGAGAAATTTTGGTTTTTTTAATTATTTAGTATTCACTCACTACAAGAATTGCTGGATTTTTAGGCATTTCAGGTGAAACTAATTCAGTGAATCAATTCGCAGTGTAGGAAAATAACCAGTCTTCTTACTAAGCATTCAATCATGAATATTTCGCTTTGTGTCTCTGTTTAGTGTATTTCATAAAAATCACAGAATCTTTTATGTGGCTTGGCAATGAAGGCAAACAATACAGTGTATATATATAACGAATGGGCGGAAAAGGTTACAAGTATCCAAGTAGATGGAAAAAGAGACAGAAGAGGAAGAAAAGAGAGAGATAGAAAGTGGAAGAGGAGTGAGCACTATTGACATTGTTGTGGGTAGAAGTAGGAGAGAAGACAAAAGATCTGCATAGTGGGCAAGTGAGATGGCCACGGAGAAGCCAAGGTTCAATACATTGGATATGAAAGAGATGAGCGCATCTAGGGAGATGTGTCACCGCATCCTCAGCCTCAAACTCCACAAGGCATATGGGGCAGCAAATCTCCTCCTCCTCTTCCTCCTCCTTGTCCCCGAACACCACACCTATTAGGTCGTAGCTTTCATCGTCATGCGCTTTGGCATCCCTACACTGCTTGTTCAACCTTCCCAAGGGAATGCACACACATGTGTAGAAAACTATGGCTGCGGTGCACAAAGGAGACCGTGGAAACAACAATGAAATCATCTTTCTTCAGCTTTCTTTGCTTCTCTACTCACTCTTTCCTTCTATTTTTATAGACTAGTTTCATCTCCGAGATGATCATCGAACCTTGAATTCGGCAGTGTTGGGACGGCGCCGACCCCCCACCTCCTTATCTCTTATTATATTCATTTTGTAGTTTTTCTTTAATCAAGTCAGAGATTCTCCAAAGTTCAAGAAAACTCCCGGAGAGGTTATGGTCAACGTAGGAGATGCACGTATGCTTTCATCTTAAGCATTACCTGAGACTTGCATATAAATAATAGTAATGACAATGAGGAAACAATGCAAGAATCACATGACGCCGTATAAGAAACCTCGGATTCATCGCATAACATAGTCAAGGGGATGCATGTCTAGTAGTAAATATATAACATATATTAAAAGCAAGGAGTCCTATTTCAGTTCAAGAATAATATAATACAGCCGACCAAATCAACTAAAGATCTCTGAGTGAGTTGTAAAACTATTTTGTTGTTGACTCCAAACCATTTTGCTATACCAAATTTGGAGAATGATGTAGTTTTATGCCTAGTTTCTGCCAAGAAAGTTTGCAACATTCTGCCTACAAAGATGACTGACAAATTTTGACAAATAAAAAAAAACCAAAAACCAAACCAATCTAAGGAGTACTCCGAAAGAGAGTGTATGCATCAAACCGTAACAGCTAAAACTTTCATCACTTTAAAACTCCGATGACCAATCAGAACGTTGTTACACCACTGCCCTTTACCCCAAATCTCACCTCCTTGGCGCCTTTCTAAAGCAATTTCCGCACACCAAAACTCTTTTGTTTCCTTCACGGGTTCAAGACGATGTTTAGTAAAGAAGAGAGCCAGTTTTCCCCCGTAACCTACCGTGTTTGATTCCCATGAACCAGAGATTTCAAGCAACAATTCTTCCAAACCATTCACCACTCCCCAACGCCTCTGCTTTGGATCATACGCTCTTAACTTTTTACAGAAAAAATCGTAATAATACAATACGTTGTCAACCACACACGCACCCTCCCAACTCTTAGTATTAAGCATCTTCTCCAGTTCCCATTTATCTTCCTTTGGTCCATAAGAAAAGCTATTTTTAAAATCTTGCATGTAAATCTTATCCTCCATCACCACACCACCATGCCATATATGGCCTAGCTTCATTGCTGCCTGTCTCATCTCAGGCTCCCACTTTTGAGTTACTGTATCAAACACCACGACTCCACTCCCCTTGCCCCCACGCATACGTTCTCCGATTACGTAAACTTTCCCATCTATAGTGCCAATGACTTTTCCAGCCACGGGATGAGGATTCTTTTCGATGGTTTGTACCCTGTGAGATCTACAGTCGATGAAGTATTCGTTAGCTCCACCCGATACATATATGTTGGAACCTACCGCTACGTAACCCCCAAGTATAGCTCTAGGAAGTGACCAGAGAGCGACCAAACGATTCTTGCTGTCGGCTTTACGGCAGAGAATATACCAACAGTTAGAGATGACGACATACAGACATTGTTCGGTGCAGCTTAACAAGAATCGTCTCGTGTATAGCTCAGCCGATGCTACAAGCGATCGGAAACCCTTGGAAACGAGGGAGATAGTCGGATAATAGTATCTCGGTACACGTGCTACGATGATGTCTTCTGGAAGTGACGTCATCAAACACGGAGGCGGCTCCGGAGCCCTAACTTTTGAAGACATCTAGCAATAGAGTCGAAAGAACCACCGAGCCAGAGAGGAAAGCACAAACCCTTTAATTCTTAGGCTCTTGTTGAATCTCGAGTCTGTAATTAGATCAGATGATTGAGATTCAGACAATAACGAAGCTTGCTTCTTCGCTTAGCTTTTGGTCTGTGACCTCTTTCGACGACTAGCAACTAGGTTTTTCAAACCCCCGGGGGTCTCTTTATAAAGAAAAAGGAAATATGGTAGAAATCAAAATCAAATTGCAACATTCACTGACAAAATTTGACTAACGCAGTATTGTCAAAATCTACAAGTCTGTGTCCCTTTTACATATGTATTCATTGAAACTAGCAATCAAATACAAGACTCTGTAGATATGAGTCTCCAAGGGCAGATTGATTTTATTTTCCGAAGGTTGTTGTTATTACAAGTCAAGTAAAACATCTTTGTGTACCTAACAACACAACACTGCGTAAGTGTGAGAGAGAGAACAGATCAAAACGGTTTCTCCACTGGTTTCTTCTTAAATATGGCTTCCCAAGCCAAAGACGGAAATGGAGCCGTTTTGTCCATGAACTCCTTGACAGCCTTCAAATTAACAGCAAACCCTTTTTGGTTTAAGCCATCAATAGCAGTCTGAGCTTGTTCGACGCCCTTTCCTCTGCACAATGCATCAACCAATCCAACGAAAGTGGGGATGTTGGGAGAGTGACCAGACTCGAGCATCTCGCCACAGACATCAACAGCATCGTCCAGCATGTCGCAGCTGTACAACCCTCGGACCAAGACACCGTAGCTGAAGGCATTTGGGGTAATCCCATTGCTCTGCATCTTCCTGAAAATCCTCTTAGCGTCTTCGATCTTGTGAGCCTTGCAAAACCCTTCAACGACGGCAGTGTAGATAACGATCTCAGGGATCGTACCTTTTTCACGCATCAACCCGAAAAGCTTCATCGCTTCTTGTACAAGCCCGTCTTTGCAGAGGCCGTCGAGCATCGCGACGGCGTTAGGAATCAGACCGCCTTCCTTCATGTTCTTGAAAATCTCATCGGAGTCTTCAGGCGGCGGTAACGGCGAAGGCTGGGTTATCTTTTCCTCCTCTTGTGGTTTTCGTTCGGTTGAATCATTCTGCTGATGGACTCCGAGCTTGAACTGTTCGAGGAAGCCATGGTCGGAGAGAGTCTTGACGGCTTGCGGTGGCTCTCTCCGAGACTTGGGAGATCTCTCCCCTCGCAAGGGTCTATTGGGTAAAGGCTCTGGAGGGTTGTTCTGCTGCTGATGTTGACTGTTGTCGCCGTTTGATACAAATCGCGTTGCCGACATCGACGGCGTCATCTTCTTCGCCATCTGCCTCGCGAAAACGACGGCTTTCGAGGAGGGCACCATCGCTGTGATGATTCCAATGGGGTTTAGGGTTTGTGGACTGACGGCGGATGAATCTCGATCAATGGAGGAGGAGAGTCATGCGAAAAGAACTTAGGGGTATGATAGTAATTTCCACTGTAAGGGTATAAGAAAAAAAAAACCCAATCTAATCGGATAAGCTTCTTCTTCTCTAATTTTCTTCTTACTCTCACTTCAATTGGATCAAAGAAGAGCCCTCCCGCCTCACTGGTACATTCCTCTCTCTCTACTTAACTTCTTCAAACCTCGAAATCACTGAAACGCAAGAGTTTCTCTTCCTCTTTGCTGGGTGTAGTTGGCGTCAATGGAGGCCACAAATTCCACCAGCAGCAGCAGCATCATGTGGTTCTTCAGGGAGAAAGGTTTTGATGAACCGAGCATAGACAAGATGTTGAAGAAATGCAAACAGTTGGAGAAGGCGCAAGGCGACGTGGCGTCCGAAAACTGGGACTACCTGAGAAACATTGTTGGCATCCAAGAGAGAAAGCTCCCTTACATCGTCTCTAAATGCCCCAAGATCCTCACTTTACGTCTCGACGAGAGGCTCGTCCCCATGGTCGAGTGTCTCTCCACGCTGGGAAGAACGCCACGGGAAGTCGCTTCCGCCATAACCAAGTTTCCTCCCATACTCTCTCACAGCGTGCAGGAGAAACTCTGCCCCCTTCTCGCTTTCTTTCAAGCGTTGGGTGTCCCCGAGGCCCAGCTTGGCAAGATGCTGCTTTTCAACCCGAGGCTCATCAGCTACAGCATCGACAACAAGCTCGCCTTGATCGTCAGCTTTCTCGCTAGCCTCGGCCTCGACCAAGATGGGTCGATCGGGAAAGTTCTGGTGAAGCACCCGTTTCTTATGGGGTATAGTGTTGACAAGAGGCTTCGGCCGACCACTGAGTTCTTGAAATCATCGGTTGGTCTGACACAGGATGGGATTCAGTCAGTGGTCTTGAATTTTCCGCAGGTTGTGTGCAGAGACGTGGAGAAGATCCTGAAACCAAATTACGATTACTTGAAGGAGTGTGGGTTTGTGGATGAGCAGATAGCAGCAATGGTGACTGGTTATCCCCCGGTTTTGATAAAGAGTGTTAAGAACTCACTGCAGCCTAGGATTAGATTCCTTGTGGAAGTGATGGGGAGAGGCATCGATGAGGTGGCTGCTTATCCTGACTTCTTTCAGCATGGGTTGAAGAAGAAGGTGGAGTCACGGTACAGACTTGTCAAGAAGAACAACATTGAGTGTAGCCTTAGAGATATGCTGGACTGTAACTCCAAGAAGTTCCATGAAAAGTTTGGCGTTTCCTATGCAAGCTTCTAGCTTTACATCTCTTCTTGTTTTTTTGTTTGGTTCATCAGTTTGTGTTTCTCTCTGTAAGCTATAATTTCTGTGGCACGAGCTTTCCTTGTGATTATATCCATGGGAGGAGTTTATCCATAAATCATCGATTCCATACTCTGTTTTTTGCATTTGTCTATCGTCGATTCCACACTTGTTATTGAGACTAGCACTTATCATCAGGACAGACAAAAGGAGAAGAACATACAACTGTCTCTTAATCAGATTCAAAAATATGATCTTTTGGACAAATTCATCAAGTGTGGAGTTCCCTTGTCAAAAACTCACACTTGATCACATGAGATGGCTGATCATTCTCTGCCATATAAAACTTGAAAAGTGAAATTAACCTTTCTTTGTTCTGATAAAAGATTATTTTATGGTGACAATAACAGTACCCACTATCCAGTGGTAGTGGGATAATTCTTGAATTAGGTAGCCACACTTTTGAAAAAGAAAAACATATCATTTTTTTTCTGCTCGCTCTTACTGACTCTTCCCATGGCTACAAGAGCTAGTATCCTGGCTTCAACCCAAAACCCAGTTTTCTGCCTCCGCGAACCACCGTCTCCGGGAAGCCGCTCCGTCGTAATCTGCCGTTACCTAAAGCCCTGCGGCAGACGATGGATTTCCAGATCCATTCGAGCATGCCAACCTTCCGACAAGGTCTCTCTATCTATGCCACATCGAATGTATCTAAACTTTGTGGAGAAGAACTTGTTTTTGACTTTTTGTTTTGATCAACAGGTAGGTGGTGATGGAGGCATTTCAGGTTCAGCTAAAAGATCCCTTTTTGGGAAGGAATTGCTGGATTTTGCTTCAGATAATTTCTTGCCTCTAGGTACTATATACTCTGTTCTTGCCATTTTTTCCACTCAACTTACGAAAATAATCTGATGAGAGAAACTAATTGAGTGAATCGATATTCCGTTTCCCATGAAGCATGTAAATTTATGTACTGCTCTTCACAAGGTTTCATTACTTAGCATTTTAAACTAAATCTTCTGGGAAAATTTCATTGTTTGCGTACTCATATCCTTACTGAAAAGTAGAATTTGGAAATCGTAAATACTGCTTTTGCGTTATACTTTGTCAGATTTGACATTTCAGTTAGATGTTTTGTGGTATGTTGGCTTTTGTTTGCAGCTCTTGTTAGTGGTGTGGGACTGGGATTTGCAAACCCGACTCTTGGCTGTCTCGCTGACAAATACTCTCTTTCAAGGTTCAGCACATGTGGGATATTCATTATATCAGGTGATTCTATCATTCTCTATGTACAGTTTCTTTTTTTTGTTTCTTTGTTAATTGGTGTGGAAGCAATCACTTGAAAGAGTAGTAATCCATTGTGTACTCTTTCTCTTTAGGTTTGACTTTACGTACTGAAGCGATTGGTGCTGCTGTGAAAGGATGGCCTCTTGGAGTCTTCGGGCTAGTATGATCTTGATTCTCTGAATGGTTCATCTATTCTGTAGTTTACATCTCTTCAGCTATATTCTGAAAAAAAAATCATGACAAATCAATTTCTGCTTTTACGAAACTAATAAGGCAATGTAATGAGACGAGTAGAAGCCCTTCTTGCCCCAATGTACTTTCCTTCAGTCATGTTTTTTTGTGACTTATAGAATATTTGATATTTTTTTTATTTTGCTTTTTAGCTTATGTTAGTTATACTGCATACTTAAGCCCAATCTATTTTTCTCTATTGTCTCCGTTTCAGGCCTCTATTTTGTTGCTCACGCCATCCTTCTCAAGGCTAGTTATGCTGGTCCAACTCCAACCTCAGGAACTTGTTACAGGTTACTCTGTCTTATTACTTCAACTTAGAATGAAGCAAAACTTGGAAACATCATGTTTCTGATTATGTACTGCTTTGTATAAACTAAATCTGGTTTACAGTAAATCTACAGATTTAGCTGAATTGTATCTGGTTTGATAACTAGCCATCAGTTTTACATATAAAACTATTTTTGATTTCCGAGAAATAGAAGTGTGATACTGGTTGATTAACAGTTCCATATTGATGTTTTGTTTAGATCTTTGATGTTTTTCTTACATTTATTCAATGTCTATTTAAGAGTGACAACTTGATTAGTTAGTGCCTCTATAGTCTTTTCTCTTGATACTTTATTATTCAGTTAATTGACTCTCAATAGGGATTTGAAAACTCTAAAACTTATCTATGCCCTCATGCTATTTATAGGGCTGGGTATATTTTGCTGTATGCCAACCACCTTATCAAGTGGTGTTGCCCTTACTCACGTACTCGGTTTGATATATTTTCAAATCATGATTTTGTGCATAACTGTTTTTCTCGCGTTCTCCACTGACTTTACCAAATGTGCAATTCAGCTTGCTGGGGGAAACTCTGCTCTTGCTCTTGCGGTGACTGTGGCATCCAACTTGTTAGGCATTTTAACTGTAAGTCGACATATTGTTTGTTCCCCCTTTTAAAACTAGGAGTTGATCATACTGAATTAAGGATATTTCTAGTCAGATTCTATTTAAGAATTGCTAAGCAACTTGTTTTCAAAATAGCATAAGATCTTGTGTGATCAGTGGGATTCAAATTCTCTACTGCGAAAAACTCTGTTGCTATGATCTTTTTATGCTGTTAAGAATTTGTTGCATAAGATCTTGTCTTGTATGATCAGTGGGATTCAAAATAGCATAAGATCTTGTATATTATGAATTCAGTCACTGAAGAAGCTAACATGGTTGACTTGACCCCTTATCAGATTCCGTTTTGGGTATCAAGATATATAGCCGGGGGAGTAGGGGTCTCTTTTCCCACTGACCAACTATTCACAAGTCTTGTAGTTACTTTGTTAATCCCTTTAATCATTGGCAAGGTGAGACCATCTTTCTGTGAGTCCTACCTTTTGTTCTTGCAATGATGATTCCATTTCAAATTTTGCTATATGGTACAATTGTGAAAGCTTAATATTCAGTGGCGGTTCTTGCCAAAAGCAATTAAAGTGGGGGCTATGACATATTTGTTGGTTTATATGTTATAGGTTATTCGGGAATCATTCAAAGGTGAGCCTCATTTGTTATATTTTTCCCTTTCTCTGGTGAAAGTAATTGAATATATAAAGGCTATGTGATACACAAGTGATAGTAACATAAAACCATTGTAAGCAATTTTGGAGGAGCCACTTTGGTGTGACAATGATTCAGAATATGGTTTTTTTCTAATTATATATGCTCAATTTTCTGACTATGTAGAATCTCTTGTTTGAAATGTGTGATACAGGTTTCGCAAACTTTGTTGACAACAACCGTAAACTCTTTTCGAGAATGAACGCAATCTGCCTCAGTTTGGTAAGATAATGCTTTTCTTCCATAGATTCTAAACCCCTTGATAATTTCCCCTGTGTAACAGGAATCTTAATAGTTTAATCCTCTTCCTCTCTCATTAATTCAAGTGGTCTTGACTTTGTGTTTGCATTTATCTGGTTCTTGATTGTATGTTTATCTCATGATACGATTCTAGGTGCCATGGATCCAAGTTAGCAGGTCAAGATCACTGCTGCTATCCGTTAAGCCTAAGGTTTTTCTTGCAGCTGTTGGCATTGGAATGTATGCATTCTTATTCAACATGTTATCATTTTAATAATATAACATGTAAAGCTGGTTGTCATTTACTGTGGTTGTTCAGAACATATTGAAAAAGGTGCTAAAGAGCAGAAGCACATGAAAAAAATATTATGGCTAGAAACTCGAACTGACAGAAGATTTCTCTTACGTTCTTATGCAGATTGCTGCATCTTTCTCTACTAGCATTCAATGCTCTTTCAATCCGCATCCTCTCACGTGTATCAGGTGATGCTGGTAAGAGCTCCAAGGAAAATGACACAGCAGTCTTGCTAGTTGCAAGCCAGGTAATAACAGAGTTTGTCTTTTATAGCACATATATATTTTTACACCTTAATTCAGAAGTCATTGCTCCGTCGTGTTTTGTTCCGTGCCGTAGAAAACATTACCGGTGATGGTGGCGGTGGTGGAGCAATTAGGAGGCGCGTTTGGTGAAACAGGGCTTTTGGTTCTTCCTTGTGTAGCTGCACACCTGAACCAGGTTAACAAATTTGTATTGCCTCTTTCCATTATGATACTCTTGTTATTGACATATAGTTTTCTCGAATGTGTAGATCATGATTGATTCAGTTCTTGTCAACTTATGGCTCCGACCGAGTAACTTGTCTTCGACTGATGTAAAAGCAGCTTGAGAAAGAGAGAGAAGCAACGTTATGGAGAAGGTTACAACATCCCTAAACACACATTCAATGCCAGTCCAAAAGTTGGTTTAGGTGTTTGCAGACCCATTTGTATGATAACGATGTAGAGAATTCGTGATAAAAATTGAAAATATTAAACTGCACATTTCTCATAGGCAAAAACAAGTATAGTAAATAGTGATCCTCGATTGATGGGAATACCAAACCGAACCGAACCGATTTGGATTTCTCATAAGATATGGGAATACCAAATTGAACCGATCGGTTTCCAAACTATGTCAAATAGGGATGGTAATACCAAACCGAACCTACCGGTTTCCGAACTACGTCGGGTTTCAATTAAATATATAACCCTAGTTCTGCTGCGTATCCCCTTGTCTTCTCCAATCGAAAACTTTCGACGGCTGCACTATCGTTCTCCCACATCTCGGTTTCTTTTATACCCTCGTAAAGCTTCTCCCTTCGCACATCTCCGAGATTCTTTATCTCCATCGTCTTAATTGAGGTAGTTTCTTTGTTCTTCGCTTTCTGTAACAATTTTTTTTTTTGGTACCAAGTCGTGTGTATCGTGCGGATCGAGTCGTGTATCGACTTTTTGGTCTGTCCGTGTCGAGTCTTTGTCTGATACTACTGAGTCATATCGGATATGAGTCGCTGATATCTGAGTGTAGTCCAAATCTGAGATTAGAGATTCTTACCGTAGAATTGTATGTTGTTGGAAATGAGATTGATTTGTTTTCGTACGTCTTCTTGCACTTAGATATATAATCTGGCTGTGTATCTTTCTCCTCTGGTTATGGTGCCTTGAATCAGTTTCACTTATCAGCTTGGTTGCTTTTTGGTGTATCAGGTTCTGCTTGCTAAGCATTAAGCTCTCTCGTGAAGAAAGATGACTTCTCGTTTTTTCGCTCAGGTTTGTTTCCTTGAGCCTTGTTTCTTGCACCATCGTCTTTCAACGCTTCTGCTTGCCTCAGTTTCTTAATAAACTTCTTTGCTATGTGCGTTCACAGGGTGGAAGTGACAGTGAAGATGAAAGCGCTTCTGAAGAAGAGATCGAGGAGCTTCAGAAGAAAGAAGCAGACAACCCTTACCTTATAGGTGATGGTGACAGTGACGATGATGATGATGCGGTTAAACGTGTCATTAAGCCAGCAAAGGATAAGCGTTTTGAGGAGATGACCAACACTGTGGAGCAGATGAAGAATGCCGTGAAGATCAACGACTGGGTCAGCCTCCAAGAAAACTTTGATAAACTCAACAAACAGCTTGAGAAAGTTATGAGGGTTACAGAGGCTGTGAAGCCTCCCACCTTGTATATCAAGACTCTTGTCATGTTGGAGGATTTCTTGAACGAAGCTCAGGCGAACAAGGAAGCCAAGAAGAAGATGAGCACTAGCAACGCCAAGGCCTTGAACTCGATGAAGCAGAAATTGAAGAAGAATAACAAGCTGTACGAAGATGATATCAATAAATATAGGGAGTCTCCAGAAGTTGAGGATGAGGATGAGCCAGAAGAGGATGATGAAGACGATGAGGAAGAGGAAGATGAGTTTCTGGACGATGTTGTCATACCTGCTGGGTCTGACGGGGAGATTGAGGAACCAGCGGACAAAAACTGGGAGACGACGCTAAACAAGAAAGATAAGAGCTGGGAGAATACGCTTAATAAAGACCCTAAAGACATCACTTGGGATTGGGTTAACAAGAAGTTCAAAGAAATTGTGGCTGCTCGTGGGAGGAAGGGAACTGCTCGATTTGAGCTAGTTGATCAGCTTACACACTTGACAAAGATTGCCAAGACTCCTGCGCAGAAGCTCGAAATCTTGTTTACCGTTATTTCAGCACAATTTGATGTGAACCCCGGTCTCAGCGGACATATGCCTATCAAGGTCTGGAAGAAAAGCGTGCTGAACATGCTCACCATACTGGACATTCTTGTCAAGTACAATAACGTTGTTGTGGACGACACGATCGAACCTGAAGAGAATGAAACTTCAAAGCCAGCAGATTATGATGGAACAGTCCGGGTCTGGGGAAATTTGGTTGCATTCATTGAGAGGATCGACTCTGAGTTTTTCAAGAGTTTGCAGTGCATTGACCCTCACACCCGTGAGTATGTTGAGAGATTGAGGGATGAGCCCATGTTGTTGGCCCTTGCTCAGAACATCCAGGACTATATGGAGCGGATGAGTGATTACAAATCTGCTGCAAAGGTAGCCTTGAGACGAGTTGAGTCGATATACTACAAGCCCCAGGAAGTTTATGATGCTATGAGGAAATTGGCTGAAATGGTTGAAGAAGATGAAGAAGATGAGGGTGCCGAAGAGGAAAATACACTACAAGCTCCTCCTTCATTCATTGTTGTTCCAGAGGTTGTTCCCCGTAAGCCTACCTTCCTAGAGAGCGGCCGAGCAATGATGGATCTTCTTGTGTCCCTTATCTACAGAAATGGAGATGAGCGGACCAAAGCCCGTGCAATGCTGTGTGATATCTACCACCATGCTTTAATGGACAACTTTGGGGTTGCTAGAGACTTGTTGCAGATGAGTCATCTCCAAGACAACATTCAGCACATGGACATCTCAACACAGATTCTCTTTAACAGGACCATGGCGCAGCTTGGTCTTTGTGCCTTCCGGGTTGGAATGATCACTGATTCCCATAGCTGCCTCTCCGAGCTGTACTCTGGTCAAAGAGTGAGGGAGTTGCTTGCCCAAGGTGTCTCGCAAAGTCGATATCATGAGAAGACACCCGAACAGGTAACTACTCGTTTTCTGTCTTTTTTTAATCTTCTGATTTAATACAAATAGATGTGAAAATTGAATTGTTTGATCACATATAGCTCTGACTGAAACACGATTACAAACACTATAAGTCTGGCTTATCTGATTGAGTATGAACCAACTATTCAAATACCTGAGCTTATAGTATATATTAATTTCTGCTGCATTTGAGGGTTCTACATTTTGTTTCCTTTTCATGCAATCTGTATTCGCTATTTCAACGTGGATGCTAATAGTCATGTTGTTTATCTGATATATATAAAAAAACTCTTGATTCTTAACAGGAAAGGATGGAGAGGAGAAGACAAATGCCGTACCACATGCACATAAACCTGGAGCTCCTGGAGGCTGTTCATCTCATCGGTGCCATGCTACTTGAAGTCCCAAACATGGCAGCAAACTCGCTTGAAGCCAGACGCAGAGTGATTAGCAAGAATTTCCGTCGCCTTCTTGAGATCAGTGAGAGGCAAGCGTTCACTGCACCGCCTGAGAATGTGCGTGACCACGTCATGGCAGCCACCAGAGCCCTGACCAAAGGGGATTTCCAGAAGGCGTTTGATGTTTTGAACTCTCTTGATGTCTGGAGACTGCTCAAGAACCGGGACAGCATCCTCGATATGGTGAAAGCTAGGATCAAAGAAGAGGCTCTAAGGACTTACCTATTCACATACTCGAGCTCCTACGAGTCCTTAAGCCTCGATCATCTGGCTAAGATGTTTGATATCACCGAAGCGCAGGTTCACAGCATTGTGAGCAAGATGATGATCAACGAAGAGCTTCATGCAAGCTGGGACCAGCCAACACAATGCATTGTCTTCCATGAAGTGCAACACAGCAGATTACAGTCCTTGGCTTTTCAGTTAACCGAGAAACTCTCGGTTTTGGCAGAAAGCAATGAAAGGGCAATGGAATCTAGAACCGGTGGAGGTGGTATTGATCTGAGTTCAAGGAGAAGGGACAACAATCAGGACTATGCAGGAGCAGCATCTGGTGGTGGGAAATGGCAGGACAACATGAACTATGGACAAGGAAGACAAGGCAGCAGATCTGGGTATGGAGGTAGATCATCTGGACAGAATGGTGGTCAGCCTAGAGACTGGTCGGGCCAGAACCGAGGAGGAGGATATGCAGGAAGAGCTGGCTCAGGAAACAGAGGTGGTATGCAAATGGATGGCTCAAGCCGTATGGTGAGTCTTAACAGAGGCGTTCGCACTTGAAGATGATTAGGAGAAGAAATCTGCAGTCATTGTTTGACCTTTATAGTTCTTTTTAAGACCTTTTTGTTATGTTTTCGTTTTCGTTGGTTGAATCTTTGAATTTTGTTTTTTAATAAGTTGCTTCAGAACTTGAAAGTACTTTTCTCTGCAAATGGTTAAAGCTAATGTAGAGAATTACATTTTACAGAGTCGTTAAAGATTTTTGTTAATCCAAAATTGTGGATTTCCTTGGTCTAGCCTACGCAATGATGTTTTTGAACCTGTGAATGCACTCTGATAAAACTTCAACTTGTGATGGTTTTGGGCTTTGACTTTCTCACTTCTCAAAGATAATTTTTGGGCCCAAAAATTCATTTAAAATGTAACACTCTAGATTGATGATGATCTACTCGAGCTTGGTCCGATCATTCGGAAAATTAAAAGCTAAAACCAAACACTTGATAGTCCCAAGTTGTGCATTATCCGATTAGAGGGACTGTGACTGTTGTATACTATTATTTCCTGGTAAATTCAAAAGCTCACTGTATCTCTTCTATTCAATCTCAGTTTAAGAGTAGCAATAATACACTAATACAAGAACAACATTAACATCACATATGGCTCCAACAAATAAACTAAGAAATCACACACCTATATATAAAAGAAAGAGGACGTTTTAGTACATTACTTACTATATTATATATTAGGGAAACTATGTGCATTTCAACATTGTCCCATAGTACCTATTTCAACCTACTATGTGCTTCAGATAAGAACCTGAGTGCATCTTCCATGCAAGGACGGTCACACTGGTTACTTGTTATGCAGAGAAGCGCGACCTCAACAACTCTTTTGACTTCTCCTTGTTCAAAATCACTCGAACAACCTTTGTTCTCTGCGTATACTTCTCGTAGAAGAACATCCTTTGGCTTGTTATGTATCAATCTTCCAGCATCCCTCAGCTTACCATTTGTTAAGATTTCAAAAACAAGCTCTCCAAAGCTGTAAATGTCCTTTTCCTGCTCCGCTCTTATGACTTGATTCATCTGATCTGCTTTTTAGAGAGTTTGATAATAATATTAGGAGGTAATGCACTAAGAAAATGTTCTGTTTCTCGTTATATATCGTCATGGTTTAGTACCTGTGTTTGCAGTTGAAGAGACCAAGCCTTTGTTCAAATGTAACATGTATTTGAACCCAAATTCACCCAAGCAAGGTTCCAAATTGTTATCATCATCGAATAAGACGTTACTCGACTTCACATCTCCATGTGGAATTGCAGGGTAGCATTCATGGTGAAGGAAGCAAAGCCCCTTTGCAACTCCATTGATGATCCTCTTCTTAGTTTCCCAGTCTCTCTTCTTCGTCCTCATCTTCTCAGCAAGAGTCCCAGTATGCAAGTTATTATCATACAATACATACACGAGATGATTGTTGTAACAAAAACCGAGCAATCTGACCAGATTCACGTGTCTCGCATTCCCCATTTGCGTTAACACTTTCAACATAACACCTTTCTTCTTGCCTTGCAGCTCGATTTTCCTCACTATGACTGTGATTCCTGTTGGCAGAACTGTTTTGCACACCGAGTCTGATACTTGAGGAGCTCCTTCTGTAGGTTCAGGTGAACCAAAGCTCCTCAAAACATCATCCGCTGTGAAATGAGGGAGCCCGGCGAAAGAAACCATCTTCCATTGACTTTGACTTCTCTGACGAACATAGTACAACCCCAAAGTTCCAGCTACCATTATTACAACCGAGGCTAGACAAGCTATCAGAACAGACACAAGCTTCCTGGAACTGTAAGCTGCACATGGTTTCAGAGGACGACCACACAGGTTTGCATTGCCTTCGTACGCATGTTTCCCCATTGATCGAAACATTTTGTCAGATGGGATGGAACCACTCAGGTTATTGTCTGACAAATCCAAAACTTTCAGATGTGGAAGCTTAGCTAACAACTCAGGGATCCCACCTGTCATGATGTTTCCAGATAAATCCATCTTCTCAAGAGAGCGGCAAGCTGAAACAGCTGGTGTTAAACTCCCTGATACGTTGTTGTTACTCAGCTCAATAACAGTGATGGATTTGCAGGACTCAAATCCAGGGAGATCTCCGGAGATACCGCAGGAGGAAGCAGAGAAGTTGTGAAGACGAGGCACGGACCAAATCTCCGGTGGAAGTTTGCCTCCTAGCTGAGGGTTATTGGAGATGTTGAAGTAGCCGAGCTTTGTAGCTTTGGATATATCTTGAGGAATGCCTCCTGTGAGTTTGTTTCTAGAGAGGTCTATGTATGAGATATCAGGAAGCTGGCTAAAGCTAAAAGGGATCACACCAGAGAACGAGTTATCTTCAAGCCGGATACGAACAAGCGTGGAGCAATTGGAGAGAGACGGAGACAGAGTTCCAGTGAAATTATTGGAGAAGAGCATGAGCTTGTAGAGAACACCTCTTGAGCAGATACCTTGAGGGATCTCACCTTGGAAACTGTTGGTGGAAACGTCGACCCATCTCAGCTTTGAGTTCATCCCCAAGCTTTTAGGAAGTGAGCCAGAGAAGTAATTGTTCCATATGAAGAGAGTATCCAAAGAAGGAAGCTGAGCAATTCCTTCAGGGAGAGTCCCACTCAGTTCATTGTACATTAAAGACAACAGCCTGAGATTCTTCAAGCCTGCGAAGCTCTCTGGTATGGTTCCGGAGAGACTGTTGTCCGAGAGGTCTAAGTTAACAAGAGAAGTGACTTCTCCAAGCTCCCATGGGATCTCCCCAGAGAGATGGTTCCTAAAGAGGAACAAAGACTCAAGCTTTGTCAGATTGCTGAGATGCTTTGGTAAGAAGCCAGTGAGGTTGGCTCCGGCAATGTCGAGGTACTTGAGCTCACTCATGTAACCGATTTGCCGAGGGATCACTCCTTGGTACGAGTTGTATCCAATCTCCATGTGAGTCACCGTTTTCAGGTCCCCAAGCTCTTGTGGTATGTGGCCACTCAGTAAATTCCCTCCAAGATGAAGAAACTCGAGATTCTTGAAAGAACCGTATTGACTCGGAATCGACCCGGTAAAGTAACTCCCGGCGAGATTGAGTACCTTAAGATTCTCTAACCGAGGGAGATCGATGGGCAGCGAACCGGAGAAGCTGTTGCTCAGGGCATCGAGCAGGATCAGGTTCTTGAGGGATGAGACACCGTCTGGGAAACGACCGGAGAAGTTGTTTTTGCTAAAGTCAAGGCTTCTGAGGCTGGTGATGCTGAAGATCTCTGCCGGAAACTCGCCGGAAAACGAGTTGTCGCTGATGTTGAGTTCAAGGAGGTCGGTGAAGACGGAGAATTGCTTTCCCGGAAGGTTTCCGGCGAGGTTCTTGGAGGAGAGGTCGAGGGAGATGATGGAGGTGGAGTTTTGGTTGCATCGGACACCGGACCAAGAACAGCATGCGAGTTTGCTGTCGGAAACTCCTGGAGTGATGATGACGAACCAGTCTTTAAAGGTGTTGAGATCGTCGGTGAAGTGAGATTTTAAGCTGAGAAGGGACTCTGTTTGAGGATCAGCAGCTTCAGCCACTGAAGTGAAGAAGAGGAGGAGATGGAAGTAAACACATAGTTTACTCTTCTTAGACTCCATTTGAAGGAGTTAGAGAAGAAAGAGAGAGAGAGAGAGAGATCTGTGAGGAAGCAAAAGCAAAAAAAAAAAGAAACAAAGATCACAAAAAAATGAAGAATCTGACAGTGGAAGAGAAACGAAAAAGAAAGAAAACTTATGGGGAAGTGTGCTCTCTTTTGTGAAAAGCTGGGCGCATTGATTGGGTCAAAAGTGAAAAATATTACTATTAATTAGTTTCTTTCTTTCCTAGATTGAGAAAAAAAAAGTAGAGGCTAAAGTGCATGTAAAACAAACAAACGGTGAGGTCGGTAATCTCAGATTTAAAATGATCAGAATTTTCAAAAGAATTTGTGTTATACAATCAAAAATGACGCATTTATATATGTTAGCAGAAGTTGAGAGAGAGAGAGAGGAGAGAATCAAGAACGCCTCTTTTGTTCCCAACCAAACTAAGCACATAAGATGAGTTGTTCCGCAGCTTCGTAAGGAGGCGGCAATACACTGTGCACATCAGCAAACACATCTTCTTCTCCACTCTCTAGACTCCCTGCAGAAACAGGGGCATCTAAGACAGAGTCTGGGATCGCCGTCAAGCTTTCTTCCAGCAATGATCCAACCGTCTGCAATATATAATTCAACACTCCAACACATATTACAAACTCTCTAAGATGCTTACTACTACAAAAATAGCATTCTTGTACATACACACACACACCTTACACTCCCTGAAAGCAGCGTCTGCTCTTCGCTTCCACAAGCTATTTCCAGTCTCTGAGTGGAAAATGTTTAGCAGAGGCTGCAATGAATTGGAAACATTTGTTACTTCTCGTTTTAGTTTTCTCAGCACGTATACCACTTTCTTGTTTAAACCACACATACCTTCACTAAATCCCTTACATTGGGCCTCCCGTTTCCTTGTGTTCCCAGGACAGAGTCTGCGTATACTTGATATTGCTCAAGAACCTGGCCAACACTCAGATATCAGAACTCTTTTTTATCAGCAAATCGATAGGTTTGGTAGATAAAGCAACTCAAAAGCTGAGTTTTTTTTTTTCACATAACCTGTCGGCGTGTAAGGCCAGTGCTTGGAACACCAAAAACTCCGGTGTCAACATGTCCTAGAGTCTGCCATGGACTGTCAAGGATAGACAACAATTCAAGAGAGTGAACAAAGAAAGAGGTTTTGATATTGGGCTCAGACCAAATCAGGCAAATGTTCACTTACTTGTTGTATGCAGCGCGGCCTACCATGACTCCGTGAGCTCCTTCCTTCAATGCAGCGTTTACCTTATTACAATCACAACATGTTTCTCAGTGCTAGAAATCACTCAGGGCAGAAAGATAGTTTCACAAATGTAAGATGGTCACCTTCGATACAGAAGTAATGCCTCCATTAATTGTGAATCTCAAGTCCGGGAAGTCACGAACAAGTGCATAGTAATACTCGTACCTGAAGTAAAGCCCCAAAACAGGTGACTTACTTACAAAAATAGAAACAATAGAACCAGACGGTAATCAAGAGTCAAGTAATGGTAAAACATACTTGAGAGGAGGGATTCTCCGGTTATCAGCAGGGCTTATCCCACCAAGCAGTGCCTTTCGTGAATGTACAATGAAATGCCTAGTTGGTGATAGAGTAGAAACCTTGTAAACAAAGTCACCTAAGAGTAAAGGAAAAAGAGGTATTAGCATATCCAGGCCCAGTACATACGAGACTTTAAAAAACACAAGGCACTTGTAATAAAGAATTTAAAACTCACAGAGCTCATCATACGAATCATGATCGTCCACACCAATTCGACATTTCACAGTAACAGGGACGTTGGTATTGTCAGCAATAGCAGACATTGCCTCTCCAACAAGCTTACAATCAAAAAATTGCATTAAGTGTGAGAGCGAGCAGAGCACCATAGAGAAAGAGAAGTTATATCTTGAGATCATCATTAGGAGGAGTAACGGACCTTGGGGTTGAGCATGAGGGTAACACCAAAGCATCCATGGCCGGCTACCTTAGGACTGGGGCATCCACAGCTACCTCAATAAAAAAAAAAGAAAACAAAGTTAAGTTTTCAAAGGGCACACGCAATACCCTGAAGGTGTAGGCGAGAAGAAAATGCACAAACTTGAGATTAATTTCGTCATATCCGTAAGCATCAGAAAGCTTAGCAGCTTTGGCAAGGCTTTCCACATTACTCCCACCGATTTGAAGAACAATAGGATGTTGTTGGGGAGAAAATGCTAAGAATCTGTCCTGAGGCAAAAGTGCACAACAAGGACATGAGACGAGAACATATGACTGAATAAGTGATAATTTAAAAAAGTCACCAAATTGGTCTGCTGGTGAACAAGAGTTTCAGCGGCAATCATCTCGGTGTAAAGCCAAGCGTGCTTTGTTATGATGCGAGCAAGCGTACGGTAATGATTATCTGTCCACTCCATCATCGGGGCGATGCTGGAGCAGAGAGAGCTCTAGTGAGGACCGGAATCAAGAAATATAGCGGGAAAAGCTGAGACTGAGAGAGAGCAAACCTGAATAAAGGAGGAAGATATGGAGAGGATGTGGCAGGGTTTGTGGAGAATCTAGCAGTGGGTTTGAGTATTGGCGAGTGAAGATGGAAACAAGAGACAGAGGACTTGAACATCTCCGACACATTCGGTCGAACACTTGGTAGGCACCACATTAGGATTGGTCCGACTTCTTTTGTTAATTTTCTAGTAATCTCACATATATAAAATGAGAGGATTTGAGAAGAACCAGCGAATACGAGAGGCGTGGAGATATTTGGATAGTTGTACTATTGTTTATTTTCTTACACAAGAACCAGAGGATACGAGGCTTCGACTTCAGACGATAGGAGGAGGCTTGAGTTGAGACGGTGCGTTTCAATCAATTTATGCTCAGGAACTCTAGTTTAAGCAAAAAAATTAAAACTATATTGAAGCCATTGTTATCTACAAGAAGCTCAAAAATACAAACATATAACTTTGTAAAAGAAAATTGTGTGAAGTTGTGCTCATTTCAACGATCTTAAGCTTTTGTGTAACAGTATCATTGATTATCGAGCTTGTCAACACTTTCTTCTTCACTAGCATTATACTCCACCGTAGATTCTTCCATAGTTTCTGGAGTTTCCTTAGTGGCTGGAATGCTTTTCTGCGTTTGAAGACCCGTCGAGCGAGCAAGATCAATCCATTGCTGCACCATTTTTTTTTAACCAAAAGTTAATAAAACTTCCAAAAATTTAACAAAAGAAAATTAAGAGGAAAAGCAAAAAAATAACTCTGACCTGCGTTCCAAAATACGAGTTAAGTGTCCTGACAACAAATGAAATCACATTTACAAGTAGAGGTTGAGAAGACAGCTCATCAGAAATTCGATGCTCTATTAATCCAGCAATTATCTGCATTTAAAGACACTTCCATGTTATAGGCATAAATCAAACCATAATGAAAGCTCATCGTCACTTCCCTCCTCAGTGTCAAGCAGCAGAGATCATCATACCTGGTAACGAAGATTCGCAGATGTTCCCAGAAACCCTCCATAAACCATTGCCGTCTTCAGAAGAGGAGATCTCTTTGGTTTCTGAGCAACAACCAACTCTGGTTTTACGAATTTTCGAACAGCATTCAACGCATTTGAAGCTCCCACGGCTGCGAAACTGGATACGACTCCGACACCAGCAAGCTTCAAGCCACCAACAATAACCGAAGCAACTCTGAGATTCAAATTCCACTCTCTTCCAGCAAGACTCTTTTGAAACGCGTTGTCAGGTATGGATCCTAGGAGGCCTCTCAGGGCGTCTATGCTGTCTGGTCCAGTGGTCTCATCAGCATATGATAGAAAAGACAGAGTTGGTGCAGGAAGCCAAACTGTGAAGAAATCAACAACTGATCCCCTCACTGTATCTGTTATAACATAGTCGAGCTCTTCGAAGAAATTCTCTTTTCGCTTCTCATATTGTGCTAGAAGTGTGGTTGTTATTGATATCGCCTCTTCTATGGCTAACCTATTCAAAAATTTCGGATCTGCCAACAACCTTTCTCGGAAACCCTGTATCACAAATTCACAGTGAACCATCATAACTAAAATTCTGCTTAACTGTTCAAAGATCATTAACTCTGTCGATGGACTAATAACACAAAGCATAAATACTCCATGCAAAAATCTCACAAAAGAAATATCATCCAGAATGGATATACCTGGAACCGCTGAGCAAGCTCAGAAATGAGAGGATACTGCTCCAAATCAAACAAATTCTGCAGAACCTCAGGTGACACCAGACCAAGATCCAATCCATTTTGAATATCCTGCAAGCATGGAAAAGATTCCATCACTATGAACTTATGACATACAAGCTTGAGTCAAAAGTTTAGCTCAACAGAGAAAAGAATTGAACTGCTTGATGGAAAAAAAATGATAAGAGAATGTCATGAAAATCTACCTGTGGAAGAGCATCTCGCCTCCTGCCAGCTGCATTCATCACTCGAGCGATCTCTGCTCTGTCAAAGCAGTTTCTACTGCAAGGTCTGGCTGCAGAATACCACAAGAAATCAGCGACAGGACTTTCGCCTTCTCTTCGCAGGTACTGTCTTTCAGGGTCAAGTAACACAACAACTTGGTTTTTCTTTGGAAACTTCCTTGAGATCCTCGCTGGCAACCCTGTCCCTCTTGAACCGTACTCAACATGACCTGCCCCTGTCACCACTACCAGTAGACCAGTCCCACCTCCATCTGCTACTGCTTGCAAAATAACTTGTGACATCGTATGGTCTTCCACAACTCTTGCTTGTGCCGACAAATAAGAGCTTGGTCCAAACGGTACGATTTGTGTTGGAGGGCTCATGTCGAACGTGGATCTACGTGAAAACGAAGAAAACCCTGAGGTAAAACCAGAACCAGCAGGGGGTGTGTATAATTTACGCTCAGACTTTGACAGACCACGGATACCCTCTGCTTGCACAGTTCTTAAAACCTACATCAGATTAAGTAGAATACTGTCAGCTCTCATCAGATTCCAAAATGCAATATTTCTGATAAGACTTATCCTCTTTACAGCTTCAATATGTGCATACTTAGTTGAAATGGTCAAAACCAGACTCATGCCTCACTAACACTATCAGAGATGTAATCTGTCCCACAGACTTCAATCAGAGGGAAATAAACAGTAATCAGAAAGAGCATTGCACTGCATCTTAAAACAAGTTGAGAACCAAGTGATTCAAAAGAAACCAAGTAGCATAATCAAAGTGATCAAGAGATAAACCCTGAACTACAATGATCAGCAAAATCAAACCAAGCAGGTGACTACACCCAAATCAAACTGTGAACTGTGAATTGTGTAAATTTGTAAGACTCTTACCTTGAGAGGAGTGCCACAAGCAATTAGTCTAACGTTGTTATCACGACAGTAACTTAAAAGGGGCTCATATTCTTGCCATCGTTGAGCTGGCCAATGTGTCACATAAGACTTCAATGTCTCTCCGTCCATCCTGCCACCAAAATTACCAAAGGCGATTCTTTTTTGGTCAATACCGAAAAACACAAACAATAATCACAATCACAAGATTTAAGCCAGCAATCTCTAAGTTTTGCAACCAAAATTTAACATAAAACATCATAGTTTAGTACAAAAGACAAGAATAACTTTGTTGTAGATTGAGAAAAGAAGAAACGGTAAAAGCTGCACCAAAGCAAAGCAAGAAAACTAGTAGTGTGTGTGTGTGGACAAACCTCTTGTCCATGTACTGATTAAGCTGCTCCTGCAAATCAAGAGGGAAAGCTTCCAACGCGACAGAGATTTGTCGTTCGCCGTCGAGGCATCTCTTCCTCAGGTTTCTAACGATTTCGAGTTCAAGCTCCTTGTCATCTTTGGTAGGCACCTGCTCCGCCTCGCCGAGGTACACAACCCTTGCATTCATCAGCTTCTCCCACACCTTCTTCTTATCTTTCCCCATAGCCATCGGTTCACCAATCGCCATCGCGTCATAAATCCTCGAGGTTATAGTTTCTTCCTTATCCACGGATGTAGGCGGCGGCGCGGTAGTAACGGCCGGAGGAGCTGCTGATTCTGCAATAGGAGACGAGCTCTCCTCGGAGGCTAAAGAGACAGGCGGCTTGAAAACCAAGGCTGCAGCGGTGGAGAGGAGTGGCGGCGCGAGGAGAAGAGCGCGGCGAGAGAAGGCGGTTCGGGATGGAGGATCGGAGTCAGAAACAGCGACGACGATGGATAGAGAATTGGTCTTCCTAGTGAGGTTGATCGGAAGATGAAGGCCATGGAAACGGCGACGGCGAGGACGGGAGGAGCACGGGCAGTGAACTGATGGTTGAGAAGTAAAGAGATCAATCCCATTCGTGGTGGCGAGTTTCATTCTCAGAGAAGAGAAACCCGTTTGTACACGTCATCAGCTAACGCCATACATTGCTCGAGGATGATGATGATGATGAATATTCTCTACTGCTTTCACCGCTAACACATTCGTCATTTTTCTTCTGATTTTTTTTAGTATTGACCTTTTTTTTATTATGAAACGCTTGTTGATGATAATAATCGGGGAAGATAAGATAGCCACGTCATTTCTCATTTATCTAAAAAACTCGATAAATCATTTATTTTTCATGGTGCAGAAAATCCACAAGAGTCCTTTAAAAACAAGCTTACACGTCCCATGTTCAGTACTTAACCGATTACATTTTCCATAAGAGTTTATGAGAAGATCAAAATAGACTCTCGAGCTCTTTGCAATCTCGATAAAAAGAAAGATGGGAGAAGATGAATGGTAGAGTCTGCAGATGAAGGAAGATATTCAGAAAGTTGTGCCGTGGAATTGGGAACAAATCATCACTGGATGTTGATATCATGGAACGATGGCAAGACCGCAACAAGAGGCTCCCCATAACCTACGGAGTCTGTTTGCATTTGAAGCATTACGAGTGAGTTTATAAACTATGAATGTGTTTAGTGATGAATGGGATCGATTTTTTGAATACCTCCATCATCTGAAAGAAGCTTGAGGACCTCTCCAGCTACATCCGACTGTTTTCCATTAAATAGCAAGGTCGATGAGATCAGTTTGGTAGTTTTGAAGAAAAACATGGTGGAGGTATTACCGTCACTGGAAGTTCTGTTCCTAACTGATGAAGGTATCCAATCACTTGGCCTTCCTTTATTGCATCACCCTGAAAGAAATTATTTGCTAAGGATGCAACAATAATCTATTTGGGTTAGGAGTTGAAGTTGAAAATGAATTTAGAGTCCCTTTTACCTCTTTACAGCAAGGAGCTTGTTTCTTTCCTTTTACAGTCCTGCTCCTCTGAAACTCACCCACCTTTTTGCAAGAGAAGAAACAAAGATCAAATCAATCCAACAAGAATGCAGAGAAAGAGATATATGAAGAAACCAATATCACTTAATTAGGAGATGGATCTCTCATACTGAGGGAGATGTGACTAGAACGTAGTTGTTAGATCCAGATGCCTCCAAAGCAGCGAGCTTTGATGATTTCCGATATGTTGCATTCAAAAAGGGAGACACTTTTTCAGAGGCGGGTTTTGCTTTGGATGGGGTAAGAGCAGCAGAAACAGAGTTATTCATGGGTTCAGAAGGAATAGGTGGCGCTATGGTCGGAGAAATATCAGCCACGGGTACGGTGTTTGCGGCCGCTCCAATCTTCCGCTTGAGGTTCATCTCGAAATCTCCGACCTGTAGTGAAAAGACAGCATCAGAACTTGTAATTGTTGGGAGGAACCTACGATTACAGTATCAGCCACAAAGTCAAAGAGAGCATCAGAATTAGAGACTTGCCTTAAGTTTCAGCACTGCAACCTCAGTCTCATCACACATCTCGTGAACCAGTGCCTGAAACATTTGAGAAAAAAAATGAAGATACGATTCATGTAACAACATGTATAAATAACGGTCCTTACATCATGTGGAATAAAAATATAAGAAGTAGATTTGCCTGAAGTTATGCATCCAAAACCCTGACGATCTAGAAACTAGCAACACGCATACGCTAGAGAAACCTAACAATTTAACCCCAAAGAAGGCAAAAAGAAGAAACCTCCACTTCTTTCGGGAAAGTTGTCCGTCGAAACGCATTCTTCCCGTTTGACACACTAGCAGCATCAGATGAATCTACAAAATCAAAGATGAAAGAAAAAGAAAAAAGTCAAGGAAAATAAAAAATCAAACGCTCCAAGATGAAGAAAGAATGGGGTATAAAAGACTAAACTCACCATCACTTTTGGTTGTTGTCGAAGACTGAGAGGCCTCTGCACGTAACACAAGCGTGTACTTGCTGTTCCTGCTGAATAATCTCGACCGTGGCACACAAGAGTTTCCAGAAAGCGAGTGGACCTTACTCTCTGAGCTTATGACGGACCCTAAAGTCTCTGCGAGCAAAGAATCAAGCTTAGAGTCTAAAAATCCAACTTCTTGCAGCTGCAACAAAGCACCTAAGAGAAACACCAACGTAAACATCCCAGGACTGTACGAGAAACGAGTCTGATACAAATTAGAGGCACAAGATCGGAAATCGAAATCTAATCACACAAAGAGATCGGATCTATCAAACCATGAGAAAAACCTCAGATAGTTCCATATCACTGAATATAGTTACTCTAAGAAGCAACAGCGAGCTAACGGAGAGCTCGAATCAATTGCAATTTCATTTCGTAATGACATCTTCACTCAGAGTCCTCCGGTTTTCTAAAATTCTCTCATCCCTATGGAACCAACACAGAAATACCAAGAAAAGCACGAGTGAGAATGACAGTGAGGGAGATCGAGTCGCGAGAGACTCACGATGGAGAGATCCGAGAGCTGCAGAAGATTCCATTGGAAGAACAAGGCGTGTGAGCTCGAGATGAGAAAAGGTTTCTGTTAGTTAAGCTAAGGATGGGTTGAAGAAGATGACGGTTGCCTAATTTAATTTTTGAGCGGCCTTCTTTGGTAACTCCGTCCGCCGCATCTTAACCGTACGGTCCGTCACTGCTGTTACTAACATGCGCGCTTATAATAAGCGTACTTTAGTATTTAAAGTATTTAGTAGTTCTTAACATTCCTATATTTCATAGTTACTACTCTGAGGAGTGAGGATAAGACTAAACCTGAAACTTATGACATTCAATCATTTGTAGAGAATGGATACAAAACTGTTTACGATATCTGTAAGATGACTCGTCTCATTAGCAAAAACCAAATGAAATACAAAAAAAAAGTCCCAACATATGTTTTGATTCATATTATTTTTTTTTTTTACCAACATGACAGTAGATATAAAATTCCACAAAATAATGAAAAATTACCATTCAGAAAATAAATGATTCTACTACAATTTTATACTAGGTCGGATAATAAACCGTGTAGTGTCTATCACGTCACCATACACGTGAAGACCTCGGGAAGCAGGATCCCGCAGAGAAAGAAATCAAATCTCTCTGGGGGGATATATATTGTCTCCCTTCATCTTCGTCACGTTAGTTGACTTTCCACTCACACACAAGTATATAACAGAAGCAATGTGAGAGTTAAAAGAATCAGAGAAAACAAAAAGAGTCAGAGAAAAGCCATGTCTCTAGGACTAATCTTATCTTCGGCGATCATGTTGGTACTCGCTGCGGCGGCGACGGCGACGGCGGAAGAGATCGGATACAATGATACCAAACCAATCGGAATAGTCTCCGATAGTCTCCGGGAAGTTCATGAAACCTTCGTCAAGGTTATAGGCCAGTCTCGCCATGTTCTCTCCTTCTCTCGCTTCGCCCACCGGTAAATATTCTCATTTTGTTTATTAGTATTTTGAAATTTTTGAATTTTACAATTTTGGGTTACGAAGGTATGGGAAGATGTATGAGAGTGCGGAGGAGATGAAGCTCCGGTTCTCGGTTTACAAGGAGAATCTCGGTTTAATCAGATCCACCAACCAGAAAGGCTTATCTTACAAACTCTCTCTTAATAGTAAGCCTTCTCTCGAATATTTTTTATTTGAGCTTTGCCTTGTGAGTCACGTATACTAGTTAGTAGTTATTGGATCGGATAGCCTAGAAGTTCAGTGTATCCGCCGGATCAATATGCATATTGCGGATATTCGGATCCGTTCAAAAATAATTAAAAAGTTTTGAAATATTTTGAAAAACAATACAAAATATATATCGATAGTTTGAATTCAGAATTAAAACGTGACCAACACTTTTCTGCTTCTTTAGGGTTTTAAGTTGGCTCACTTGAAGATTGTCCACCTTCCTTGTGGTAGTGTGCGTTGTTTATGCTACTAATAAATCTCTCTACAGAATTTGCTGATATGACAGGGCAAGAGTTTCAAAGACACAATCTTGGGGATGCTAAAAAGTATACTGCCGCTTTAGTGGGCAGCCGCAAGCTCACTGAATCTGCCGTTTTGGTGGGCAGCCAGAAGCTCACTGTATCTGCAGCTGCAATTCCATTAACAGTAACCATCTTCTTAGCTCTGATCTTGAGATAGAAATCTCTCTGCTTGGGTCATTTTTGTAATTCATAACACATGTGAAAATATGGGACTGAGTTCTGGGATTGTGTAACTGCAGAAAGACTGGAGAAAAGATGGAATTGTCAGCCCTGTCAAACAGCAAGGAGCTTGTGGCTCTTCCTAGGCATTCAGGTAAAACATCATCTCCTGAATTTTGAGTGTTTCTTGATGTAAGCAAGATGTGATGAATTTCTGGTATATATGATCCAAACTTTAACTTCAGCGCGACCGGAGCTCTTGAGGCGGCTTACCATCAGGCATTTGGACACAGAACAGATCTCTCTGAGCAACAGCTTGTGGACTGTGCTAAAGATCACGGTTGTAGTGGTGGCCTTCCTGTACAAGCCTTTAGGTACATCAAAGACAACGGTGGGATCACCAACGAAGCTAGTCATCCCATCACTGGCAGAGTGGGTAACTGCTGGTCTCATCGTTATGTCGCTGTAAAACTCCTTGACTATGTCAACATTACCAAGGTACAGCCTCACTTTCAAATTCAAATCACTCTTACCTAACACAAATATGATCCATTTTTTTTGTAATATATGAACAACAAAAACCAATAGGGTGCAGAACTTGAACTGCTGCGCGCGGTCGGGTTAGTGAGGCCGGTGAGTGTTGCCATTCATGTTGGACGTGACTTTCAGTTTTACCGTAGCGGAGTTTTTACTTCCTTGACTTGTCTAAACACTCTAAAGGTGAGTTTTTTTCTTCTCTTTACATTTTTACCAACAACTAAAGATTGTTTTCTGGTTTAGTAATTAAACCGGGGCTTTGGTTGGAACAGGATGCAAACCATTATGTATTAGCAGTTGGTTATGGAAATCAAATTGCACTCCCGTACTGGATTTTAAAGAATTCATGGGGAAGTGATTGGGGAGAAAGTGGCTACGTCAGGATATCAAGGGGGGTAAACATGTGTGGTAAGCTTCGATTTTCGGTTTACTACGGTCGAGGTCTTAATTAAATTTAGTAAAGAATAAATAAAATCGGTTTGTTCTTCTCGAATTTAGCCATCTGTCTTGATTTGTTTTTCCTTTGATGTTGGCAGGTGTTGCAAATAATGCAGTGTATCCGGTTATGGCATGAGGTGACAAAATTTGGTTTTTTTGGGGGCAAATCGTTATAATTTGAAATATGAAATAATGTTGTAAACGTACATGAGCTATTATAAGTTTATGGTGCTTTGCGTTTTCGAATATGTCGTCAATCCTAAAAAAGGGATTTCAAAATAAAAGTCTATTTGCAAAAACACTGCAATTTGTTATTTTCATATTCCTACAAAAAACAAAAATACAATGTTTGTTCGGTTAAATCTATTTTTTCACACTTTAAGTCTGTAACTTCCTAATAATAATCACAATCACAAAACTTAAGCCGGCAATCTCGAAGTTTTGCATCCATATGCAACCAAAGTTTAAGCTAAACTGTTTTGCTTTTGTTAATACTCTGACTCTCTGAGCATAAAACTAAACCTGAAACTTATGAGTTATGACATTCAAGAATGGAGTATAGAGAATGGATACAAACTCTTTAGCAAAATCCAAATGAAATACAAAAAAAAGTCCCAACATAGGTTTTGATTCTTGTCTCTTCCCAAAAATGTCTTTTAGTCTTCTTGCCTCAAGCATGCTTCAGGTAGTCTAAAGCTTAGGCAATACATCGCCTGCAATGTACAAAGCAGTGAGGAGCTAACGTATGATATCTTTATCAATATTCTTCGTTTGTTTTTCTGTAAAAGACAGAACAATTGAGAACTTCTTACCTTGTTTGGCGCAACATCTCTGACCTTGTGGAAGACCGGGTCTTCTATATGGAACTTCAATGCAGTTTCAGCTTCCTTAATAACATCACAAAAGCTGTAATTTAGATTTGCCGAGGCATGCAGAACAATGCCACCAGACATTTGGTACAATGAAGAAACACAATCAGAAAGGGATGATATAACAGAAGCGAGTGGATGGGTTGATTCTTACTGCAACTATAGACTCTGTGGTTTCGCTTGCACGTATGAAGCAATAGCAATGAATTAAAGGCAGAGTTCCCTTCCAATACCTTCTTTGAATAACATTACTGAAAGCATCTGTAAAAAAACAATTACATCAATACATCTTGGAAGTATACACACACAAGACTATAGTCCAAAATTCCAAGACTAGAAATCATACCGAGAAACTGCAAGGCAGAAGCTGGAAGGTTCATAATAACATGGTCGATATGTTCCCACGGCTTTGCGATTGGGAGCAACGTTTGTTTCATCCTCTTATTTGCGTTTCCTTCTATAGTCTTCTTGCAGTCTTTACCTACCCCATTTTCTGCATTTAAATAACAGCTCAGTGATGATGATCCACCAAAGCCAATGGTAACGGTTATTATGTTTCGGAGAAACTTTCTGAGGCATTTCTTACCCGTCTCTGATATACAAGATGGCTTCTTATTTGCAGCAAGAGGCTCATTTATGCTTGCATTAGATTCACTTATTTCCTCTCTTCTAACTCCAGCATTCGTATCCTCTACATTAGTTTAACCAACCGTTACAATTATCCTATTCATTCTCCAGCTAATAAAACCAATTGTGCCAACTATAATGCTAAAAACTGAGTTTAAATCAAAAGGAAATACCTCCTTGACTCGCGACTGCTTCCTTTGCTTTGTCATCAGCAACTGATTGCAAATTACCCTCACAAGTTGAGACCGTCATCAACTGAGAAATGAACTTTCGAGCATCCATATTGTGCACACAAATCAACTCATCGACCTTATTGAACTGTGCATTGATCTTCAAGTACCGAACGCTGTCTGGGTTTAAATCATTTGCGTAAACGAAGCATCCTTTTTGTGCAGCCGGAATAGCAAAAGGTCCAATACCAGCAAACATATCACACACGGTTTCTCCAGGTTTGAACAGAGACGAGAGGCGCATGTGCTCATGCTCCAGTCTCGAGTTCCAATAAACCAGGCTGTAGTCCAGCTTAAACCTTGCCCCATATTGCTTCACTTCTGTTTCCATCCCATTTTCTCCAGCCAACACTTCAAACTTTGGCACTCGAAACTCATTAGAGATAGTCCCGACTTTATTAACAATTGTCTTGATCCTTGGATAGTTTTTCTACGAATACAAAAAAAATCAGCTAGAACATCAGATGTCGTTACTGTCATGACACAGAGATATCGAAAAGAATGCTGTCACAAGAGGAACGTTAAAAAAAACTTACATCGAAGATAACCTTTGCTATAACATCTTTGAATGGAAGGAGCTCATCATGTAGATTCAAATGGGCAATATGACCTGCACATCATAAGCAAAGGAAACGTTGGTTCTCATGATATAGGAAAACTTATAAGCGCAGGAAGCAAACTGAAATTTAATACTTAACTATTGTTTCAAACGATGAAGGTATATCCACTCCATCTGGCAGAATCTGCTTCAGTATGTGATCTGAGAGGAAAGAGAGATATCAGAAGGTCTTTATATGATTTAAACAGACAAGTATCTGTTTATAAATAGCATAACATTGTTGTCTTACCTGCACTCCAATAGGAATACCCAAGGGTGACCGAGTGAGAAACTACTTCAACTGCTTCACTTAGTTTCTTAAGCTGGTTTAGTTTTTCATCGGGTATCTCCAATAAATCTGTCCTATAACAAAAAACGGCTTGCTTAACACAAAAAGTCCCGCCATTTCCACCATCTCCTAAACACAATTTTTCCCAGATAAAGAATAAAACTCTTACCAGAACTTTGAACACTTTCAGACAATATCACCAAACGAGTCTTTTCACAAGCAGGATCTTCGGTGATGGGCTTAATTCGCGGCATGTTGAGCATGTACCTACAAGTTACCAAACCAAGAAACTTCCTTTTCGTCAATAAGAACACAAACCACATTACAAAAAAGGCATTTTACTTCTCATAAGCTCGTTCCAATTATTTATCAAGGTTTGCGATAAGTGCGTTCTGTTCACTGAGCTCATTATTGTTGAATCTAAAGTTTGGAGATAAGGGGTAAGGGATACAAACAAATTCTTGAAACTGAGGTCATCCTTAGTGCAAAGGTCAGATCTTTAGGGAGCTTAAAAGAAAAACGTACCCATTGAGTATCCGAGTTGCGCTTTTACAGAGCTCACGGGGAATTCTAAGAGCCCACAGCTTGAGATTGACATCGAACTTGCTTTCATCAAACATGGTGCTAACGGTGCCGTTTCGCTATTTTCGAGTATCAAGAAGACAAAAGGAAGAGATGAAGAAGACGGCGGAAAATGAAGAACAGACCGCCAAAAAACCGGTGCGTTGCGTCAGTGATCGATCCCTCGGAGTTTTTTTTAGGGTTTGATTTTAAAAATAATAATTAAAATTTATTTCGAAAAAAACAAAAACATTGTTAAAAGATAACAAAATGAGGAGTCGAACCCGTGACTTGAGGTTTTGGGCCGGCTCAGGCCCTAAAATATCTACACGCAACTCTTGTTTATTTGTTTGTTATCGCAATTGAGATCGAATCCTCTCCTCGGCCAAATCAGCGGCACCAAATCTCACGCGCCACCGCAATGTCAAACCCACCGACGCTGCCTGTCTCCAACCAGCAAGATGTTCAGTCACAGCCGCCTATCAACACTCCTGCCTTCCGTACCTTCTTCTCGCGGCTCTCCAGCTCGATCCGTGATGGCTTGTCACAGCGCCGCCCATGGACGGAGCTCGTCGATCGGAGCTCCATGGCGCGACCTGAGTCTCTCACCGATGCCTTGTCCCGGATCAGGAAGAATCTCGCCTACTTCAAGGTTAACTACGTGGCCATCGTCTCCCTCGTGCTCGCCTTCTCCCTTTTCTCCCACCCTCTCTCCCTGCTCGTCCTCGTCGGTCTCCTCGGCGGGTGGATGTTCCTCTACCTCTTCCGTCCGTCGGATCAGCCTTTGGTCGTCTTCGGCCGCACCTTCTCTGACCGAGAGACCCTGCTTGCTCTCATCTTGTCCACGATCGTCGTCGTGTTTATGACGAGCGTCGGATCCCTCTTGACCTCCGCGCTGCTGATTGGCGTCGCGATCGTTTGCCTACACGGTGCCTTTGTGGTTCCGGATGATCTCTTCATGGACGATCAAGAGCCCGCCAACACTGGATTGCTCTCCTTCCTTGGAGGCTCTGCTTCCTCGGCTGCTTCGGCCGTCGCCGGGAGAGTTTAGGAGCTGGATTCGATTCAGATCTTCCGGAAACGAACGTGGAATCTGAGATGAGTATTCGTGCCCTTTTGACTACAGTTGTAATGGTTTTTTGGTGCTGGTGAATTGAATGTAGATTCGTAACGAAGCTTTTCAGATTTTAGAACTAAGATAACTTTTGCAATATCTGCTTCTTGTCTTGTTTTCTCTTTGGTGGCTCGACACTACTTTTATCTGAAAACTCGAAGTTGATCTTTCTCCTATTGTTTGTGGGATTCAGTGTTGAAAAATTCTAGCTTCCTTAAATAGGTTTTGTTCTCTTGTTAACTTATCGCAGTGACTTTCAGAACATTGTTCACCAATACTAAGAAGGATCTTGCTGCAATTGGGATGATCATGGTCAGTTCTTTTTTGCTTTCAGGATTCTTTAGCAGATTGATGAGGATAATAGTTTGATCTAAAAGCAATTAGCCAGAAAATTTAGTGGTTCCAAAATGTTGTATGGTGTTCTCGAATTACTTGGGTGATCGATCTCTGTAGTGTGTGTGGATATGTAGTTCACGGTGTATGTTGCTTGTTCTTCATGGTCCATTTGCTTGTTCTTTGAAAAATGATAGTAGCTGGTGTCACCGTTAGCTTGTACGATGATTGCTGATGTAAACCTTGCTAACACATGAGTCAGTTCTGACACAACCCAAAGCGCACATACCCGAAACACAAAAGTTTAATAGGCAAGCAAAGAACGATGGCTTCATAGGTTTTATATCAAAGCTGATATGCTATGGTCATCGTTCAGAAAAAGCTTTTGCTTACTTAGATATAACCACTTCATGTTTGATAAGTTGGTTTCAGCTAAACATTTGATGGCTCAGAGTAAAAACTTACAAATCCCCACTCGCCCGCTTGCTTTTGGAGGCATCTCAACAACCCGATACAAGAAGTAACAATTTTCATATTTATAAGAAGTTGGCATTGTTGTTTGCTACCCAAAATAAACAATCTGTCAATTTACAAAATTTAAAACAGAGGAATCAATCTGGTAATACTCTCATGGACCATGTGCCCCCAGTTTTTGAGTTCAGCTCAGTATATGTCGATTGCTTGAAAGATGATACAGCAAATTGGTATTTACCAAAATTATTGTTAACGGGAACTTGGTGAAAACGAGGTTTTGGTGTACGATGTTAATGGTTTTGTGCATTAGAAACATAGGAGTCGACAACATAACCTCTGAGATAATGCTTGGACATGATTTCTACGATTGAAAATTTGGCACTTTGGTGTTGTCTACAAAATATTTTAGGAAGAATCCATTTTTCCCTTCAGAAAAACAATTTTTATTTCGAGACGACTAGCAAATCTTGCGATGGCATTTTTCAAAGGCATATCATTTGAGTTATTACCAAAAATTAAACCATATTCTAATCATAGGAATGAAAATGTAATTGTGGAATGACTTCACATGTTTTAAAAGTAAGTGTTTGAATTCGAACAAAGAGTATGTTTTCAAAGCATCGAAGTTCAAAAGCTTCCTTCATATTTAACGAGCTAGATCCAACGGTACACGTGTACCAATCAGCAACTACCTTAAGTAAAAGGGCAAAAGATAGATCAACGTCAACACAATAATAACCTCGTACGGCACAACCCTTGTCTGCTTTCTGAGGCGATACCAAAACCCTTTCTCTTCTTTTTCTATTGTGTGTCTTCTTCTTCTTCTGAGCTACATGTATATACTTTATTATTTTCCACTCTGGAGGGTAGACTCGTCATTAACCAATAAGAAAGTAACCTTGGCACACAGTTGGGCTTAGCAGATCTAGTGATCTATGTCTCGTGGGACCCATTAATATAGCCGTTAGGAGAAGTGAAGGAGCGGTTTGTTGTCCATAGGCAAGCTCCAGCGCATTAACCGAAGCTGGTCTGCAAAAAAACTAAATTAAATAATGCTGTCTTTTTCTCTCTCTCTTTTTTTTTTGTTTTTCACTTTATTCAGGCAAACAATACTTTGATGATCTCTTAGATTTGGAATTAGTATTGCTTTTTATAACCCGCACACGATTAATTAAGAGCAATGAGTTTTTTCGTTAAACAAAAAAATTACAAATGCGTATTAAACCATGATAATACTCTTGAAAAAATCAAATATAAAATAAATATTTTTAAAAAAACCATCATCAAACTTTGTCAGAACCAGCATTTTTGTACTGTGATTATGATTCTAGGTTTTTTGAATTACTATAACAGAGATAATCGTATTTTTTTATTTTTTAAAAAATCTACATTTCTATCTTTTAATAACACGATTAAACAAAATGACATGAGCGGGATCGACTCAAAGAACGAAACAAAATGTTCAAACAAGAACAAAAATAATTAAATGAAACTAGCCGTTGTAGCTCATTTAGTATTAGGCAAGACAGAGAGCCTCTGCTATAACCCCCAACCTCTTATTGCCATCACCTGATCTTTGTCTCCTCTTTCTTTCTCTCTCTCACTAGAAGATAAAAGAACACAAAAAGATTCTCTTTCTCTCTAAGATGGTCACGTGCTGTGTTCTTTTCCAACGAAACCCATCTCTCACTTTACAAAACTCTTTCAAATCCAAAATCTCTCCCTGTTCCATCCTCCTCCAAACTACCCATTAGGCAAATCTCATTCAACCTTATTCTTCTCTCTTCTTCATCTTCCATGGAGTTTATTACCCAAAATCAAGCTTTCTTCTGTTTCACTCCCTTGGATTTGATCAACACCGTCATTGATCAACCTCGTGCTTCACTTCGAAGCCACTTTCTACTTCACCTAACCGTTTTCCTCCTCTTCTTCGTCTCTCCCGGCTCGAGCCAAGCCTTCGACGGTGTCGTGATCACACAAGCTGATTACCAAGGCCTTCAAGCGATTAGACAAGAGCTGATTGATCCGAGAGGCTTCTTGAGAAGCTGGAACGGCTCTGGATTCAGTGCTTGCTCTGGAGGTTGGGCTGGAATCAAATGTGCTCAAGGTCAAGTCATAGTGATTCAACTCCCATGGAAGGGTCTTGGAGGTAGAATCTCTGAGAAAATCGGACAGCTTCAAGCTCTTCGTAAGCTTAGTCTCCACGACAACAAACTCGGAGGCTCCATTCCTTTGTCTTTAGGACTCATTCCTAATCTTAGAGGAGTCCAGCTTTTCAACAACCGTCTCTCTGGCTCAATCCCTGCTTCTCTCGGTGTGTCTCGTTTCCTTCAAACACTTGATCTCAGCAACAACTTGCTTTCTGAAGCTATTCCACCGAGTCTTGCTGATTCCACCAAGCTTCTTAGGCTTAATCTCAGTTTCAATTCTCTCTCTGCTCAAATCCCGTTAAGTCTCACTCGTTCTTCTTCTCTCCAGTTTCTTGCTCTTGACCATAACAATCTCACTGGTCCAATCCCAGACACTTGGGGTAATGCCACTTCTCCTAGTCTCCGTGTCTTATCTCTTGATCACAACTCTCTCTATGGTCCATTCCCATTTTCACTCTGCGGCTTAACTCAGCTACAAGACTTTTCCTTTAGTCACAACAAGATTAGTGGAACCCTGCCTTCCGAGTTAAGCAAGCTCACTGAGCTTAGAACAATGGATATTAGCGGTAACAGTGTTAGTGGCCATATTCCTGAATCTCTAGGGACCATTTCTTCTCTTACACTTTTGGATTTGTCTCGCAACAAACTCACCGGAGAGATTCCTATTTCTATCTCTGATCTGAAAGGCCTAAGCTTCTTCAATGTCTCTTATAACGACTTGTCTGGGCCTGTTCCTACTCTCTTGTCCCAAAGGTTCAGTTCCTCTTCTTTTGTCGGAAACTTACAGCTTTGTGGATACAGCGCTTCGACGCTGTGTCCTCCTACACAGCCTCCTTCACCGTCTCCCCGAAAATCATCCCACGGGAATCTGAGTACCAAAGACATCATCCTCATTGCTTCTGGAGCACTCCTCATAGTTCTGCTTATCCTTGTATTTGTTCTCCTCTGTTGCTTGCTGAGGAAGAAACCTGACAAAACCAAACTCAAGGGCGGAGAGGCTGGACCTGGAGCTGCAGCCGCAAAGACCGAGAAAGGAGGGGAAGCTGAAGCTGGAGGTGAAACCGGAGGGAAGCTGGTTCATTTTGATGGGCCAATGGCGTTTACTGCAGACGATCTTCTGTGTGCAACAGCAGAGATTATGGGGAAAAGCACATATGGAACAGTTTACAAAGCTACACTTGAAGATGGAAGTCAAGTTGCAGTTAAGAGATTGAGAGAAAAGATCACCAAAAGCCAGAAAGAGTTCGAGAACGAGATTAATGTATTGGGAAGAATCCGGCATCCGAATCTCCTTGCACTTAGGGCTTATTACTTAGGCCCAAAGGGAGAGAAGCTTGTGGTCTTCGATTACATGTCTAGAGGCAGCCTTGCCACGTTCCTCCACGGTATGTTTGATACTTGTGCTAAAAGGGTAACTTTTTTTTTGTGGAAATGTAACATTCTTAGCCTTATGTTTTCATGTTTTTTAAATTGCAGCAAGAGGACCAGATGTTCATATCAATTGGCCTACAAGGATGAGCTTAATAAAAGGAATGGCTCGTGGCTTGTTCTACCTTCACACGCACGCAAATCTCATCCACGGAAACCTAACATCAAGCAATGTACTTTTGGATGAGAACATCAATGCGAAGATCTCAGATTACGGACTTTCCAGGCTTATGACAACAGCAGCGGGATCAAGCGTGATTGCTACAGCCGGTGCATTAGGTTACAGAGCGCCTGAGCTCTCTAAGCTGAAGAAAGCCAACACGAAAACCGATGTTTATAGCCTCGGTGTGATCATATTGGAGCTTTTGACCGGGAAGTCTCCGAGCGAGGCCTTAAACGGTGTGGATTTGCCTCAATGGGTTGCGACAGCTGTTAAAGAAGAGTGGACTAACGAGGTTTTTGATTTGGAGCTGTTGAATGATGTGAACACAATGGGTGATGAGATTCTGAATACACTGAAGCTGGCGCTGCACTGTGTTGATCCTACTCCATCAACAAGACCTGAAGCTCAACAAGTTATGACACAGCTCGGAGAGATTAGACCCGAAGAGACGACAGCAACAACATCTGAACCGTTGATTGATCTTCCTGAAGCTTCTGCTTCCACAAGTCAATAAAAAAGAGTGGAGAATTTTGGTAGTTGGTAGTAGACTTTTTTTTATGCAATTCTTTGATTCTTCAAGTAGGCTTTATTTTTATTTCTTTCGTTTCTTTAGTGTTTTTAACCATTTCATCATCCGTTTGTGCCTGTAAATACTCTAAGCTGGTTATGCTTCTTTTTCATAAACAGAGTTCTCTGTTTTGTCAAGTTTAAGTGAAAATTTGAGGGCAGAACGTAAAATTTGAGTCTGTAGAAGGTACTATAAGAAAGATGGTAAAATTATAGTGAAGTATTGAGAAGACTGGAATATATAAACATAATCGCCAAATCATTAATACATGCAAAGTGGGCATATAAGCGTAGTTGTATCAACTAATTTTTACTTAATTAATTGATTCCAAAACTCTATAAAATATAAATTATCACCGTATTTCCCACAATTGGTAAATCCGACCGGAAAATCAACGATACAATCGGTAATCCAATTCGTTTTTAAAACCCGGCCACAGATAACCCGTTTCCACCTGGAAAACCAGTAAAACCAATGGTTTGAAAATAGAAATTGGATCTTAACTATTATTTGGCAAGTACTTTTTAATAAAATTTGCTGATTTGTACAATTTAATGCTGATCTGGAATAGTGACTTGGAAATGTGACAAAACAAATTTCTTAAAATAAACGAAATGTTTTGATTGGTTGAGTTATAATTAAATAAATTATATAATTATAACATAAATACTCTAGATTATAACACTAAAATTTATAAATTTAAATAAATAGAAAATAATAAATTAATATGATTTCAATTTGTTTTTACATGAATTCATAATAGATTACATAAAATATGATTACGAAAATTTTGCAACCAATATATATTTTATATTTTTTAATAGAAAAAATAATATATTATCTTATAAGATAGTATATTCGCTATATACTAATATGGTTGAAAGTATGATATATTATTATTTGTATAATATAAAATATTTTATTATCTGTTTGACTGTCACAAATTTTATAATAAATATTTATTTTAAATTTTATTTGATATAATATAACTAAATATATGGATAAAAAGTAAAAGTAAAAATAAAAATGAATCTTTACGATTTTGGTTTTCTGTAACAATCTCAAGCTATGTCTTTGGTTTAAAGCATTTCTAACCTACCTTTATTTTAAATGTTCTAATTTAGTGAAAAATATTGATGTTATTTTTTCTTCTATAATTGGAGGAAAACTTAATATTTTTTCTTTTTTTATTTAAGATACAAATAGGTTAGAGAGAAATCCACATATATTTTAGAAGAAAAAATAAAAAATACATTGGAAATAATTTTTAATGTTTAATATTTTATCCAAGGTTAAGAAAAAAATAAGACAAAGAGAATAACTTGGATTAATTTTGTGTTTTTATTTCAAAATATATAAAAATATTATCTTACACATATTAGTTCTTTCATGCATATATTTTTTTTCAACATCTTTAAATATTATTTCATGAATCAAGTTTTGTATATGTTATGATACATTATATATAAGATTAACACATATATCAAAGTTAGGAACAAAAAAAATTATTTTGTAATATAACAATTAAATATTAAATATATTATTTTACACCTTCAGCCATACATATATAAGTTTATGATCCGACTGGTTTAAACGCTGCGATTACAAAGAGTTTGTGAAAGCGAGCGATTGCAGGCTATAAAAATTTTGACAAAGAGATAAGAAGAGAGCTACTGAAGAAATTTATAAAATAAGAATTCAAAAATATTATAATAAATTTTTTTATAATTGTTGTTGAGAAACCATATATCATAAAACGTTGAAAATAAGAAATTTTGATTTAGTACAAAATGATAGAAATAGTTTTCGTGATTGTTGTTAAACACCAAAACTGTATCGTGTAAAATCATATCATTTGCGAAAAATATTAGAAAAACTAACTAACACATAAATATTACAATTCACTTATTTATAACTCATACCTACATATATAAATATACGTATTTTTCATTAAAGATGCATGTATATATAAATCAAAGTCGCATGAAAATTTGTCGTGCATACATTTTCATAACCTCGATTATAGTCCAATTTTAATTTTAATTATTAGTCAATTTGTATTTATTAATAAAATATTTATATGTCTTAAGAGCAGTGAGGTGGTTGGTATGTACGAATGTGCAGACCAATCATCTACCTGCTTTAGGATAAGTAGTTATTATTAATACATAATTTCAAAATTATTTTTTTCTATTAAATGTTTATATAATGTTATTATTAATGCATAATTAATTATATAAGAATAAAATATCTTCAATGTATAATATTTATTATAGATTTAACATATAAAATATTTTATAGCCTGTACACGGTGCGAGCCGATCATCTAGTTACCAATTATTCATGGATCAAATAATCTAAACCATTCATTTTGATTAAAATGTTTGAAACTCAATCATAAAACACAGTATTTCTTTTTTTCCAATGTTGGCCTTAGAAACAAATCTTGCTAGCCCAAATATGATGATAAGTTGGAAATATAGTCATATAAAGAAAGTAAACATAAATATGACATTTTTATAAAGATTTTGAAATTTCATTTTTTTTTCTGAAATATTTCTACTACAAGTTTCTCAAATTCAAAAATACATTTCTATAACAAATATATATTTAAATATTTATCATAATAATGAATATACAACTTTAAAAAAAATCTACATACAATTGTTGAGTTTATCCTTATTTTGTCAGCAAGCAAATTCGCCTTTTGCTTGCTTATGTCTTTCTTTTTACAGAAAAAGCCGAAAAAGGTTTAAACAGAAAGGTCAAAAAACAAGAGGAGCCAACACAGTTGTAACGCAAATATCAGTGCAAAATAATAAATATCTTCCAGCACAGCAACAGTACCACAAGCCTGCCACGCGCCTGCATCCAACTCTCAATCTTGTCCATCCACGTGTCATTAATCCACAGCCTCATCATCCATATAACCTCACTTTATATTCCCTCTTCCGCCACCACCATTCACCTCACAAAAAACCCTTTCTCCTCCCATTTCGTTGCAGAAAAAGAGAAAATCCGAGAAGCTAAGAAAATTTCCCAGGAAAACAACAAAAATGCTTCTCAAGGCCGCTTCCGCTTTCTCTCTCTTGAACATTCATGGAGAGAAGAAAGACATCTCTCCTCTCTTCTCTTCCATTTCGTCCCCGGCTGATTTCTCTTTGACTCTTCCTGGGTTTTCCGGGAAATCCGGGAATCTCTCCTTCACCGCTCGTGCCTCTAAGCCTACCACCACCCAAACGCTAAGCGGCGTCGTTTTCGAGCCGTTTGAAGAGGTGAAGAAGGAACTCGATCTGGTCCCTTCGGGTCAGCAGCTCTCGCTTGCTCGCCATTTGTACTCCCCCGAGTGCGAAGCCGCCGTGAATGAGCAGATCAAGTGAGTGTTTTTTCGTGTTAGGTTTGAATCATCTGGTGTTGTAAATCTGTCGATTTAACTTAATTTTCTGCTTGAACCCTATGTTTTGAGATTGGGTTTTTTTGGGTATCCTCTATGAATCTGAATTTTCGTTAATGGTTGTTTCTTTGCCGCAGCGTTGAATACAACGTGTCTTATGTGTATCACGCGTTGTATGCTTACTTCGATCGTGATAACGTTGCTCTCAAAGGTCTTGCCAAGTGAGTTTTTTTTTTTTCTTCTGGAAATGTTAAAGTTTATTCAATTCTTTGCTAATATTCGTTCTGGGTGTGTAGAGTAATCAGTTGTTTGGTGTGTTACTATCAGATTTTTCAAGGAATCGAGTGTGGAAGAACGAGAGCACGCTGAGATGTTGATGGAGTATCAGGTCATTGACCAATTGTTTTCATATTGTTTCATTCGTAACCACATATTCATTTGAGCTTAGAATCTGACACCGTTTCTCTCTTGTTCCCATGGCCTACAGAACAAACGTGGTGGGAGGGTGAAGTTACAGCCCATGGTGATGCCTCTCTCTGAGTTTGATCACGCTGAGAAAGGAGATGCTCTCTATGGTAAGCTCTTTTCTTGTTTCTGAGATTGTGGATGAGGAATTCAAGTGTAAAGTAGTAGTACTAGTTTCCTATCTGTAGAATTTAGGAAAAAAAAGAGGTTGTGGGTTTTCATCAGCAAGGGACAGAGTGATAGGCATATTTGCAAAATCATAATGATCTTTGTTGTTGTTGTTGTAGCCATGGAGCTGGCTCTATCATTGGAGAAGCTGGTCAATGAAAAGCTCCTAATCGTGCACAGTGTAAGACCATTATTACTCCTCGATTCTCAACTCTTGTTTATGGCACTCATGTCATTTTATGTCTAATGTTCTAAGAAATAAAATACACTCTCCTCACACAATTTGCATTTGAATAATGTTGGGCAAACAGGTGGCTTCGAAGAACGATGATGTCCAGTTGGCAGATTTTATTGAGAGCGTGTTTTTGAACGAACAGGTAAACAAAAAGAACCACGTTCTATGTTAGTGGCAAAGGATGATCTTACAAAAAGGGAATCTAATGGAGTTAAAATAAACATCACTTTCGCAGGTTGAAGCGATTAAGAAAATCTCGGAATATGTCTCTCAGCTCAGAAGACTCGGCAAAGGACATGGTATAACCATTTTTGTATTCTCTGTTTAATAATAGTAAAAACACGTTCCTCGTTTTCGTCCACTTCATGCCTCACACTTTTTGTTTTATGTGTTCAGGAACATGGCATTTCGATCAGGAACTTCTGGAAGCTGCTGCTGCTTAACCTGTTTTGGTTGTAACCTCTTATGAACTTCTGCTTAATCTCTTTTGGTTGTAATCTCTTATAAAACTGATGCTTAATCCGTTTTGGTTCAGGAATATTATTATCCTTTAGTTTTATTTACATCGGGTGATTCACAAACCTTTTGAGTCGAGTAACTATTTCTTTTTGATAACATGTTACCATTAGCGGAACAAAGAATTGCAAAACTTCAGAAAATCCACTGAGACAATTCAGAGGGCAAAGTCAGTAACCGGATAAATAGAGTAAAGATTCCCGGTTTACGGGTTAGGCCAATTTTGACCAATTTTGTTTGTCTCCTTGTTATATTCTCTCATCCACTAACTTGCACATCAGTCATCAAATAATACAATCATGGATTCATAAAGAAAGAGAGATATATACATACAGTATTTCCCTCTCACATCACGTCGTAGCAAATAACAACATGACACGTGTCCACACATTAATTTATTTGATTGCGAGAAGCTTGTTTTCTATTTTTAGCTCTGTACACATAAAAAACAAATGATCTTCTCTGCTCTCAAAGAATCTCGATCAGAGTCTCTTCTCGCTGTTGTGTGTGTGACAACGGAAGAAAGAAATGACGAAGAACATCTTTCAAAGTCGGAAATTCTCAGGCCTCTGTGTTCTCTCGATCTTGCTCGTAGCAGTCACAGTCATCCTCCTAACCAATGACACAATCGATCTCTTCCCTTACTTGTCTCTCTCTTATCTCCGTCGATCTCCTCTCTCCGATATCCCCACTTTCACGCCAGCCTCGAGTCCCACCAACGACTCTTCATCGCCTCTGGAGTCACCGGTTTTTTCTCAGACCCGAGTCGATGATGATCCGATCGATCCAGGTTTGGAATTGGATTGGCTCAAAGACAGCAAATGGAATCTGAGTTTGAAGGTGGACTGGAAGAGATGCGAGAGTCCTGATTACATGCCGTGTTTGGATAACACGAAAGCCATCAAGAAACTCAAGTCGAAGAGGCACATGGAACACAGAGAGAGACATTGTTCCGAGACTGCACCCAAATGTCTCGTTCCTTTGCCACAACGCTACAAGGTTCCTCTTCCTTGGCCTCAGAGCAGGGACATGGTGAGAGACTCGTTTCTATTTTTTCGGTAAGATCTTTTCTTGAAAGATTTGTGATTGTTTCTTTGGTTATTGCAAAAAAATGAAAAAACGAGGTTTTCTTGGTTCTTGTTTTGTTGGTTATATTAGATCAGCACCTCTGTAATTTTGTTCTGCTTTCTTAATTTCTTGTTTTTTTTTGCAGATTTGGTATGATAACGTTCCACACCCGAAGCTTGTAGAATACAAGAAAGATCAGAACTGGGTTCGTAAGTCTGGACCTTTCTTTGTCTTCCCTGGAGGCGGAACTCAATTCAAAGACGGTGTTATTCACTACATCAACTTCATACAAAAGGTATACAGTTTTATACATAAACCAAAGTTGATCTTGAGTCCTCTTCTCTTGATTTTACGGTATTTTGTTTTTACAGACATTACCTGAACTTGAATGGGGGAAGAAAGTAAGAGTGGTTCTTGATGTTGGATGTGGTGTGGCTAGCTTCGGTGGGACTTTACTAGATAAAAATGTGATCACAATGTCATTTGCTCCTAAAGACGAGCACGAAGCTCAGATTCAATTCGCATTAGAACGAGGAATTCCCGCTACTCTAGCTGTTATCGGAACTCAAAAGCTTCCTTTTCCTGATAATGCTTACGACGTCATCCATTGCGCAAGATGCAGAGTCCATTGGCACGGATACGGTTTGGATACAACCGATTCGGTTCGGTTTATGATTGATCTTCAGAAAGTTTCATGCTTTTTGTTAATACTGTCATGGAAATGTGTGTGTGTTGCAGGTGGTAAACCGCTTTTGGAACTTAACCGGATTCTAAGGCCTGGAGGGTTTTTTGTTTGGTCAGCTACGCCTGTTTATCAACAAGATGAAGGGCACCGAAATGTTTGGAAAAGTTAGTATAAATTTGTTGTTTAACTTCTCCTGATTATGTTAATTAGCACGCAGAAGATGGTTTATGAATGTTTTGCTTTTTGTAATTTTTTGTTTTTCTTGTAGCTATGGAGTCTTTGACTACATCAATGTGTTGGAAAGTTGTGGCTAGAACACGATTCACAAAAGTTGGTTTCGTGATTTACCAGAAACCAAACTCAGACTCTTGCTATGAGTCCCGTAAGGGAAATGATCCGCCTCTCTGCAACGAAGAAGAAACAAAGAGAAACAGCTCATGGTAAATGACATTTCTTTACATTTCAACAAAAGCAGATTTTTGATGTCTCTTGACCAATACCAATTCCGGTTTGTGAAATCATAGGTACACTCCTCTGCTTAGCTGTTTACCGAAAGTACCGGCGGGTCCAACCGGGAAATGGCCTTCCCGTTGGCCTGAAAGGTTAACCGATAGGCTGGTTAGCCTCTTAACAGAACAGATCAGTGAAGAGAGTTACAGAGAAGACACAAGACTCTGGTCTGGAATCGTATCAGATATCTATCTGAACGGTTTAGATATAAACTGGACAAGGATTCACAATGTGATGGACATGAATGCTGGTTATGGAGGGTGAGACAATTCTTCAATATAGTGTTACTTCAGAAAAGTTATCTTTCTAGTTTTCTTAATTACCTTTTGTTCTTAATTTGCTTTCAGATTTGCAGCTGCTCTTATAAACAGACCTCTCTGGGTGATGAATGTGATTCCTGTGGAAGGCGAAGACACGTTATCAATGATTTTCGATAGAGGTTTGATTGGGATTTACCATGACTGGTGTGAGTCTTTCAACACATACCCAAGATCGTATGATCTCTTGCACTCTAGTTTCCTTCTCACCAATCTTTCTCAAAGGTAACCTTTTTATGATTCTCAGCAAAACTACTTGCTGTTTTTTATTTTGTTTCCTTAACTTTTGGTTTTTGATTTTATCAGGTGTGATTTATTGGAGGTGGTGGTGGAGATAGACAGAATAGTAAGACCAGGAGGGTACCTTGTGGTGCAAGACACCGTTGAAATGCTAAAGAAGCTTAACCCTATTCTTTTATCTCTCCGATGGTCAACGAATGTGTACAAAGGCAAATTCCTTGTTGGCTTGAAGTCGTCTTGGCGTCCGTAAACACAACATCCATCCTCTCTGTAACAAGGATTAAAGGAATTTTGATTAGAGATGTTCAATGATTTTTGATTAATTTTTTTCTTTCGTTTTAGAAAGTATATGGAATCAAACCATTTTGATAACGTCTTGTCTTTAGATATACTATTTCAAAACAATTGCAAGTTGAATCTAAACAATTCCTTTCTCTTCCATTTTCATTCATCAGTTTTAGTTCTGAGATATAGAAGAAAGAAATCTGAGTAAGAAAATGACAATGCAAAAGTTTGAGTTTTCTCAAGAACGGTGGTTTTGATAGTGGGCCTGAATTATATTTGGGCTTTTTCAATGGGCAATACGAATATGAGAAAATATAAGGACAAAACCGAGAAAACACATAAATATCTCTGTCTCAATGTGTCAAAAGCCCTGGTAAAACCCTAGCTCACAAATCCCTTAATCCCTTGAGCCGTTATATAACTGTTCACTCGCATCATCGACTACAGAGACTCGTTGGGAGCACGATTTCTTCTGCAAAGGTACCTCATTTCGGTGAACCCATTACTTGTTCTTGAATCTTCTTTTACTCCAGTTTAATCCGTTCGATCTCTGTTTCATATATTTGCGTTGTTGTATAGTGTAAAAGCACATATCGAAGGCTTGCAGATAACGTATAATTAAATCGCCTGCGAGCTCAATATTTGTGCTAAATCCTAAACCATCCATTGAGATTTTTTAAAAAATCTATGTGTTATAAGAATATATATTTTCTTATCGACAATTTTGATGGCTGGAACATTTCTTTCTCGATTTTAGGAATGAAACATTTGGTTAGAATCTGAGCGGATCTGTTTTGAATCATTGAGTCCCTAGTCGTTTGCATTGAATCAGACAATAGTCTTTTTGCTGTTTGAACAGTTTGTGACTTTGTGTTGTGTCTATCTAATGTGTTAGAGGAATTGATCCGGTCTTAACCTTTTTCAACTTACTGAATTTGGTAGATCTGTTTCTGAATCGTTACTTTGTTACTGGCAGGATTTGGAGATTTAGTGAAGCCTGAGGAAAATGTCAAACCCGAAAGTCTTCTTTGACATCTTGATCGGGAAGATGAAGGCAGGGCGTGTGGTGATGGAGCTATTTGCAGATGCAACACCAAGAACAGCTAATAATTTCCGTGCTCTGTGCACTGGAGAGAAAGGAATTGGGAAAGCAGGGAAGGCATTACACTACAAAGGCTCAGCCTTTCATCGTATAATCCCAGGGTTCATGTGCCAAGGAGGAGATTTCACCCGTGGGAATGGAACTGGAGGTGAATCGATTTACGGGTCTAAATTTGAGGACGAGAACTTCAAGTTGAAGCACACTGGTCCGGGGATTCTGTCTATGGCGAATTCAGGTCCCAACACGAACGGTTCTCAGTTCTTTATCTGCACGGAGAAGACGTCGTGGCTTGACGGGAAACATGTTGTTTTCGGCAAAGTTGTTGATGGGTACAATGTGGTGAAAGCGATGGAGAATGTTGGATCTGACGGGGGAGCTACCTCTGAGCCAGTTGTGATTGAAGACTGTGGTGAGCTCAAGAACTGAATGTTGAGAAATCTCAAAAACACATTGGGTTGATCTTTAATCAAATGTTGTGAAGCGGAGGCGAACATCAGTGGTCGTTTTGAGATCAATCTAAACTGTGATGCAAAACAGTGAAACACTACTTAGGTTTTGATGACAATGCAGTATCGAGTGATTCTTCCTTCTAAGTTTTTGTTTGATAAAACTCCATGGAAAAAAGTAGGATGGATGATATAATAATGGTAAATTTCTTTATGGAGACATTTGTTTTTGATTAGATGTTGGATTGTTTCGTGTTTTAGTTTTAGTTGTGCATAAACCAATCCATCATAGGAAAAACTTGAGAACTTGTATTCGAAATTATAAAATTCACTGTAGTGTTTGTTAGAAGTTTTGATTATCCAAGAACTACTATATGTTATTATTTTATTACTTGAGTTATTCAATTGAAAGTAACAGTTGTTTGAAGTTTCTTTCACATGTCGGTTGTGGAGTAGCTGTTAGCTACAGTATTGTTACTGTCAGCATCAATAATACAAGTATTTGGTATAGCTTCATTTCGGTTGGAGAAGTTCTGATTACAAGTTTTGCCTTGAAATCAATGCTATTCTTGTAACTATAATAAATCTAATCAACTAACTCGTAATTAAGAAAAATACTGGTATACTATTTCACATCCACATTTTTGTTTCAATTCAACAAATTAGGCCCTCTTAAATACGGGATCACGTGGCATCTTATTCACATGTACATGCAAAGCTATTACTTGGACCTGACCAACTACAGAAATATATGAAATAAAAAAAGTACAACGAAACCAAACTTTTTTATACAACAAAACGTGTACATAATTACTTTATAATAAATACAATAATCTAACATGGAAATTAATATAACCTATGGACCTGAATGCGCCTGAACTTCACTGGTAATACGAAAATGGCGCCGAAGCCACCTTCGAATAACCGTGAGAGATGGGTTCCCTTTATTTTATTGGTTTTGTGTGTGTTTATTATAAAGGGAAGTTCAGGCGCATTCAGGTCCATAGGTTATATTAATTTCCATGTTAGATTATTGTATTTCTCTTTTTATTATGCGCTTATCTTTTTATATGTGCATGAACCTATAGTATTTCTCTTGTTTGCTCCAAAAGAGAGAGAACAATATACAAATATAGATAATATTTCTTATACACTTTAAGCAAATATAATCTTACAATATAATGGTTTATCATATTTTCCGATTAGTTTATTTCATTCTCATCGCAAATATCATCTTCCATGGCCCGTGTTATTCCGAGGAAGGTATACTAAACTTACCATTCAATTTATGATTTGGGTTGCTCTCTCTTGGTATACTAATTCCTATATTTTATTTTATTTTATAATCTTTTTTTTGTCGTGAAGCAAGTGATTATAGTTTTATGAAAGATGCAACATTAGCACCAAAGTTGTCTCTCTTCGACTATATCATTATCGGAGGAGGAACCGCGGGATGTGCACTAGCCGCAACGCTCTCTCGAAACGCTACCGTGTTAGTTCTCGAACGTGGTGGGTCCCCTTACGACAACCCGACGGCGACAGACATCGGAAACTTCGCCAACACAGTCTCAAACACAACTCCAAACTCGTGGTCGCAGCTTTTCATCTCCGAAGACGGCGTTTACAACTCACGCGCACGCGTGCTCGGCGGAGGCACTGTCCTAAACGCGGGATTCTACACACGTGCGGAGGATGATTACGTGGCGGAAGCCGGTTGGGAGAGAGATGAGGTCGAAGCGGCTTACGAGTGGGTCGAGAGGAAAGTGGCGTTCGAACCGCAAATCAAGGGATGGCAATCGGCGTTTAGAGACGGGCTTTTGGAAGCTGGAGTGATTCCGTACAATGGTTTCACGTACGGACATATCTACGGGACGAAAATTGGCGGTACGATATTTGACCGAGATGGTCACAGACACACGGCCGCGAACTTGTTGTTGGAGTATGCTAATCAGAATACGGTTATTGTCTACTTGCATGCTTCTGTTCATAAGATCCTCTTCACCACCAAAGGTATCGATTAGTCATTTTCCATAGTAAGAGCTTTATACTTTCAAGAAGAAAGTGGCATGACTCGTGAGGATTAAAAAGGGAGAAAGAGATTTGACCTACACGTAAACCCTTTTCTTTTTCTCACAACTTGAGTGTAATTTAAGAGAAATATCAAGATAAACACTTTTATACACTTGCTTGATATCTAATACCAAACACTAAATTATGACATAATGATATTTTTGTTGTTGTTGAAATCTGACTCAATAAACACTGTTACGTTTTAGATTTTTAGTTTTAAATTTAATCATATATACTATAACTTAATGGAAGATGTTAATTTAACCAATGCTTTTGTTAAGTTATATATAAATTATATTATAAGTTTATAACAAAAACAACATACTCACTATAACATAAACTTTTAAAAGGTAAATTATATTTATTATGTCGCTAAATCTTAATTAAGGCAAAACTAGCGGTGCAAAACGCAATGAACGAGGTGATTTTGTGTGCTGGTGCCCTCGGGAGCCCGCAACTATTGATGTTGAGTGGTGTGGGACCTGCCACTCATCTTGCATCCCATGGGGTGAATCCGATCATCGTAGATCAACCCATGGTGGGGCAAGGGATGGTTGATAACCCGATGAACCCTATCTTTGTTCCTTCTCCTCGAACCGTAGAAGTCTCTCTTGTCCAAACCGTTGGCATCACAAAATTTGGTAGTTACATTGAAAGTGCAAGTGGCTTAAGCCTCTCTATCAGTTTGACCCGTAGCTTCTTCGATGGTGTTTTAAATCTTGTCAATGAGGTATAATCAATTAATCTAATTAAACGTTATATAACTATAAAATTACGCTGATATTTCTGTATGATGTTTTTTTTTTTGTATGCAGACAACACTCCACACCGAATCCATCTCAAACTTTCTCAAATCTTTGGATATTCGATTGGACTTGACGACAAAAGCGGGTGTGATACTCCAGAAAGTCGCAGAACCGGTCTCGAGAGGTTACTTGGAGCTGAGGAACAAGAACCCAGATGATAACCCTTCAGTGAGATTCAACTACTACCAAGAGCCAGAGGATTTAGACATGTGTTGAAGGACTTGGTACCATAATCAAAGTGATTAATTCGAAGGCATACGCTAAGTACAAGTACACGGAAGCAACTGCGCGTGAACTGCTGAACCTCATTCTTGCCATTCCCACAAATCTGAGGCCAAGGCACATAACCTCAACGTTCGATCTAAAGCAGTTTTGTATCGATACCGTGATGACCATTTATCATTACCATGGAGGTTGTCAAGTTGGAAAAGTTGTCGACAGCGATTACAAAGTATTAGGGATCGATGCTTTGAGGGTCATTGATGGATCAACGTTTCTCAGGTCTCCAGGGACTAACCCACAAGCCACGATAATGATGCTCGGAAGGTAACACATAAACAAATTGAAACAAACTTATTTTTATATGATTATATCATATGATTGTCTAAAAGTTATGGTCATGTGTAGGTATATGGGACAGAAGATTCTTCGAGAGAGGGCGACTTTCCGAGGAAAGTAAGAAGATACATGAGATTTTCAATATTCTCAAAAATCTTAATATTTGGGGATTGTTGCTCCCATATAAGATGAGACAATCCTTCTTCAATTCATCGTCCAAACAAAATAAAGAAAACTCTGATATGTAGTGTATTTGTATCATTCGTGAATCTTGCGCAAGTGGATTTTCTCTTGTACTAAAATTTTAAATTTAAACAGTAAAAATATAATTTTTTGTTCAGAAACAAGAGCGATTATTGATTTTGGTAGTATAATTATTTTACAGTTTCTATAGAACATGCAAGGTTTAATTTCAAAGAACCGCATATCAAAAACTATTCAATATACATACTTATTAGATTGGCGTCAAGAGATAATCTTATTGAATATACGATGGTTTTGAATATTAGATCATTCACAGCAACCATATAATTAAGAGTCAATGGCAGATTCAATTAATGCACGGCCCTTAAGCAAAAATTTATAGTTTAGTTCATTAAGCAAAATTAATTCCCATGAAAGTGCACTGTCTTGTAAAAATTAAACAAGACGACGGAAAAAATAAAAGTAATAAGTAAAAGAGGTCAAATGGAACAACTAAAGGTTAACGTAAAGACAGCATAATTACGGAGAAGTGATATTACGTGCACTTTGTGCGTCGTGGGGGAACATTGACTGCAATGGAACTGTCTGCGAACATAAGGGAAGATTATTCATCCTATATGACAAGATTTGGGAATTACTAAGGAAAAAGGTCAAATCCGAAAGTCTTCTTTAATTGATGATATCTTGATTGGAAAGATGAAGGCGTGTTGTAATGATTAAAGATCGTGCCATCGTGGTGAGCTCAAAAACCAAATTTTAAACTCTTGGGTTGATCTTAAGATCTTGACAGATGCTTTCATGTGTGAGCCGAGACAACATCATAGATCGTTGAGATTTAATCTAGACTGGACAGTGATGCAAACACAAATCTTAGGTTTTGACAATATCATACAAAAACCTTAAGCAATGTTGTATCCTACTATTACTATGCATGCATTCTTTAGTGATTGAGAGAGTACGTAGGAGGGATGGTAATAAACTAATAATGGTATATTTCTTGATGGAGACATTTTGTTTGGTTTTTCTGTGTTTTCTAACTTATGATGGATTGTTTCATGTTTTGGTCATAGTTTCGAACAAGCCAAACTTTTGCGATTTTTATATTTAAACTTGTAAAATTGGTAGTAGTTTTGTCGCCTTCAATTCTGGAGTTTATTCAGGCTGTAAGATGGTTGATTCATCCATAAATAAGATCCAAGGAGAAAGCCCAATATAATTAAACGTATGCAACAAATTGTAGGTGGATATGGTAAAAGGGGTCATGGTGGTCGAGGTACCCACGGAACACCACACTAAAATCTCTATAAATGTTTCTCTTTCGGTTCTACTGCTTTATTTGAGCAGTATTTAAATTTAAATTATATGACATTAAAGTCATATCTTTGCAGTTTCTTTTCCTGTATTTTAATTGAAAACTTTTTAAACAAAAAGAACTTATAAAATTGTTGACTTTTTGAAATGGGCAGATTTCTCCTGTATCATTTCATTATCAATACTCAACAACATTTAGACACAGTTTTCTCAAAGAAACTACTCCAACTACCGGTTTGCCTTTTGCAGTTATTGCTATTTTAATTTGTAACTAAAAAGTCTAACAAACTTTTCGACATTTATAATACATTCATTTCTTTTAGAGACAACATTTATATTAGGCGGGTTTAAATCTGAGTTATACATTCGCCACTATAAATAAGGAAAAAAAAAATCTTGACCGCCGTCCTCCACCACATCATTGGCTTTGGACTTGGTCAGATCATCATAAAAAAAATCATGAGGATTATATTGATAAAACAAATATGTTATTGATAAAACAAAATCTATCATACAAATTTATTGCCAGTGCAATCTATATGGACCCATTTGATGGTGACAGGAATTAAAGGATTTGAAAAAGAAGCCAAAGCCACCATCGATGACTTGACCGTGTGGTTCGTTCCCTTTCTTTCATATACAGCTTCGAACAAGAGTATCATATATAATTTCACCTTTACTATAAAAAGCGCATGAGCTCTAGACTTGTTTTCTGCATGCCCCAGGAGATAAAACTACAAACCAAATATATTTTCTTGAGGGGTAAAATTGAGTGTGTATAGTTAATCTTACACAGTAATGTACTTTCATATTTTCCGATTACTTCATTTGATTCCCGTCGCAATATATATCTTCCACGGTTCGTGTTATTCTGATGAAGGTATAAATATTCAGTCTCCTCTACCATCCATTAAAATTATAATTTTTAGGTTATCATTAATATATAGTAATTGCATTTTTTTTTTTTGAAAATTCTTGTTCGTGAAGCTGGTGATTATAGTTTTATGAAAGATGCAACATTAGCACCAAAGTTATCTCAATTCGACTATATCATTATCGGAGGAGGAACCGCGGGATGTGCACTAGCCGCAACGCTCTCTCGAAACGCTACCGTTTTAGTTCTCGAACGTGGTGGGTCTCCTTACGACAACCCGTCGGCCACAGACATCGGAAACTTCGCCAACACACTCTTGAACTCAACTCCAAACTCGTGGTCGCAGCTTTTCATCTCGGAAGACGGTGTTTTCAACTCTCGCGCGCGCGTGCTTGGCGGAGGCACGGTCCTTAACGCGGGATTCTACTCGCGTGCCGAAGATAGTTTCGTGGAGGAAACCGGTTGGGATAGAAATGAGGTCGAAGCGGCATACGAGTGGGTCGAGAGGAAAGTGGCGTTCGAACCGCAGGTTAAGGGATGGCAATCGGCGTTTAGAGACGGGCTTTTGGAAGCTGGAGTGACTCCGTACAATGGTTTCACGTACGGCCATGTTTACGGGACGAAGATAGGCGGGACGATATTTGATCGGGATGGTCATAGACACACGGCGGCGAATTTGTTGGAGTATGCAAATGCAAATACGATTGTTGTCTACTTGCACGCTTCTGTCCATAAAATCCTCTTCACCACCAAAGGTATTTGGTTGATTTTTTTTTTTTGGGACAAATTATATGGTTGATATTTAATGCACGTCGTTGTGATTGAAAATGGAAATAAATGTATTGGGAGATATAGTTAGGTAAATACATATGTAGTCCAATATATATCCCAATAAAATTGCATGGCTCACGAGGGTTAGGAATAAATAAGGAGATCACGTAGCTTACACGTAATCGAGCTTTTTTTTTTGTTTTATAGTGACAACTTTTTCTTTTCTTTTTTTAAGCTGAGATGCTCCTTTTTTTCAAACAAAAATATTTTGTTTAGGTCAACACTTCGTTATTTTTATCATCTTTTATTTGTTGATTTTATTAGCACATATTATTATATTTCTGTAAGTCGTTGAACAGGACCATCCACATTTTCATCTATCGTCTCGAAGAATTAATTTAGTTCATACAGGAAGTCCAAGGCCCAAAGCATATGGGGTGATATTTCGAGATGCAAATGGAGTGTTCCACACAGCTGAACTAGCGACACAGAGCAACACACTGAATGAGGTAATTTTATCGGCGGGTGCCATCGCAAGTCCGCAGCTATTGATGCTGAGTGGTGTGGGCCCACTGGCCCATCTTACAGCCCATGCGATAAATCCAATAATACTAGATCATCCCATGGTGGGACAAGGAATGGGTGATAACCCCATGAACCCTGTCTTTATCCCATCTCCTGAATCGGTAGAGGTATCCCTTGTCCAAGCCGTTGGCATCCCCAAATTTGGTAGTTACATTGAAGGTGGAAGTGCCTTAAGTGTCTCTATTAGTTTGACCCGTGCGTTTTTACATGGCGTTTTAGATCTTCTCGATAAGGTATTCATATAATGAATTAATACACTAGTAAAATGTTATAATTTGGTTTAACACAAGGCTATATGTTATTTTTATTATGCAGGAAAAACTCCCCACTGAATCAATCTCAAAGTTTTTGAAATCTTTGGATCTTCAACTAAACGTGACGACAAAAGCGGGTGTGATTATTCAGAAAGTGTCTGGACCTCTCTCGAGAGGTCATTTGAAGCTGCGGAACACGAATCCAGACGATAACCCTTCAGTGACATTCAATTACTACCAAGACCCAAAGGATTTGAATAACTGTATTGAAGGACTTAGTGCTATAGTTAAAGTGATAGATTCAAAGGGATACTCCAAGTACAAGTACCCTGGAGTGAACGGGCGTGGACTTTTGAATCTCATTCTTGCGCTTCCTATCAATTTGAGGCCAAGGCACATCACTTCGACGTTCGATTTGAAGCAGTATTGTATAGATACGACGATGACTATTTATCACTACCATGGAGGTTGTCAAGTCGGAAAAGTGGTCGACAATGATTACAAGCTATTAGGGATCGATGCTTTAAGGGTAATCGATGCATCCACGTTTCTTAAGTCTCCGGGGACTAATCCTCAAGCCACAATCATGATGCTCGGAAGGTAAACACATGCAAAAACCAAATGAAACTAATTTATCCAACGGAAACAAGATATGATATGATATTGTTGGAGAGTTTATTATGTGCAGGTACATGGGACAGACGATTGTTAGAGAAAGGGAGGCTTCCCAAGGAAAACAAGAAAGAACATGAGATTTTAAGCATTCTCAAAAATCTGAAAGATTCACAAAAATCCTCTTCACCGTCCAAAGAAAAGAAATTTCGAAGGCAGTATTACATATTACATCTTTCTTCTGTACATAATGTTAATTAAGTTTAAACAGAAAATCTGTGAAGTTATTTTTTCCATGAACAAAAGTGATTGTTGATAATGTTGTGAATTTTTTTATTACATTTACAACATGACGAGAAAATGAATAGATGTAGTGTATTCGTATCACACGTTTCATTCGTGAATCTTGAAAGTGGGTTTTCTATTGTACTAAAATTTTAAACAAAAAATTGAATTTAAACAATAAAAGTTATATTTTTGTTCAGAAACAAGAGCGATTATTGATTTTGGTGGTATAATTATTTAATAGTTCATTTTACGATTTATATAGAACATGTAAAGTTTTCAAAAAACCGCACATCAAAAATTATTCAATATAATATATTTGTTAGATTGACAATAAAATATAGTCTTATTGAATATACGATGTTTTGAATTTTAGATCATTCACAGCTACCATACAATTAATAGTCAATGCCAGATTCAATCAATGCATGTCCCTTAAAAGATTTAATTTTATTAAAAAAATCATTAAGCCCTCAAAATATAGTTTTTACTTTTAAGTTTTATATGCCGCATTACTGTCAACTTCTTTAAGCAAAATTAATTCCCATGAAAGTGCACTGTCTTGTAAAAATTAAACAAGACAGACGAAAAAAATAAAAGTAATAAGTTAAGAGAGAGTCAAATGGAACAACTAATTAGGTCAACGTAAAGATAGCATAATTACGGAAGGATGAAGTGAGATTACGTGCATGGCGGTGAATTTGTGCGTCGTCGGGGATCATTGGCTGCAATGGAACTGTCTGCGAACATAAGGGAAGATTATTCATCCTCTCTATGACAAGATTTGGGAGTTACTGAGGAAAATGTCAAATTCGAAAGTCTTCTTTGATGATATCTTGATTGGAAAGATGAAGACGGGGGCGTGTTGCAATGATTAAAGATCGTGGTGAGCTTAAAAACCAAATTTTAAACTCTTGGGTTGATCTTAAGATCTTGACAGGTGCTTTCATGTGTTAGCCGAGACAGCATCATAGATCGTTGAGATTTAATCTAGACTGGACAGTGATGCAAACACACATCTTAGGTTAATTTTGACAATATCATACAAAAACCTAAGTATTATATCATGCATGCTTCCTTCAAACTTCATGAATGAGAAAGTAGGAAAGATAGCAATAAACTAATAATGGTAAATTTCTTTATGGAGACATTTGGTTTTGTTTTTTCTCTTGGTTTTCTAATTTATGATGGATTGTTTTCATGTTTTGGTAATAGTTTTGTACAAGCCAAACTTTTGCGATTTTTATATTTAAACTTATAAAATTGGTAGTCGTTTTGTCGCCTTCAATTTTGGAGTTTATTCAGGTTTTAAGATGGCTGATTCATCCATAAATAAGATCCAAGGAGAAAAATCAATTAAACGTACGCAACAGATTTTTAAAAAAATGAAATGGATTATCATATAGGTGGATGTGGTAAAAGGGTCATGGTGGTCGAGGTACCCACGGAACACCACACTAGAATCTCTAGAAATGTTTCTCTTTAAAGCAGTATTTAAATTTAAATTATATGACATTAAAGTCATATGTTTGCAATTTCTTTTCCTGTATTTTAATTGAAAACTTTATAAACAAAAAGAACTTATAAAATTGTTGACTTTTTGAAATGGGCAGATTTCTCCTATATAATTTCATCATCAATACTCAACAACATTTCGATATTGTCTTTGCTATTTTATTTTGTAACTAAAAAGTCCAACAAACTTTTCGATATTTAATATATTCATTTCTGTTAGACACAACGTTTATAAGGCGGGTTTAAATCTGAGTTATACATTCGCAATAATTGCAAAGGCAAACCGGTAGTTGGAGTATCATATTTTCTGCCTTCAAGATATTGTTGGAAAGTTATTATATGGGACAGAAGATTCTTAGAGAAAGGGAGGCTTCCCAAGGAAAACAACAAAGAACATGTGATTTTAAGCATTCTCAAAAATCTGAAAGATTCACAAAAATCCTCTCAACCGTCAAAAGAAACTCCGAAGGCAGTATTACATATTACATCTTTCTTCTGTACAATAATACGTAATGTTAAGTAAGTTTAAACAGAAAATATGTGAAGTTATTTTTTCCATGAAGAAAAGTGATTGTTGATGATCATGTGAAATTTTTATTACATTTACAACATGACGAGAAAATGACCTGAAGGTACTGATCAAATTTTTTGTTTTTGTTAATTAAGTGTACGATATCGTATAAGCTGTTATGTATGGATGTCTGATCTTAGAAAGCTAAAATGGTCTACTTCCTTTTATTTCATAATAGTAAATGCGAAATTTTGCAAAACACGTGACAATATGAAACAGATAAGAGTGCATAGTCCATATATACCTAACAAAGCCGACGGAGTAACATCGACCATATATTACTATTAAAAAATCAAAGATGGAAATTAATCTTCCAAAATATATGACATATGTAGAATAGTGGTCCCCTACTTCAACATGTGATCTCTGAATCTTGGGACCAAATTAGTGGTGCCAGAAAAATACGAGGTTTAAAAGTTAGAAGAAGTCAAAATCACCATCGAATAAGACTTTGCCGTAACCGTGATGATAATGGTTCCGTTTATGTTTCAAATTCGGCTCTGAAGAAGAGGATTAAACACTTCACCATTATATAAAGCGTATCAATCTTCACCATTATATAAAGCGTATCAAGCACGTAGAAAGGAAGTATAATTTTTGAGGGTGTTAAACTTTAGAATATATATACTGTATATATAATCTTGCAACATAATGGATTTTCCCATATTCCGATTATTTCGTTTTGTTATCGTCGCAGCTTTCGTCTTCCACGGCTTGTGTTATTCCGAAAAAGGTACGATTATTCGCTAACCATTTCAATTTATGAATTTGTAGGTTATCCCAATTTTTATATAATGAGATTTTGTTGTCTTGAAGCTGGTCATTATGGCTTCATGAAAGATGCAACATCAGCACCAAAGTTATCTCACTTCGACTACATAGTCATCGGAGGAGGAACCGCGGGATGTTCAATAGCCGCAACGCTCTCGCAAAACGCTACCGTTCTAGTTCTCGAACGCGGTGGGTCCCCTTACGACAACCCGACGGCGACAGACATCGGGAACTTAGCCAACACACTCTTGGACACAACACCAAACTCGTGGTCGCAGCTTTTCATCTCCGAAGACGGCGTTCTCAACGCACGCGCGCGAGTGCTTGGAGGAGGAACGGTGCTAAACGCGGGGTTTTACTCGCGTGCCGAATATAGTTTCGTGGAGAACTCCGGCTGGAAGAGAGAAGAGGTCGAAGCGGCTTACGAGTGGGTCGAGAAGAAACTGGTGTTCGAACCAGAGGTTAAGGGATGGCAATCGGCGTTTATAAACGGGCTTTTGGAAGCCGGAGTGGTTCCCTTCAATGGTTTCACGTACGAACATTTATATGGGACGAAGATAGGCGGCACGATATTTGACCGGGATGGTCATAGACACTCGGCAGCGAACTTGTTGGAGTATGCTGATCCGAATATGATTACTGTCTACTTGCAAGCCTCTGTTCAAAAGATCCTCTTCACCACCAAAGGTAAAGTGATTAACAATGGTCCCTTTTAATGTTTCCAATAATTTCCACCAAAGGTAAAGTGATTGAACAAAAGTGGATCTTTCACTAATTGGGAGCTAGCTTTCGGACCCACCGAAACTGTTGCATCCTTGTGTTGAACTTAATCAATCTTATTCTTAAAGAAAAGGATAGTGAAAGAAGGAGACGGTATGACTCAGTAGGGTAAGGAAGAGATATAAAGAGACTTATCTAACACGTAATCAAAGAGTTTTAATTTTTCCACATAACTTGTGTTTTTTTAGTCAATAAATTGCTTATCAAGACCAAGATAAAAAAAAAAAAAAAAAGAGAGAGAGAGAGAGAAAAAAAACCTCGGCACAATTTATTTGCTCTAAATCTTAATATTAAATCGTGATTTTTCAGTTATTCACATTAGTGTTTTTGAGCAATAATGTATCATATAACTGTTGTGATAATTTTGGTCGTTGTCACGCGTCGTTGACCATACACATATTATATTTTTCCTATGCTTCGGATAAGATTTTGGTTTTATACAGGAAATATGAGGCCCAAGGCAAACGGGGTGATATTCCGAGATGCCAATGGAGTGTTACACACGGCAAAACTAGCGGCAGATAACTCACTGAACGAAGTGATTTTATCAGCCGGTGCCATCGCAAGCCCGCAGCTACTGATGCTGAGTGGTGTTGGCCCTGAGGCTCATCTTGCAGACCGTGGGGTGAATCCGATCGTCTTAGATAACCCCATGGTAGGACAAGGAATGGGTGACAACCCCATGAACCCTGTCTTCGTTCCTTCTCCTGAACCTGTAGAAGTGGCCTTTGCACAATCCGCTGGTATCCCTCATAATTTTAGTTGTTACATTGAAGGTGTAAGTGGGATAAGTTTCTCTAGTAATTTGACCAATAGCTACTTCGATGGTGTTATAAATCTTCTTAATGAGGTATAGCCAATTCCATATCTTAATCATTTAAATGATTAGATAATACAAAATGGGTTTATACAATCTAATTATTATTCACAAGGCTGATAGTTAATTAATACTTATATTTTTTTGTATGATGTTTTTATGCAGTTAAACATCCCCACCGAAAACATCTCTAGCCTTATAAAATCTTTGGTTCCTCCATTTGATGTGATAACACAAGCGGGTGCGATGTTTCAGAAAGTTGATGGACCGATCTCGAGGGGTCATTTGGAGCTTCGGAACACGAATCCAGATGATAACCCTTCGGTGACATTCAACTACTACCAAGAACAAGAGGATTTGGATAACTGTGTTGAAGGACTTAGTGCTATAATTAAGCTGATAGAATCAAAGGGATTCTCCAAGTACAAGTACCCTGGAGTGTCCGCACGTGGATTGCTGGATCTCATTCTTGCCCTTCCCGTCAATCTGAAGCCAAAGCACATAGAATCATTATTTGATTTGAAGCAGTTTTGTAAAGATACGGTGATGACTATCTATCACTACCATGGAGGTTGTCAAGTCGGAAAAGTGGTCGACAATGATCTCAAAGTATTAGGGATTGATGCTTTGAGGGTCATCGATGCATCCACATTTCTCAAGACCCCCGGGACTAATCCTCAAGCCACCATCATGATGCTCGGAAGGTAATTACTTGAGCATAAACCAAATGAAACTGATGATTCACACATCTTACTTTACAATAAGATATTAATTATACATGGAGAGTTTATAATGTGCAGGTATATGGGGCAGAAGATTCTTCGAGAGAGAGCTGATTTTCTGGAAACTGATCACGAAGAGTTATAATATTTTAAAAATGCTCAAAATAATATCTTGTTATTGAGGATTGTTGCTTGTTCTTATGAAAGATTGAGAAGAATCCTCTTCATCGTTCAAAGTGAGTAAACTCTCAAGGCAGGATCAATTTAGTGTTATATGTATGACGTATTTCATGATCTCGCATGTGACTTTTCTCTTATACAAAATTTTAATGTATGCGTAACTGTTGGATACAGAATCACGAAAGTAATAAGATTTAGCTCTTTTGTTAATCAGTCTCACACTCATAATTTGTTGTACATGGCAAACTGGTGGCTGGTTTATCAACAATTTAACTAAAAGTCTAAAACTGTAGATTTACTGTAAACCAATGCAAGTCTAATACAAAATCAGGAAAGAACATGATATTTCCAAGTTTTACTTCAGTTTGTGACTAGTAATATCCCAGAGACGGTGGTTCATGGAGGCAGAGAAGCCAGGATACTAGCTTTCGTAGCCATGATATAGTCAGAATTCGAAATACACAGAAATACAAATTATAGTTCCAATAAAAGTTTCGGTAAACAACTAAAATCCTGAAATCAATTACAAAAAGCCAAAGGAAGACACACACTTGCTTAAGCGGACTCTACGCTTATTGCGACGTTTATCGAAGCTTTGCCTTCAAGTAAATCTTCAGCACTTTCACTGGCGATGTTAGCAGGCAAGAGGGAGTCTCTATGATACTGCATAGACACACATCACCACATCCATCTCCAGTCATGTGGAAGAGTCCCTAAAACATAAAATAAAATAAAAAATTCACATATCTGTTTTGCATATTTTGTCTTCAATAATAAACCTATTCTTACGTGGAAGATGAGTTCTTCTAAACTTGGACAGTTTCTGAGAAGTTCTGGAACAGATCCCCAGCCCATGGTCTCAAAACTCTTGATCTGCAGCTGAGTCAAGTTCATGAACTGCGGTATTGATCCACGCTTTAAGTCAAGAACCTGAAACAAAACACAATCAAATCAAATCAATACAAGACAGTTACAAACAATAGTCAAGTTTTATGAATGGCTGTGTTCGTCTCACTAGCAAGACATTTACGAACCTCTATCGTGTTCTCAGACACCTCAAGTTTTCGAACTCCACTTATTCCAATCACAAAAGCTGTGGCATCACCGACAATCTCTTCTTCTTCTTCTTCTTCTTCACTACTCTTTTGTTCCTGGTTTTCATCTTTGGTTCGAAGATCGATCTTGCCTTCAATAAGTGAATCACAATTCACTATTGGATACTTCTTAGCAACATAATCCGTATACTCCAGGTAGAGCAGATTCGGAGTGTCAAACAACACACTCTTTGGATTTACCTGGTTTTCTACATCATCCATTTCTGTGAAATCATCCCATATAATCTTCAGCATCTTTAGACTCTTGCTCCTCACAACACAAGCTTCCCATGTTTGCCACTTCATGTCTTCTATCAGCAGTTCTTCAAGCACAGGACAATTTGAAATCAGGCTGGCAAACATTGCACTGTCTCCAAATCCAATATCAGCAAGGCACAATTTCTTCAATTTTGGAAGAACAATCTCATGATTCCCATATATGCTAATACTGCCTATGCTAGCACCTAATTTGAGATCAACAAGAGAATCCTGCAGCAATACTCTTGGAGGCAGCTCAAAGACTTCTAGAATTTCATGGATCCTAATTTCCAGACTTTCAACTCCATTATCTAATGCATAGTGTATCCAATGATTTACCACATCACTATCCAACCTTTCTTCCTGCACTTCTTCTTCTTGCACTCCTTCCTCTTGCATCCCATTGTGAATAGTTAGAGAGAAGCTATCTAGCTTACTTGGTCCTCTCAGCATCAAAAAGGTGTTGATAAATCTCACAAAACTGTGTTCCTCTTGATCATTATCAAAATAAAACTCCAGCCTTGATAAATCCACCATTTTATTCCTCCAAGCTCCTTTCCGCAAGAGAAAGCACACAGCTACAGCTTCTTTTGTTGGCAGATTCGACAAGATGGTGGAAACCAACTCATTTGATAGATCACTTATCACACTCTTCTTGTTGGAACTCATAGCACCAACAACTGAAAATTGACAATTCATGCTTAGAGATAGCAGAGAGAGAATCAATTTAGGTTCTATAACAATCTAAAATCTACAAAGTAACAAATATCAGTCGCATTAAGTTCTCAAATCAAGAATACAAGCACTAGACAAAACCCAGAAATTCCCGTAGAGAAATCATTGTAAAGTCCGCTCCTTTTGTGACAAATTGCAAAAACTATTCCAATTGGTGAAAAATGGCTCCTTTAACGAAAAAATCGACCCTTGATTTGGAACATCACTGAAAAAAACTCTTCCTTTCACAAAAAAAAACTCTTTTGACCAAAAATTTGAAATCGTGAAGAAAATGGAAACTCATATAACACACAAAGAAAAACACTGAAAAAAGAGAGAGAAACCGAGAGATAACCTACAACCGATGGTGGAGGAGCGAGAATTTCGGGAGCGAAACTGATAAAATGGTGTAGAGAAAATTAAATCGCTCTTTCGCAGAGTGGCATCACAAGGCTCTCTCCAATTTTCGTATTTATATTTTTTAATGATTTCTGTTAATGCTTATCAAGCTTGTTCAGATGTTCGAATCCAATACCAACACAATCTAAATAAAAACCGGTTTATCAGAATCCCAAGTTAGACCGGTTTATAGTCATTTGGCAATTTTTTAATTGTTGACAAATTTTAACTAGGAGAACAAATACAGTAGTTCTTCGTTTATTCTTCATTAAATAGTTTAGATAACAAAATATTATTTTTTAATAAAAATTAATGCATTTTCAGTTTTTTTTTATATTCAACGGACCAAATTGGATATTTGTAAATATCCATATATATATATTTTTGAAACAAATTAAATAATAAAATTAAATCATATTATTAATTGACAAGCAAATTGGGTTATGGTTGAGAGTTATAATGGTTAATTACCTTTTGTCCCTTATATAAAATTTACTTTAATTATCTTTAATAAAATTAATAAATTAATATAATCTAATTTTTAACTGGTTTTCATTTTTTTAAATTTAGATTTTTAAATTCAAGTTTATGTCATAAAAATATTCAGTCTACTAAAAAAAGGTAACTAGCATAAATAAATAAAAAATCTTAATTATTTCATTGAACTAATTTTAATTTAGTTGTTTAATCTACTAATATTTTGACTAACCTAATTGATTTATGCGACCAAAGTAAAATTTTAAATCATTTAAACCTTTTTAAAACTCTATTTTGGATTGCTATTTTTTTAATGCAAACTTTGAATTTCATTATTCTTAATCTACCAATTTACATCAAAAGAAGAGAATTATTTATCATGTCTGATAAATGCAACAAAACAACAAAGCATATATATAAGTTTTTATCGGATAATATATAAGATATTAAAAAATAAGATATAAATAATATATTTTGCTTTGTCACAAAAAAATAATATACTCATAAAAATTGTATTTTTTAAATATATTAAGTTTCATTTCGAATCATTATAAAATCTGATTTTTTTATCTATAAGTAAATTAATATTATACTTTTAAAATTTTTTAATTAAACCTCGCACAAAGTGCAGGGAAATACCTAGTATTCAATAAAAACGAAGTAAAGTATAAATATTTAGAAAAAATTGCTGATATCCGCTCCAACGCCTAGCCTAAGAACCGCATATCAAAAGTATGTATATAATTATTTAATATAACGTACATATCAGATTGATGTCAAAAGTTAATCTTGTTAAATATATACGATATGGTTTTGAATCCTATATCATTCATAGTTACGTTTATGATATATATATTTTATCCATCACGCCCTCAAAATCTTTTTTTTTTTAGCAACGATATTCAAAGGTTGTCGATGTTGTGAAATATTTATGACCTTTCTAATATGAGAAAATGACCGGAAGGTGCTGATATCGTTTAAGTTGTTATGTACTAGGGTTCACTATAAAAAATCATATGTATTATATTATTTATTTTATTTATTACTATCATTTTTTTATTGATGTAAACTCAGTTACATCATTTAATTAAATGATTTTAGAAGTGATGATGCTAATCATTTATATCAATATTATTAATGATGCACTATTTTTATCATTTATATTGATATTAATATATATCATTTGCAATAAGTCAATTAAAATTTGACTCAGTTAAAATAAATGATATTAATATTTACATCACTTAAAATAAATGATATTAATATTTACATCAATTATAATAAATGATATTAATATTTACTATCAGTTATAATAAATGATATTATATATTAAAATCAGGGATACTGAAATTCATATTGATTTAAATATTTTTTATTAATTTTTATAATATTATAAACTTAAGATAACTAATCATCTTATATTTATTATTCTGAGAATATATGTAAATACATACATATGATTTAACTTAAAAAAAGTTTAGTGTTGATGAGTTTCTTTTATAGAGGAGAAAATTAGTACTCTTTATATGTAAACTTATATATTTGTGTTAGTTTTTTAAAATGATATAAATTAATAATAATTTGTATAAGTTATTTTTAATTGATGTTAATCAAATTAGTATTAGTATCAATTATTTTTAATTGATACTAGTCAAATTAAGATTAGTATCAATTAAAAACTTGATATAAAATTTTATATTTAGTGTCAATTTTTAATAATTGATTCTAAATAGAATCAGTTATTTTATTGACATTTTATAAGTGATGTAATATACCATTTTCTGTAGTAGTTATGTATAGATGTATGATCTTAGAAAGCTAATAATTAATAACAAAAACAAATTGGGGTAATTGTCCTTTTTCTTAGAACTGATTAAACAATCAACACATTACAAACCCCATAAAAGGAAGTACCAAATAAAATACAACATCAAAATCAATTTAAAAAATTCTTCAATTTGCCCACAATCTGTTCTAAAAAAATCTTCAAAAGTTGATATCACTAACCATTTTTTTCATGTCTACCTGCAACAATACTCTTGGAGTCAGCTCAAAACTGTTCCAAATGCTCAAAAATGGCTCCGTTAACCAAAAGATCGTCCCTTTTTGGAACATCGCTGAAAAAGACTCTCTTTTGCAGAAACAAAATGCTTATTTGGCCAAGAACTGTTCCAATTAGTGACAAAATGGTTCCTTTAACCAAAAGATCATCTTTTTTAAGGAACATCACTGAAAAAAAATTCTTATTTTGCAAATAAAAAGTGTTCCTTTAACCAAAAATTTGAAATCATAAAGAAAACAGACACTCATACGACACAAAAACACTGAAAAACTGTTCCTTTTCACGAAAAATTGCGCATTTACAGAAAAGAAAAATCAAAACTTAAGCTATGAAGAATCAAAGGTAAAACCAGAACAGATAAGAATGTTGTTTCTTGCTTTCTACTGTGAAAAAAAAAGAGAGAAACCAAGAGATACCTAGAACCGATGGTGGAGGAGCAAGGGTTTTGTGATAGTGGAAAGAAAGGGTTTTGTGAAGTGCAGCCAAAGAAAGAACTGAGACAATAGTGATGGTGAAGAAAACTAAATCTCTCTTTAGTTTTTCGCAGCGTGACACATCAATAACAACATAACCGGTTAACAAAATCTGAATTAAAACCGGTTTAACAAAGCTTGTTCAGATGTTTGAATCCAATAACAACATAACCGGTTAACAAAATCTGAATTAAAACCGGTTTATCAGAATTCCAAGTTAGACGGATTTATAGTCATTTGGCAATCTTTTTACTTGTAGACAAATTTAATTAGGATAACATTCCAGTTTTGGTTCGGTTGTACTGTTTATCAATCTTAAAAATCTTCAAACTTTTTTTTTTTAATTATTATTTGGTTTGGCTTTTATTTATTTATAGGTTTTCGGTTTTATAAGTATAAAAACTAGTATAAAATACCATTAGTGAAATCTCAATAACTAACAGAAGTACATATATTTTTCTATGATAACTAAATCCACAATGATTTTTGTGATATCAACTTTGTTCACAGATGTTTGAATCCAATAACAACATAACCGGTCAACGAAATTTGAATAAAAACTGGTTTATCAGAATCCCAAGTAAGACCGGTTTATAGTCATTTGGTATTTTTTTACTTGTAGACTAATTTAACTAGTAGAACATTCCGGTTTTATAGTTCGGTTGTACTGCTTATCAGTTTTAAAATCTCTTTACTTTTTTTTTTCAAAAATAGTAATTTGGTTTGTTTTTTTTTTTCTACGTTTTCAGTTACGAAAGCAAGGATATTTTTTTTCAATTTGATCAATTATTAAACTATTAAAAGATGTCATTATGTAACCAATAAGATCCAATACAATTTATCCAAATTACTGTAAAACTTCCAATATATATTCATATTCTATTATTTTTTTAACAAAGGCTTTAGACATATTCTATTATTTAGGATTAAAATAGAAAAAAACTAGTAAAAGATGCCTTAGCCAAAAATAATAATTAACAAAAAATGCCCTATTAAAAAAATTAATTTTGACATATATAATTAAAATATTTTAAATAATTTGGTTATTTTATTTTAAATATAACTTATATATTCCATTTTAAAGGAGAACCGTGTATATATATATATATAATCATATTAGCAAAATGCCAAAATGGACAACCTTACTTATGTTATGTATAATAAGTTAATAGACAAATTATTGTTGTTTGCTTTTTAATTTTTTCTATTCGTATATATTTTTTTTTTGTTAAATGATTTTCTTCTATTTGTATATTTTCAAACACAGTTTTTTTGCTAGACTTTACACAGCAATATGGACACATTTTCTATATATACCCGTTTTATTTTTTCTAAACTTTGAGTTTCTGAATGCATATAATTTTTTTTTTTTTTGGTCAAGATAACAACATCGAGTTTTTCTAAACACAAATATTAAAATTAAAATAGCTACCTTTTGAGTTTCTAGTCCCGAACGTAGTTAATAAGCTGATGAACCGTCCGGTTTGGTATTTGATGCCCAAGACTAATTGAATTACACTTGTTTATTCTTCTTTACTGCTTGTCAAATTATATATATGAAATTATGGATTGCCTTGTACGCTAGCTTGTGGTCGTCGTCGTAGAATAGTTTAAAGTTTTCAATTAACATTTATAATCACAACGGTCTAATAAGTCGATACAATGGTCCCTTTACAAAAACTAGGTCGCAATAACAAATTCAGACCATTTGAAGTATCCAGAGAGGGAGAGCTTAAACTACAATGCATTGGTCCCTTTATCTCAGCTTTGGAATGGCACTTGGCACATCAATTCCACGGAATACTTTACTCTCAAGCTATGATCTGTGAGAATATTCTCGAGGGCATAAACGTATCATTCTGTATGTACTCATCCACGTGTATAGTCAACGATAGCATCCAAGCTTATGAGAATTTGCATATAATTGAAGAGCTACATTCGTAATCGTATTACGTACAAAGTCTATTAAAACGTAAACTACTTCCTAAGTTTCCAATCTCTGAGTAATTTAAGGCACGAGCTTCAAGGGATCTTTGAAAGTATAAGATGATTGTTGAGTGTTGCCACCGGAATTACTATCCTTCCTTTGAAATCTGGTGGAAAGCAAGGCAAAGCTATGGAATACATAATTTCCCATGATCTCTTGTTTATGTCTAGACCCCATATTCTATAGCAAAGGTCGTCAGCATCAAAACGTTTCTTGAAGATGCATAGACGATGGTTAAGAAGACACATTCCTAAGCAACTAGACCCGATATCCGGAGTAAGTGAAAAGCTTTGAAACGTCTCCGTGTGAAGATCAAAAGCTAGTAGTAGATTGATTTCAGCTGCCTTGTTGAGGCCGAAGCAATAGAGCACTCCATCCAAGTGAATTAGAGGTTGGCGATAGGAAACTCGACAATGAGGCGGATCTACGTATCTCCAAGCATTCGAGTCGAGAGCAAAAACCTTGCACCTAGTAGATTCACTCACCTTCATGGTATCACGCTCGAAAAAACACAGCACCTTATACCTTGGACTCACGGTACTATTCTCTCTTCCGAGCCCTAGCAGTAAAGTATCAGGCATATCCCCACCAGCTACAAAACAATTAAACCCTAATTTGTTAATAATTTATATAAAACGAAAGCTTAAGAGTTGGGAATTTATTATACATGAGTTTAGGTACCTTCAGCGACAGTAGGGGTGGGATCAGGGAGTCTGCGAAGGCTATTGGTGGCAGGATTAACAAGCGTAATTCTACGACAGCTCTTGTGGATACAAAGCAAACCGTCGCAAGGCTCGGCGATTACGGAACATGTAAAACGCCACCTGAAGATTCGATATGGACAAGTTTCTACGATTCCATTGGTAGGCACGAACGACAGAATCTCTAGACTACTGCGAACTGTTCTCCTATCTATGTGGATCTTCTTTACTGTGACGATTTTCGCTTGTAGAGATTTCTGATACCTCTTGTGTTTCTCTACGAAAGACTCTGACTCTATGGTTCCTCTCCATTCTCTCGACACGGCTTTGAGTCTCACCAGCGATTTAACCGGCACCTTCACCAGAATCTCTTCTACAATGTCAAGTGGAATCTCGAAGCCTCTTCTTTTCTTCTCTTCCATCTCTCTACACAGGGTTTTAATTTTTCCTAACTAATATATTGGTTGGGCAGTGAGTATGGCTGAGATGAAAAAAAACTTAATGACTCTCTCCCTACCCGAATTATTTTTATAAATTGTTTTTGAAATAACCGATTTTTTTTTTAAAAAGGAAATTAAATCAACTAAAAAAGGAAAGTCATAGCACAATTCAACTTTTTCTTTTTCTAATCCATAACGCTCTCAGGCCCCCATACTACGAAAGCCTATGTATTATGCCGCAACTGTATGGTTGGTCTCTTTGATGCACTCCCGGGCTAGCATTATGCATGGAAAGTAGTGATATTGAAGGTATTTAATTTATGGTCAACCAGTTCCTATCTCCTCATCGTTAGTGTTGTTAGATAATTTCAGATCAAAATGTTATCCAGGATAAACCTCAAGAATTTTGTCAACCTGCTTGGTTACTGTGAAGAAGATGAACCTTTCACTAGGATCTTGGTCTTTAAATATCCATCAAACGGATCGGTCTTTGAACATTTACACTGTAAGTAATAGTGCTCTCTAGTCACATGAGTCATTACACTCTTAAGTTGTCTCGTTTCCTTGACGATTTTTAATGGGAAACAATATTACCTTTTTGTTGCAGATAAATAATCAGAACATTTAAACTGGGTGATGCGCTAAGAATAGGAATGGGCGAGGAAACAAAATATATGTTAAATTATTTAAAATAAAAGTAAAGCCTAAAAACATGTATCATATGGGAGTTGAACATGTAGACTTTAAGCCAAATTAGCCAAAGTAAACTATATACTTAGGCTTGCAAATCTTAATTTTATAATTTACCCTGGTTCAAGTGACACCCCTTCCTCTCACGTGGGTCCGCCTCTGCATATACTTAATAACGACGGTGGAGTAACATTGACCATATATATTACTATATTAATAAAATAAAAATCAAACATGGAAATTTATACTCCAAAAACATCGACCATATATTACTATATTAATAAAATAAAAATCAAACATGGAAATTTATACTCCAAAATGACATGTAGAATAATGGAGTCTTTTGGACCAAATTAATGGTACCAATACCATCGTATAAGACTTTCCCGCGCGTAGCCGTGATGATGTTTGGTTCCGTTTTTGTTTCACGTACGGCTCTGAACAAAATGGGTTAAACACTTCACCATTATATAAAGCGTATCAGTCTTCTTCTTTTTTTGCCTCAAAAGATAAAGTACGTAGAGAGGAAGTATAATTTTCAAAAGTGGTAACATTTAGAATATACGTACAACCTTACACCATAATGGATTTTCACATACTCCGTTTATTTCGGGTTGTTATCGTCGCAGCTTTCATCTTCCACGGCTCGTGTTATTCCCAAAAAGGTACAATTATTACTTTCTTTGCTATCCATTTCAATTTATGAATTTTTAGGTTATTCCACTTTTTTTTTTAAATGAAATTTTGTTGTCGTGAAGCTGGTGATTATAGTTTTATGATAGATGCAACGTCAGCACCAAAGTTATCTCACTTCGACTACATAGTCATCGGAGGAGGAACCGCGGGATGTGCACTAGCCGCAACGCTCTCGCAAAACGCAACCGTTTTAGTTCTCGAACGCGGTGGGTCCCCTTACGATAACCCGACGGCCACAGACATCGGAAACTTCGCCAATACACTCTTGAACTCAACACCAAACTCTTGGTCGCAGCTTTTCATATCGGAAGACGGCGTTCTCAACTCTCGTGCGCGCGTGCTTGGCGGAGGAACGGTGCTAAACGCGGGATTCTACTCGCGTGCCGAAGATACTTTCGTGGAGGAAGCCGGTTGGGAGAGAGAAGAGATCGAAGCAGCTTACGAATGGGTCGAGAAGAAAGTGGTGTTCGAACCAGAGGTTAAGGGATGGCAGTCTGCGTTTATAGATGGGCTTTTGGAAGCCGGAGTGGTTCCGTACAATGGTTTCACGTACGAACATGTCTATGGGACGAAAACTGGCGGTACGATATTTGATCGGGATGGTCGGAGACACACGGCAGCTGATCTGTTGGAGTATGCTGATCCGGATATGATAACTGTGTACTTGCATGCTTCTGCTCATAAGATCCTCTTCACCACCAAAGGTAATGTGATTGATAGTTACTAATGGTCTCGTTTAGTTTCTTCATTATAAGAATTTTCAATATTAATTGAACAAAAGTGGATCTTTCACTAGTTTGTCCTTTGTGTTGAACCCCTTTGAATTTTGATTGAAAGAGAGGAATGTCTTCCCCGCGTCCTTGAGCCTCTTAGTTAATTCGTTTTCTGCTTGGGAGAGACGAAATGGTTTTTCAGTGGGAAGACGTACGAATTTTGGAAAACCATTTTATTAAAAAAAACTATAACTCCTCGAGTAATCTTATTAAAAAGATATGATAGTGGACGAAGGAGACGGTGTGACTCGTAGGGTAAGGAGAGACTTATCTAACACATAGCTTGTGACTTTTAGTCAATGCTTTTCTTTATCAAGACCAAGACAAAAAAAAAAAGAAAAGAACTCGGCACAATTTGTTTGCTATTATGATGTTGCCCTAAATCTTAATATCACGTGTTTTTTTTAGCAATATCATATCATTGTTGTCATCATCAGTCTTTAGCATTCGTCTTTGTCATTTGTCGTTGACCATACACATATATTTTTCCTATGCTTCAGATAAGATTTTGGTTTTATACAGGAAGTATGAGGCCTAAGGCAAATGGGGTGATATTCCGAGATGCCAATGGAGTGTTACACACGGCAAAACTAGCGACACATAACTCACTGAACGAAGTGATTTTATCAGCCGGTGCCATCGCAAGCCCGCAGCTACTGATGCTGAGTGGTGTTGGCCCTGAGGCTCACCTTGCAGACCGTGGGGTGAATCCGATCGTCCTAGATAACCCCATGGTAGGACAAGGAATGGGTGACAACCCCATGAATCCTGTCTTGGTTCCTTCTCCTGAACCTGTAGAAGTGTCCCTTGTCCAAGTCGCTGGTATCCCTCATTTTGGTAGTTACATTGAAGGTGGGAGTGGATTAAGTTTCTCTAGTAATTTGACCCACAGCTACTTCGACGGTGTTATAAATCTTCTTAATGAGGTATAACCAATTCATATACTCAAATTAATTACATAAAACTGATTTATAAGGCTAATACCTCTTGTTTTTTTGTATGATCGATGTTTCATGCAGATAAAACTCCCCACCGAAAACATCTCTAGCCTTTTAAAATCTTTGGATCCTCCATTTGATGTGACAACACAAGCAGGTGTGATGCTTCAGAAAGTTGATGGACCGATCTCGAGGGGTCATTTGGAGCTGCGGAACACGAATCCAGATGATAACCCTTCGGTGACATTCAACTACTACCAAGAACAAGAGGATTTGAATAACTGTGTTGAAGGACTTAGTGCTATAGTTAAAGTGATCAATTCAAAGGTATTCTCCAAGTACAAGTATCCTGGAGTGTCCGCGCGTGGATTGCTAGATCTCATTCTTGCCCTTCCCATTAATCTGAGGCCAAGGCACATAGAATCATTATTTGATTTGAAGCAGTTTTGTAAAGATACGGTGATGACTATCTATCACTACCATGGAGGTTGCCAAGTTGGAAAAGTGGTCGATAATGATTACAAAGTATTAGGGATTGATGCTCTGAGGGTCATCGATGCATCAATATTTCTCAGGACCCCCGGGACTAATCCTCAAGCCACCATCATGATGCTTGGAAGGTAATTACTTGAGCATAAACCAAATGAAACTGATGATTCACACATCTTATTTTACAATAAGATATCAATTATATATGGAGAGTTTATAATGTGCAGGTATATGGGGCAGAAAATTCTTCGAGAAAGAGCTGATTTTCTGGAAACTGAAGAAGAATCATGATATTTTAAAATATGCTCAAAATAAGATCTTGTTATTGAAGATTGTTGCTTGCTATGAAAGACTAAGAATAAAATTATTGGGTTATGTTATGTTGGACCATCTTATGTACAATTATATTTAGGTCAAGTATACAACTCCTGTAACCGTATATAAAGGCGATGCCTAATAATCTTGCTCAATAAGAATCCTCTTTAATTACTCTAAAGGCTTCTTGACAAATCATCTTCATCGTTCAAAGAAAGTAATCTCTCTAAGGCAGAAGATTTGGAATGTCAAACAACACAATCTTTGGATTTACCTGATTTTCTACTTCATCCATTTCCGTGAAATCATCCTATATAATCTTCAGCATCTTTAGACTCTTGCTCCTTACAACACAAGCTTCCCATGCTTGTCACTTCGTATCTTCCATCAGCAGTTTTTTAAGCATAGGACAATTTGAAACTAGACTGGCAAACATCGCACTATCTCCAAATTCAATATCAGCAAAACACAATTTCTTCAATCATAGAAAAACAATCTCAGGATTCCCATATATGCTAATACTGGCATACTGCATATGCTAGTACCTAATTTCAGATCAACAAGAGAATCCTGCAGCAATACTCTTGGAGGCAGCTTGAAAACTTCTAAAATTTCATGGATGATAATTGTCAGGCTTTCAACTCCATTATCCAATGCATAGTGTATCCAACGATTTACCACATCACTATCCAACCTTTCTTCTTGCACTCCTTCTTCTTGCACTCCTCTTGCATTCCATCTTGAATAGTAAGAGAGAAGCTATCTAGCTTACTGGTCTTCTCAGCCTCAAAAAAGTGTTGACAAATCTCACAAAACTGTGTTCCTCTTGATCATTATCAAAATGAAACTCCAGCCTTGATAAATCCACCATTCTATTCCTCCAAGCTCCTTTCACCAAGAGAAAGCACAAAGTTACAACTTCTTTTGTTGGCAGATTTGACGAGATGGTCGAAAGACTCGAAACCAACTCATTTAATATATCGTCAATCACATTGGAATTCCTCTTCTTGTTGGAACCCATAACAACAAATCTAAAATTGACAATTGAAATCAAAATCACTTTTAGAGATTGTAGGATAGAGAACCTTAAGCTTTCAATTCGGATTTTATAACATTCTAAAAATTCGAAAGTATCTAATATTTGTTGCATTAAATCTTCAAAAAAAAAAAAATAGTAGACAAAATCTAGAAAATTTTTAATTTTTTTTCTCGTGGTCCAAGAAAATGTATATAATGTTTTATATACAATATTTTCAGATCCTAGATCATTCACAGCTCTTCTCATATGCATGGTTTCTAGCATTTAATATATCAATGACAAATTTGATTTAATGCATGGCCTATACAAATTCAACCTTTTTCTAATCCATAACGCCTTCAGACCCATCACTACGAAAGCCTATGTATTATGCCGCAACAGTGTGTTCATTTCTTTAAGCAAAAGCCACATTCACATGAAAGTGAACATGCGCTTTTTGTAAAGGTTTCCATTACAAAAAGAGCATGATTTTTGGTTATTCAGCATAATTTCTCATAACCTAGAAATAATAGAATATTAGTATAGTGTTACTTTTTGTTCAATGTATTTTTATACAATATATTTCTATTAATAATGATAAATAGTATAAAGAGTTACTTTTTTCAAATTCTAAGTAGAATAGTTATTAATGTGCTGTAGTGTCAAAACTAAGTGGCTAAATATATTTTATATTGGTTTTGGTTACTAGACTAGTGGATCCAATTAATAATTAAGTATAGAGGTCGAACGGGATAACGAAATAGGTCAACGTGAACGCAAAGACAGCGTAATTACGTAAGGATGAAGTTAGATTACGGCTGGGAATGGCGAGCGAGAGCACTCTCGTCATCCAATCAATTCTAATGGCTTTTAGATTACGGCGAAACCGTTACCGTATATCTTTGGATTCATTAAAAAAAACTATGGGTTTATTTATTTTATCTTTACTTTTCATATACGCTCATCATTCAAATAGATGATCATATTTTACCAAAAACATTATTTGGAGCCTTATTTTGATTGACATAACAAATTAATTTAGCTGAATCTACATATATCAATGTAACGTGATTTTTGGTAATTTTTACCTTTTAATATAAATTTCAGATTTTGAAAAACGGACTTAATTACAAGAAAACATATAGTAAGGTGACATAAAAATATAGAAATGACAAACGGTTTGATCCACTGCAGTTGACTTGAGCCTATATATTATCGGGTTTGGAGTTATTACGGTTGAAAAAGAATTAAACTAGTAAACTTTGTCGAATCATGATTTTGGTTTTGATATATCAAACGTCAAGAAACTAGGACTCTATGTGCAGGCATAAACAGTTTAAAAAAATTAATTACATAAATATAATATTTAAATTGTTATAAATATTTTAATTTTTTATAATATATAAAAAATTAGATAGAGCGATTAAATTATAGGTCCTAATAGCAAAATATGGTATAATTTTAACTAAACCTTTTATTATAACAAAAAGCCTATTTTATTATGTTAAAGGATCAAATAGGTTAGACCCGTGGATAGCTGGTTGAGCGGGTTACCTGCTGCGGATTTGCGGGTCAGGCATATATAGCTGCAAATTTCATCATCTACTTCGTCTTCAATTAATCTTCTTCAATTTATCCAGTTATTTAGCTTCTAAATTCTCTAAGACTTCTTTATATAAAACAAATATTTGAACTAAAATAAATTAAACACAGAAAATTATTTGAATTTAAATATATTCCAACTTCTCTTTGTATATTTGTTTAGCTTCTGTTTCATGTGGACAACAAAAATGGGTTCTTTAGTTAAAAACATTGTTAGATTAATGTTACTTTGGATTATATAGTCAGTGCATGTGATGAAGACAATTCTCATAATTTTTATACAATTTGATGATACAATTAATGTTGTTTTGGATTATATTGCGCAAAGACAATCTCAAGAAGACTGTTAAAAGTAGATAATCATACTTCGGTTAACAAAACGTGGTATATTCTAACTTCTCTTTGTATATTTGTTTAACTTCTGTTTTGTGTGGACAACAAAAGAAAATTCTTTAGTTAAACATTAATTGTTAGATCAATGTTACTTTAGATTATATAGTCGGTGCATGTGATGAAGATATAATTTTTATACAATTTAACTTGTACAAATCTATGCATGTAATAAAAAAATATAACATATGTTTTGTGCATGTGATAAAAAATGACGGTTTACAATTTATATTAATAATTAAATATATTATATTTTTTAGTTTTCATAAAATAATTATTTGAACTAAAATAAATTAAACACATAATTTTTTTTGCCATGTCATAATTCACATGTGTTAGCAAATGTCATGTCACAATTACATCATCATTACACATCATCATTTTCATGTCACATTTAATTAGGTTAGATTAATGTTTTTAACCAATAAAATTAAAACAAATCAGCATATTTCATTAAACTACATTATCAATTAATAGGTAGAGGATTGCTTCTGTAAAAAATGTAACTACATCCATTTCTTTAAATTGGATCACAAACATGGGTGGTGTTAATAATTTGACCAAATAGTATTAGATACTTGTATTATAATTGTTTTAATTTATGAAAAGTTAAAATATTAAAATTAGTATATACATATTTGCATTATTTGATTTGGTGATGGAGTATAATTTATAATTATTCGTCTATTGAATATCTTTGTACATTTATATACTCGTTTAACATTTATAAATGTGGAAATTATTTAAATATAATTTTTTAATTCAGTAGAAAGCCATATAAATTAGTGGCAGCTGGTTCGTCTTAAGCTATTCACTTGGTTTTAATAGATTTAATGGTACCCAGATTGTAACTATTGTATGATTTCTTCTTCTTGTGGATGAAAATTACAGCTACCGACAAATAAAAAAGAAGCTATATCTCTAAATCTATTATGAAACCATATTTTTATGCCTTTTTAAAATAAGAAAAACTAAAAATAATATTTATGCTTTTAATATATATACCATGCATAAAGCAAATTTCCTGGCAATTGTCCCGCTCTGTGCTAACAAAAATGGAATGGATTTGGCAAATTTGCACCAAAACAACAGACGCAACTATGCCAATGCCTCTGCCATGCATCATATCATTGCACTTCTAAAATTTTATTTTTTCTTATATACATAAATCATTATCACTTATAATAAAATCAAAACAATTATAACATAATAGAACACTTCTTGCAATCTATTCTAAAACAAAGTATGGTCTCTTTGATGCACTCTCGGACAAGCATTATGCATGAAAAGTAGTGATATTGGAGACTGGAGAGATCAAAGATAGTATAATAGCGCCATTATGTGTTTGAATGAAAATTTGATATTATTAGCTTTGTAGAAATTGATGAATATATGGTAGTCATATATAGTCTCATAGAGTGTTTATATTCATATTTTTTTAATGTATTCGAACAAATTTCTTTCTTTTTCTTGGCAAAGATAAACATGAAAAAACGTGGGCGGTGTTGATTACAAATTATGGAACACTCATATATACACTAATCTGAAGAAAAAAAAGTCGGAGGAATAAAAGAGAATAATTTAAAAATTAAAGAAAATGGGGTATTCCCATTACATCCATGACTATAACCCACATGGCAAAGAAAGCTGGATTGAGAACGAAGAAAGTAACAGCGAAGCAATAACTCCAACGTTGAATTAGTCAGACACTCCTCCACGTACTATTTGTAAATTTTTTTGAATCAATTTTGATTAATCCATTAGACCACAACACAATCATTCAACTCCAATCATCCCAATATGAAAATACCCCACACATCAATACAAAAAGAAAGAAAAAAAAAATCCACGTGGCGTGCACACCCCACTATGGCACTATCGTTTTCGCTATTATAATGTTTCTTGTTTTCTCTGTTAAACTACATTAAAAAAAACACACACACACCAAAAACGAACCGTTTCCAAAGGATACGGCAAAAGTCTTTTTCGACGGTGGCTTTGGCCTCTTCTTTTGAAACCTTTTAGCTCTCTGGCATCTTAAGGTCCATAGATTCTTCTATTTTCCCATGCTATATTATCTTATTATATTATACACTGTCATTTACCCAACTCTAAAATAAAGAGACGGCGGCGATTTAAACATTAATTTTTTACAGGGATAAATGTTGATTTTATTTCTCTCTTATCGTTGAATATATTTTGAAATAAAAGAGAGTATACTGTTTCATGAGAAATAAGTTATTGCTTTTTAATTTTAATTGTCAAAAAATGTCAACAAGAAAGAAGTTATTTATTGCTTACTCTGCTGCATCCTCTTAATTTATGATCGGCCAAACCACGGGGACACGCGCTTTAAAAATAATTTACTTTTTTTTTTAAAGAAAATTGAAAACAAAGTTGAAAAGTCATATTCTTCTTCTCACAAATCGTTTCCTCAGCCATGCGAACTCAAAGCTCAAAGCTCTCTCTTCGTCTTTTAGCTAACTTTTGAACTTTTTTTTTCCCTTTCTGTTCATCTTCTTCTTCTCCTAACCTGTGATATCAGATTCAGATCGAGATTCGATTTTCTCAGCTTCTGCGTTTTTTTTTTTAGCTTACGTCGTGTTGCTTAACTCCTATTTCCAGTTGTCGTCTTCTCGGTTTTCTGTCTCACGATGAGTAAGAACTGGAAATCCGTTCGATTAAGGCTACAAATGCTTCCGCTCATGTGTTTTCTGATGATTTTGAGCTTCGATTCGTGCTATTCGTTGAAATATGAAGGTATATAGCTTTATCGTTTCTATTTTTTTTTGCCTGTTCGTCTGCCGATAAAAAGAAGGCAAGTTCCTGATAATTTGTTCTCCCTTCTGCTTCGCTTTCGGCTTTCAGGTGTGGATATCAAAGGAGCAGTGACGAAATATCTATGGACTGATAGAGATGCTGCGGATTTGTAAGTAGCCGATTTCGATTCTTCTGTGATTGCTTTAGTTTGGTGAATTTGTGAACGCAGCTGCTTGTTTTAGTATCTGCGAGGTATTTCGATAAGAACTCTTGTTGATTTTCCAGATTTATAGTTTGTTTGATAGGCGTTTTGGTGTTTGTACTTCTGCAAATTCTGTTTTATGATTTTGCTACCAATTTTTTTTTTATGTTGTTGCTGAAATCTAATGTGCAATGTAATTTGATACTGCAACTTGATTGTTTTGTTCAATTTGGAATGAATAGGTTGCAAACATGATTTGAAAATGATTTTCTGGTTGAGCATCAACATCAATGTAGTTGTTGAACTTTGTGTGGTAGATCTATGACTTTGACACCATACTTTTTTCTAAGTCGTAAAAAATCTCTGTGGGTTTCACTCTTCTTTAAGTAGAAAGAAGTTGTTGTTAGTTGTTATGCAACACGAAGACAAACGCTCTCTTTTATGCATATGTATTCCAAGACTTACTAAATATTCTTTTACACTAGTGCAGCATAATCATATCAATCTTATTTTAGAAACTTGTTGCTAATATCTTGAAGAAACTCAATTTTCATTTTACCTTCGTCTTTTTGTAGGAGAACGGTTGGTTTTCACAGAAAATTACTTGGCCGTGTACTTAACCCCTACGCCAATTTGCCTACGTACAAGAAGAAGCCTGTGGCAATTGTTACACCACGGCCATCTTCGGTTCCTTCTCCCAGACCTATTGCCACTAAAACCCCAACATTGCCTCCGCCACCAAAAAGTTCTCCTGCGCCAAATGTTTCTGCTCCACCGCCTTTGACCCTTGCAAATTTTCCTAGTCTAAGAAGAACTTCCAAAACTTCATCAAGCAGCATGGTTCCTATAATGGCTGGATGCATAGGCGGTGCTGTATTGCTTCTCCTTTTAGCTACTGGTTTCTTCTTTTTCAAAAGTAATGCTGGGAAATCTGTGAATCCCTGGCGTACAGGCCTTAGCGGACAACTTCAGAAAGTGTTCATTACTGGTAATTGTCTCTCTACCCTCTGATACAGTATGGCATTGTTCGTTCTGGAAAATTGAGGTCTTCCTCAGCTCACCATTTTCTATTGGTTTCAACATTAATGTTTGTGTGATTTGGTAACTCAGGTGTTCCCAAACTCAAAAGATCTGAGATCGAAGCTGCCTGTGAAGATTTCAGTAATGTGATTGGGTCTTGCCCCATTGGTACATTGTTTAAAGGGACATTATCCAGCGGGGTGGAGATAGCTGTTGCTTCTGTTGCTACTGCGTCTGCCAAAGAATGGACAAATAACATTGAAATGCAGTTCAGAAAGAAGGTATTTAATTTATGGTCAACCAGTTCCTTTGTAGTTTACAAGTGTTTAAAATTCTTATCTCCTTAACGTTTATGTATTTGATAATTTCAGATCGAAATGTTATCCAAGATAAACCACAAGAATTTTGTCAACCTTCTTGGTTACTGCGAAGAAGATGAACCTTTCACTAGGATCTTGGTCTTTGAATATGCATCAAACGGATCGGTCTTTGAACATTTACACTGTAAGCAAAAAAAGCTCTTTACTCACCCTTTAAGTTTTCTCCTTTCCTTAAAGATTTTAAATGGGGAACAATATTACCTCTTTTTGCAGATAAAGAATCAGAACATTTGGACTGGATAATGCGGCTAAGAATAGGAATGGGCGTAGCATATTGCCTTGACCACATGCACGGGCTCAAGCCACCTCTAGTCCACAGCAATCTTCTCTCATCAGCAGTTCACCTCACAGAAGACTACGCTGTCAAAATTGCGGATTTCAACTTTGGTTACCTAAAAGGCCCATCCGAGACAGAAACAAGCACCAACGCACTCATAGATACACACATCTCAGTCACAACCCAAGAAGACAATGTTCACAGCTTCGGTTTGCTGTTGTTCGAGTTGATGACCGGAAAACTCCCAGAGTCTGTTAAAAAGGGAGACTCGGTAGATACCGGACTGGCTGATTTCTTGAGAGGGAAGACTCTGAGGGAGATGGTGGATCCAACACTGGAATGTTTCGATGAGAAGATTGAGAATATAGGCGAGGTGATCAAGAGCTGTGTAAGGACAAACCCGAAACAGAGACCGATAATGAAGGAAGTCACGGGGAGGTTAAGAGAGATAACGGGATTATCACCGGACGATACTATTCCGAAGCTTTCACCACTCTGGTGGGCAGAGCTGGAAGTGTTGTCCACTGCGTGAAGAGAGAGTGAGAGAGAGAGTACTACTTTTGCTCCACAAGGTAACTGTAAGTATGAATATGAAGATTGTGTGAGGTTATTGTGTCTCTGTGGTGGAGCTAGTCGCTTCTCGTTAGGCTACATATATAAATTCTATGCAAGTTAGTTTTAAAAAACGGCTCTAAAATCTGGTCGATTCATGTCCAAGAGCACGGTAATACCCCTTTTTTTGGTGTGCATAATGTTAATGGTGGTTATTGTGTTTTTAGACTTTTAGTTATGACTTATGAGCAAACTCTTTAGATGTTTTAATCAATTCAGGTCGTAAAGTAACACAAGGTTTGTTGCTTGATCAGAGAATTTACATAATTGAACAATTTCAATTCAGATGAACCTTTTAATTGAAGAATTCAGATTATGCCGGTTACTTATATCGTTCTGATCCTCGGTACTGTTTGCGGTTTACCGGCTAAGTTTTGCGCGCGGCAACGGTAAACTCTTGGCAATTTCTTTCGAAAATGTTTTGCCTTTTGCAATTCGTTACAAATGCCTTTTCATGTTGTCTTAAATCAGTTGCAATTTTTTTGTAGCTAATAATAATTAAACATATCACAATGGAATATGTGTTTTTTATTCAGAACATACAGTATTGTTGACAAAAAAAAAACGTATTCCCGAAACAGAAGGAAATTAGAGTAAATTGGAGTCGACATGAGCATGGCCCCATCGGTGTAATCCAAAGCGATGCCATGTGGACGGTCAGATTAAAGATTGCATCACACGACAATCACACATCGTCTCTACACAATCATCAAATCCGTCGCTGCTGGTTGGATTAAATTTTTGTAAACACACTGAAAAAAAATAAAAATAAAAAATAAAAAACAGAAAAGAAGCAAAATCGTAGATTGAGAGCTTTGGGAGGAGAGGGTATATGCTTCGAGTATCTCTCCTTATCCCTCCTCCGGGTTCTCTTCAAAACCCACTCTCCTCCTCCTCCTTCTTCCTCTGTATCCTCCTCTCTCCATGGCTAATCCTCAAGCTTCTCCGATTCTCCATCACCAGAACCATCTCTCACTCTTCCGCTTCCGAACTGTCACTACCTCACTGCAATTAAGGAAGCCTCTTCTCTTTCTCCCTTCTTCTTCTTCCTATTCTTCTTCGTTTCCTTCTTCATTACCCTCGCAATTACCGCAGAGCGAGCAGCAATGTAATAATCACCAAGTGAGACGCGTGTCCACCGTGCCTGTGGAGTACTCGACACCTACTCCTCCGGAATCCGACGATTTCTCATCGGAAATCGATCGGCTTAAGGCTCTCCGATCGAAACTAGACGTTTCCAAGGACCTGCGGAGGAAGGAATCGGTCATCGACGCTGATTCCAGAGTTCGCCGATTCTTCAGCGAGAATCGAGGCGGTTTATCTAAGGTTTTAGCTTCATTTGGTTTAAATTCGAAAGAGATGTTTCTCGTCAAGTGTGTGATCGCGGCGGGGCAAGAACACGCGCTCTATGTGGGATATGAGGAAACATTTGAAGAAGAAGAAGAGGAGTATACAGTGAGAAGCTCGGTGAAGAACGCGCTTTACGCGTTGGTTGAAATGATAGAGCGATTCGATGTGAATAGTAGCGGCTATAAAGGTAGAAGAGAGATGGGTACAGTTTTAAACGCAGAGGATATTTCTCACTTTAGAAAGTTCCTGACGTTTCTGGGAGAAATCGAACAGTTCTACGACTGCATTGGAGGAATCATCGGGTACCAATTCTTAACCTCCTTTAGTACAGAAATTTGATGAACCCTTTAAAGGAGATGCCTTGAATGCTTTGGTTTATTCATTTCTAGACCTAAGGATAAAATGCCACTTCACTGCTGAGACATGCATGATTGTTTGTCAGGTATCAGGTTATGGTTCTTGAGCTTCTTCATCAATCGACGAAGAGGCATAATACTAACCGGTCACATCTTGTTGAAGAATCTTTTGGTTGCCAGTACTTAGAAATGCACACTCCTAGCGTTCTTGACCTCACTCAAGAGAAAGAGTATGCCTCCCAGGCTGCACTGTGGGGAATTGAGGTTAGTAATGTGTTATTGCCTTCAGTGTTAAATCGAATTTTGTTGAGTATGGTTCCTGGATTATAAGTTGTTATACATATTAGGGATTGCCAGACTTAGGTGAAATATATCCCCTAGGAGGTGCAGCAGACAGATTAGGTTTGGTTGATCCGGAAACAGGAGAATGCCTTCCTGCAGCAATGCTTACTCATTGTGGACGAACTTTGCTGGAGGGACTTATTAGAGACCTTCAGGTACAGGTTCACTAATTGCTTGAGTGAGTTTTGATTGTTTCTATCTGAATTTGAATGTATGAGCAACGGTATATGTTCATGTGCTTTAGTAATGTTATTTGGTTATCTTTTTTTGTAATTGCTAGGCTAGAGAGTTCCTTTACTTCAAACTTTATGGAAAGCAATGTGTCACACCTGTTGCCGTTATGACAAGTCCTGCAAAGAACAACCATGAGCATGTAAGTTCGCTTTGTAAAAGGCTCAAATGGTTCGGAAGGGGTCAATCAAATTTCCAACTCTTTGAACAGGTATTAGGAAATCTATATCTTCTTCTCATTTCTATTACCCTTTTCTGCAACAACTGTATATTGAGTATTATGACTCACAGTTAAAGAAACGGTTTTTGATCTCTAGCCTCTCGTCCCAGCTGTCAGTGCTGAAGATGGTCAGTGGATAGTATCAAAGCCTTTTGTGCCAGTTAGTAAACCTGGTGGTCATGGTGTAATTTGGAAATTGGCGTATGACAAAGGTGTCTTTAAGTGGTTTAACGATCATGGAAGAAAAGGTGCAACTGTTCGCCAAGTTAGGTTAGTGATGTTCCCTTTTGAAGTTGTGTGTTTATAAAATCAGAACTACCTGGATCTATATTGTTGATAATTGTGATATGGCAGTAACGTTGTGGCTGCTACAGATGTGACTCTGTTGGCCCTTGCTGGGATTGGTTTAAGGCATAAGAAGGTAGGCTTGTATAGCATGTTCGACACCCATTACTTGCTCATAGATTCAAAAGATCATTTTTATCACTTATGGATCCAAAAAGGATAAGCTTTTGATGTTGATTGCAAACGACCCCATGTATCACATAGTAATTATTTTGAGTGTATATGATAGATATGTTCCTTTGGAAAATTGAGCTATGTCATAGACCTCAAAGATTTTTTAGTTAAAATTTTGGCTTTGAACTATCTACTAAGATATGACTATGCTTTCCGAACATGCTTACTAGTTGAGAACAATTATTTTTAATGTATCATCATCTTTCTACAGTTGATTACCCACAAACCTTGATTTATTGAATCTTGATGTGACAGAAACTTGGCTTTGCATCCTGTAAACGGAATACTGGAGCAACTGAAGGAATTAATGTATTGATGGAGAAGAGGAATCTGGATGGGAAGTGGGAATATGGTATATCGTGCATCGAGTACACCGAATTTTATAAATTCGGAATTTCGAATAAATCACCTTCCTCAAGCAGGTGTGATATTTCTTTCATTGAGTTAGTTCATGTTTAAAATTGCTTATATCCGAGAACCGATTCATAGCATTTCCATTCTAGCTGAATAAAATGAGATAAATGCAATTTATTTCCTCTTTTGCTGTCTGTCTCTTTTGTTACTCTTTCAAGTCTTTTATTATTTATTCAGCTCAGAGTGTAGATCAAGATCGAATCATGATTTCTTTTTTACTTCTGTAGTTTGCAGGCTGATTTCCCTGCAAATACAAACATTCTGTATGTAGACTTACATTCTGCGGAGTTAATTGGGTCGAGCAGTAATGTAAAAAGTTTGCCAAATATGGTTCTCAATACAAAGAAGCGAATTGAGTACATAGATCAGTACGGAGACTATCACAGGTTTGTGTTTCTTAACACTTATGCTGACTGAGATTATCTGTATTCCCATGTTATCGTCATCATTCTTCAAGTCATATTTTGCTTCTAAGTAGAAGCCTCGGTCAAATCTAGACTGCAGCTTGTAGCTAAAACAGAATTCATTCCAATTTCTAGATCCCAAACTTTGAAATATATGCTTCAAATATATTTTAGGAGGTTTTTTAACTTTGTTTTATTGTTTTCCTTTCCGGGCAGCGTTATGGGTGGTAGATTGGAGTGCACGATGCAAAACATAGCAGACAATTTCTCAAATGAGTTTCCGTCTAGATGCCAGGGCAGTCTAGAAGGTAAATTGTTATTTCAATAAATTGAAATGTTATATGTATATCTGTATTTAGGTGTTACTTACTCTGTTAATATGATCTTACTAGACAAACTGGATACATATATTGTGTACAACGAACGAAGAAGGGTCACTTCATCAGCTAAGAAGAAGAAACCACATGCAAGTGCTGCACTACACCAGGTTATTTTTCTCTAATCACTCTCTTAGTCATTCCTTGTCTTTTCTTCGCCCCATTGCGTTGATTTGGCATTCAATGGAACTTATTTTTCCAAACTTATTTCTTTCTTAACAGACTCCAGATGGTGCACTGTTGGATATACTACGGAATGCATATGACCTCCTTACGGAATGTGATATTAAACTTCCCATGGTTAGTTCATAGATACATTTCTGTAAGTTTTAATTATCAGTGCTGTTTAAGAGCCATGAATGTTTTACATGTCAGTGTATCTTATCAATAACAGTTTCACATGGAGAATTAATTTTTTCATTCTACTTCTGCAGATTGAACCTAATGATAAATATGTGGATTCCCCACCTCCGTATCTCATCCTTCTGCATCCTGCTCTCGGTCCTCTTTGGGAAGTTTCAAGACAGAAAGTAAGTCAACAGTTTGTTCTTGACACTAGAAGATGCCGTCTGCTTTTTGTTTTTCATAAATTCTAGCAAATGCTTTATTATGATTAATCATATTTGATCATTGTTACAGTTCAAGGGAGGATCAATTTCGAGTTCCTCAGAACTGCAACTAGAGGTTGCAGAGTTCTCATGGAACAATGTTCAGGTTCTCAATATTTCAGTCTGCCGACTAGATTTGGCATAGCTTTCATCGTGTTGAGTTTTTTAAATCCTAAATCAGCTTATGTCGAATAGGTTGATGGTAGCCTGATCATCACTGCTGAAAATCCCATGGGTTCAACAACAATTAGCGAAAACGGCGAACCAATATTACAATACGGACTAAGGTTAGAGCAATTATTAATAATATTTTTGTACTTGAATATCTATTGAAGAGACATGTCTATTGATTTGCATATGTGAGTGAGTTCACATTAAAACTTTCTTTTGCAGATGTGGCAAGTGTAAACTGCATAACGTGAAGGTAGTGAACCGAGGAATCGATTGGAACAGTAAATCAAATGTTTACTGGAGAAACGATGTGAACCGGCTTGAGACTTGTAAAATCATATTGCACGGTAATGCAGAATTCGAAGCCAGCAATGTAACTATAGAGGTAAAGTAATATGGAAGTTTAATCTCCATGTGCAAAACAATGATTAGAGTGTCTGCTTCAAATCAAGTGATCTATGTACACTTTGCAGGGAAACCATGTTTTTGAAGTGCCTGACGGTCACAGACTAAAGATCACCACACGAGGTAATCAAGGTCAGTGAATCTTATCAGAAGCAATGGTAGATTCTAAATGAGGCCAAATTGACACTAATACCAGATTAATTGCACTGTTTGGTGTTTTAGATTTAGGTTTAAACATCGACCTGGAAGCAATGAAAGAAGAGGAAATGGAAACAGGAAGCTGGTACTGGAACTACCAACTCAATGGATCCCACATTCATCTTGAACAAGTGGAGGTTTCACAAAACTAACTCCCATCCAGTAATTGGGAGCTAGGCCTCCCAAAGTAGAAAGTTTCACGTAATATATGTTGCAAATAAAAGTAGAAAGTGTCCTTGCTGTAAATGTTGCCTGCCCCCACTTGTAAATTAAACAAAATGGTTCACCATCTATCTATCTGATGTTTCTTCTTTCAAAGCTTGAGAATCTTAAAAAATCACAGGTAGAAGAATTCATCATAATTGCACATGAATGCTTGATTTTAGAAGCCACCAATAAATACAGTGTTTACATTTACATTCAGGAACATTATCAATTTTCAACAACTTATGTCTCTTATCACTTACTGTTTTGCTCTCTGTAACATAACAATGGTGATAGATCGTCTTCTTAAGAATCAACAATCAACAATCATTGTTTCATCACATTATTAGTCTCATGAAAATCACGCAAAGCATTGCCCATTCTCAAGCCTCTCACAGACATCTCTCTCAAAACCAACTTGGCTTCCTTAAACCTCTTCCTCTTCAAAAGCTTACTAGCCAAACTCCCCAAATTCTCTTCATCCAACCTCTTATCTTTCCCGGCGTACGCCATCACCAACTCCACTCCCAGCGCATAATAGCCGCTCTCGATCATCTCTCCGATAACGTGCGCATGAGTGGCGTACAAAACCGGTAACCCTTCGTCCTCCATCCTCCTCAGAATCGCCATCGCAGCCTCCACTTTCCCCGACTTGCACGCGCCCAACACTAGCGCGTCGTAGGTACGCGTGTCCGGCGACATCTTTTCCTCCTCCATCTTCCTCAACACCTTGCTCGCCTCCGCCACGTCACCGTCGTAGCAGTGCGAGGTTAAAAAGTAATTGTACGACGTCACGTCCACCGGAATCCCTTGACGTTTCATCGATTCCACCACGCGCCAAGCTTCGTCGACCTTGTTTTTCTTCGTGAGCGCGTTTATGATCGGGTGGAATGTGCAAGATGTGAGGCCGCATCTCCCATTTGCCATATCGCCGATCAGGATCAGAGCGTCGTCGGTCCGGCCGAGTTTGCAGAGACGCGCGATGAGAGTTTCGTAGGCGTGCTTCCGCGTGTAACCGGCGTCCGTCTGTGGTAAAATGCGGCGGAGATCTTCGAGCGCGGAGGAGTACGAATCGGTGTTGGTCAGGAATTTGAAAGTTGCGGTGGTGTTGAAACAAGCGTTTACGACGCGGATGTTTAGGAGACGGCGAACGGATTCGAAATCGCCGGAGCTTCCTGCTTCGTAGATGAGGTTGTCGAACTCAGTGGTAGTACGACGACCAGAAGGAGCAATTGGATTGGTATTTACGGTGGAGATCGATCGAAGGAGAAATCTCGAGTTGGTTGCATCTTTAACGAATCGCCGGAGAAGAGACATCGTCGAATTTGTGAATGATTTTATTTTCTATCATTTCTCTTCTGCAGGGTTTTAGCCAGGACATTAAAGAAGATGGGCTTATTAGGCCCACAATTAAAAAAATAACGGAGCAATGTTAAAAAGCCTACCTATATGTGTTCACTGGTGTCATTCCTTTTCTCTAGGGCTTCTTGAATATATACTTCATCATATTTTGTCACTCACTGCGAAATCGTCGATTAGGGTTTTGTGAGAAAGAGAAGTCATGAGGGCTAAGGTAAAATATGATCTTGTTCCAGTCTTTCTGATTTGATTGTTTGATTAATCTAGCTCGATGATTCGGAAGTGTTCTCTAATTTGATTGTGGATCTGGTTGTGTTTTTGCTTTCAGTGGAAGAAGAAGCGTATGAGGAGGTTGAAGAGGAAGAGACGAAAGATGAGACAGAGATCTAAGTAGACAGACACATCTAATCTACAACTGTTTCGCTTTTTCCTTCCGCTTTTTGTTTCATTTGCTTCGGTTTTTCTCCCTGGGTTTCACCGAAATTTGATACTAATTTGTCTTGGTTTCAAGTTTTATGGAATACATTTGTGGTGTTGTTGGATTAATCTATTTTGAATTAATGATAAGCTTTATTATCTCCATATTGCTCTATTGCGTATCTAGTAGTTGATTCAAGCTATATATTTGTCGAATTAGTGATTAGAGACCGATCAATTTGCATGTGTCTTCTTTGAGGCTGCTTTAATTTCTGAAAAAAATCGAATCTCTTCTGTTTAGATTGAAATGATAGATTCATAAGCACTTGAAGATCTTTGTCTTGTTAATAGTCAACTATATATTGATCACATTCTTTGTCCCTTTCGATGGCTATGATATTTGAAAATTTATACTAGTTAGTAAAGGGGCTTTTGGGGGATACAATGATCATTTCTTGAACAGAGTCAGTCTTTTTTCTCACGTACAGATTATAATTTAACCAAAGCCTTAGATAATATTTTTCTCTTGTTTGTGATCTTGCAAATCTGAAACTGTGGATGATGAAAAGATGTGATCATCACTGCACATATAAATTGTTTTTAAGGCCTTTTGTAGATGCTGTTCTTGCCTCTCTCAGGAGTTCTAATTAGTACTTTTCCCTTGACTCTAGAATCTCACAATTAGTGTTTTACTAAAACAGTTATAAATAGATAGCATTAGCCGGCATTACTATCAAACATTCGAGCCTTGATGCTTAACAACTGTTGAAAATGTTCTTTTTCGAATACTTTGCGTTATAGTTCTTTCAAGAATAATATGATTATCACAAATCTCTAAATAATATTCTCGGTTCTTACTTTTTATAATCTGGTTCATCTTTCAAGTCTTCTTTCTTTGGTTATGGGTTCAAACATATGGATACATTTGGCTTTTTTCTTTGGTATAAGTAATCTATTTCCATAGCTGTTTTATAACAAAAAAACTACAATGTAAAGGTTAAAATTGAAAATATATCATGAAGAGTGAGATATGATGTAATAGCAAAATTATGTGTACTACTACTACTACACAGTATACACTCCACTCAAACCGGCTTTGCAAAGTGTTCATTTCAACTACACAACTCTCACTCTCTGCTTGATCGGTTACCGAAAAGTCCCAACATCTCATCTCTAGTTTTCGTTGAAGTGAATCCCACCGAGTTTCCAGACAAGAAAAGTAGTAGCAAACATCACCGTGCTAATGAACACAAAGGAAAAAGCGATGACGAGTATATCTGCGCTTCCAGGGAGATCAAAGGTAAGGCCTTTCTTTGGCATACCTCTCTTGCTATCATCAAGCATGTTGGTTGGTGCTTCGGGTAGACCCGGTTTCCTCTTTGATTTCTTATCACTTTCCTTGAGCACCTCCAGGATTTGGCTTCCCATTTTGGGTTTTGTTGGTTTCGGTGTCGCTTCCGTGTATCTGCTAAGCACACGAGCTGCTCTTAGTCTCTCTCTTGCTGTCAATGGTGCTCTTTTCGCAGTGCCATTACTGCCTGATTCAACGGATTCACTTGCTGCTTTACTTGAGTCCGAAGAGGAAGAATCGACCGATGTTGTTGTGATTGAATTGTCGTTTGTCTCCAAGCAAGATAGAACAAGACTCCTTTTGCTTGAAAGTAACAACCTTGTTGAACCATTTAAGGATATGTGGAACGCGAAAGGCGAAGGCTTTAACGGTGTAACTTGATGGGATCTGTTATGAAGCTTCAAAGAGAGAAGAAGATTGATTTTTTTGTTAATTTCAGCAAAAAAGAAGATTTCTGCATCCAAGAAATACAGAAAGCATTGGTTTTTGAAACGATATAATAGAGAGACCAATCATGTCCAGATTAATCTGTGGAATTGCACCAAAAATTCAAGGGTAATAAATGAAACCCAGTTCCAGGGAACGAAACAGTTTTCAATTTTACAGAGTAATTAACCAAACGAATTCATCCCAATTCAAGTTGTTCTGGAGCAATTATACACAGTCGTATGAGAAGACGAATCATCGAAGAGGAAGAGGAAGACAGCAAATACTTACCGGAGAACTGAAGCCGGCGTTGAGAGCGACGGCCATTGTGAATAGATGAACGTCTTTTTTTTTTAAGAGCGATGCATATGGAAGAAGACGAAGAGGGAGAAAGCTTTGTGTTTGTGGCAGTGAAGCTAAGCAGAGAAGAACCGAAGAGATTGGGTTCTCTTGTTCCACTCGCTATTACAGCGCGTGTAAAACACGTGAAATATGAAAATTGCAAAACACAACCGCAAATTTTTTGTTAAATTTTGGAAAATATGTAAATCTTTGTGTCTAGAAAAATAACTCTCTACCACTCATGTACAAACAAGTTAGAATTAAGTGCAGCATAAGCTTTTACATTTTTTCCCCTGCAAATAAAGAATGAATGGTCCACTAATCATTGACTTTGTAAGTGATTAATCGTTTGCATTGATGAGAGGACCCATCTAAACCGTTTGTCTTTAGTGACAGTTCACACATGTAAATAATTTCTTATAACCTTGAGCAAAGAGAAAAAAACAAAAATTTGCTTATAACATGAAAGATTTATTATGTGATTGAGAAATGAGAATATGGAAGACTTGGAAGTTTTTAGCTTTTTTTATATCTCATGTGGAAATGCTTTTGTATCAAATATAATAAATTTTGGGTATCTATCTATCTATCCATTCATATGTAAGTTAATATTGTCGTTGTTGTGAGCATTTACAATATTCAAAACAGTATCTTTCATTGATCGATCCAACTATGCAGCGATTACTAATTTTTAAATAAAACAAAAGTCAGAAATTCTGATTATGTCATAAAATATTGAAATCTCAACACAGGAACTATAAGACATGGTGTGGTGTGGAAACAACCAATTCCAGCTCAATCAAAATCCATTAATTTAATTTTATGATCACGACTGTACATGTCTACATAGATTATTCTAATCAATTAACAAAAGACTTTTACTTCTTCAGAAGACAAATGGTGTTAAAGCCAAAAGAATGTCGGATCTTCCTGAAGCTCATTTCGAAGCTCTTTCTCTTGCTTTCTGCTAATATATATTCTCTCCAACCACGTTGTGACTTCAGTGTTTGGTGTTGTGAGGTCAAAAAGTATCTGCAATGGCGACATCTTCCGGTGGTCTATTCGACGACATGAACGTGTTGGGAGTGATCGGATATGTACTGGAGCAAACCAGATTCATCTTCCTCGTACCGATTCTGAATCTGATGGTGAATCTATGCCAGGTCATCTCTCTGTTGTTGTTCATTGACGCAGCTTATATGGCTATAGTTGTAGCCATTGTCAAATTACGTGGACGAACACCAGAGAAAGTTCTCAAATGGGAATCTTTTAAGACCGATGACGTAGAGCTAGCTCCTTCCAGCAATCATCCAATGGTTCTCATCCAAATCCCAATCTACAACGAAAAAGAGGTGACTTTTGAATTTCAATCCAAAAAAAAAACAGAGCACTCTGTTTCACAAATCAGAGACTTTTGTTTCAAAACAGAGCGGCTCTGTTTCACTTAGTGATCATTTTTATCAACAGGTATGCCAACTCTCGATACGAGCGGTTTGCAAGCTATCATGGCCATTGGATCGGATGATTGTTCAAGTGCTCGATGACTCAACCGATCAACACAGTAAGGTCCTTTCGTTAAACCCGTTTGAAACCTCCATTGATCTTTGTTTCAGCCTCGGTTGTTACAATGTCTATAGTCTTTAAAAAATTAGGAACTGGTTGCATTGGAGTGTAAGAAATGGGCGAGCGAAGGTATAAACATAAAGTCAGAGGTTAGAGACAGTCGAAACGGGTACAAAGCAGGAGCACTCACTGCAGGAATGAAGCATAGTTACGTGGAAGGATGCGAGTTTGTTGTCATATTCGATGCAGATTTTCAGCCTGAGCCAGACTTTCTTGAACGTACCGTTCCTTTTCTTGCACACAACTCCGAGATAGCTCTTGTACAAGCCGGTTGGAAATACGGTTAGATCTTTTCTTCTACGTTTTGGAGTTAGCTAAAAGACCCGTTTTAGTCGATTTTGTTCAACTGATTTTTTTTGGCTTTTGGGTTCTTGCGTGGCAGTGAATGCAGACGAGTGTTGTATGACAAGAATACAAGAGATGTCTCTTAACTACCATTTCGCGGTGGAGCAAAAGTCTGGTTCCTCCGTACATGGGTTCTTTGGATTCAACGGTGAAGCATCCATATCAATGCTCTTGTGTGTGTTTTGTATTACAGTTCGTAATAAAGGTACGTATGTATACTTTAGGTACGGCTGGTGTGTGGAGAATCTCAGCTTTGACTGAAGCCGGTGGATGGCAAGACCGCACAATCGTCGAGGACATGGATTTAGCAGTTAGGGCTTACTTAAACGGTTGGAAGTTTGTGTTTGTCGACGACGTTAAGGTTTATAAAATCAAGAAACTTTCCTATTGTAAGAGTAAGACACAATGACTCAACCTTGTACTGTAATGATCTGAGAAAGTCTTTTTCTTTTTAGGTGAACAACGAGCTTCCGAGCTCATTTAGAGCATACCGGTTTCAGCAACATCGTTGGTCTTGTGGTCCAGCGAACCTCTTCAAGAAAATGGCCATAGATATCATCCAAAAGGAGGTTGGTTGATTACATAACTCCCCAAAGTTCTGATTCCTTTGGAAACGCAAAGCATAGTTCAAATGACCTTTTTATTGTTTTGATGCAGAGAGTGTCTTTATGGAAGAAGGCTTACTTGATATACAACTTCTTCTTCTTGAGGAAGATTGTAGTACACATCTTCACATTCGTCTTCTACTGTCTGATTTTGCCTGCAACCGTTACATTCCCGGAGATCGAAGTCCCCAAATGGACAACTATCTACATTCCAGCAACCATCACTATCTTAAACGCTATCGCAACACCAAAATCATTCTACCTCATACTCTACTGGATCTTATTCGAGAACGTAATGGCGATGCATAGGAGTAAAGGAACTCTCATTGGATTGCTAGAGACTAGTAGAGTTAAAGAATGGGTTGTAACACAGAAACTAGGAGACACTAGTACTCTAAGACAAAACCTCATTCCTCACTACAGCTTCCCCGAAAGGTTTGAAATTTCTTGTTCCTCATAGAGAATTATTCCACGTAAGTGTTGTTAGAACGATGATGGTGATTGTGATGTGTTTGAAATTTGTGCAGACTCCGATGGCGAGAGATAATGGTTGGGATGTATCTGTTCATATGTGGATACTATGACTTTGTGTTTGGGAAGACATACCTTTATGTATACCTCTTCTTGCAGTCCATTGCCTTCTTTGTTGTTGGAGTTGGCTACATTGGTATGCCGGTTCCGAGTTGATTAACGGTGACACGTTAACTTCTTCTTCTTCTTCTCTTACACATTCATTGTTTCAAAACGTTCGATTGTATAGAGATTATAAGATGTTGTTTTGTCATCAGGTTATACAGTTTAATTGGAAGATTTTTTGTGACTAACAAATAACAAAAACATTTGGCATCCTTTGCTTCCACCTCACTCTAAAGTTTAAGAGTATACAAAAACAGTTAAAAATCATTTCAATTTTATCCTAATAGACTCTAAGAACCAACAACAACAAAAAAAAAAGACAGGAAAAAAACATTTCACAATTACAATTCAAGAAAAATTATGAACATTAGGACATCAAAATAATAATTTTTTCAAGACACCAAGTGGAGCAACGAGAAAAATTAAGGGAGATTCCAAAATGTTTTTGCTTTTTTTTGAAAAACAAAAACATTTTTCTTGTTGTTGTCTTTTTAGGTCACGAACGGGAAATTATACGAGTGTAAAGGAACTCGTTCCACGTGTCAGGTAAACCGGGAAGACACCAATGGATACAATCGGCGTAAGTGTTTGGATCGGCTTGTTGCTCCGGCGTCAGCATTTTGCCTTGTCGGATTGTGTGAACCGAAGTGTGAGCATCTTTCCGGTATTCGGAGAGTCTCGTAATGTTGAGGAAGTAAACCGGAACTTTAAGAGAATGCGTGACGTTTTCCGCTACTGAAAACAGCCTGTAGTCTGTTCCTACGCTGAACGGCATTGACATGTTTAGGATCGGTGTCGTCTCCAAAGCACACTTTATCCCATCTGGATTCTCCCAATCCAAGCTCCTAAAGATTAAACCAACAAGTAATAAATTATGTTTTGTTAATTTAATGTTAGTATTTGTTAAGATAAACACATACAATTAAAATTATTATACGCGGTAGCTACACCAACTAATTAAAATAAAAGATTATAGAGTTTTATGTTTTATGCTAATTCTCTAGTTTTAGTGTGGCCTTTTTAGAGGACAAAGACTTGTTATCTCTTTTTCTGGTAGTTACTTGGTTTTCACGGTTCAATCATCTAAAAGGGTATTCAACAAAAAAATATTTCAAAAAAAATCTGGTATATGTAAATGATTATAGGTATTATGTGTTTTGGAAGCCAACAAAAGTATAAATATGTCATACTGTTAACAAAAGTAGAAGAATAACCTTAAGTGCCATTGTAATTGGCAATCTATCAATAACCTAAACCAAATTAAGAAGAACAAAAAAAATTAAAAAACAATGAACATTTTTCTATTTTGAATCAGTCATATATGAAAATCATTTTGGTAATAAAAAAGATCCAAAACACAATAATAATATACTACAATACTATTACTAACTCTCATTTATATTGAGCAGGTCAATTGAATGGATTTACTCATCTAATGACCACATATTAATCTCTTAAAAGTAATTTCCTGAAAATAAATAAAATGGTGACACTAGTCAAACATGGAGAGTGACCTCTCAATTTGTCAATTAACTTCAAATTGCAAGCAAAGCAGTGGATTAAGCAAGAAACAGTTATCTTAACATGTTTGCTTAAATGGTAATTAAGGATAATTAGAGAAATAAGGAAGAAGGATTTGATTACTTGATGTGGAGAGGAGACATGCTAGCGAAGAAAACAGTCGTATGTAGAGGATCAATATTTCGTTCCACCCAATCTCCCCAAGTCCTTAACACTCTCTGGTACGCTACTGGCCGTGCGATCTCTTCATACTCAGTGTCCCCTTTATCGAACGATCCTCGTCTGTTTTTCATCAAGTTACACAACTCTCAGTTCATAACTTTGTAAATTACATACACATATTAATGATACAGGCGATAGTATACTGTAGTAGCCACTTACAGGACTTTCATGGCGAATGTGTTCATCCACCAAATGTAAGTGTTGAATACAAGAAAGTCAACGCCTTTCCAGTTGACTCCATGCTTTTCGATGGACTCAGGCATTATTATACGGTTTAGTATACTATGCATATTTGGATCATCTGAATTCGATTCCACCAAAAATGGCGCCCAATAAAACTCCACCGTCGCATTATAATCCTTTTGTTTCGAAATCAAACAAAGAATTAGTATTAACTACTAGCAAAACTCCAAACTTTAACTACTCTCAAAATCAGCAACCCCACCAAATACATAACAAAATCATTAGTGGAAGTTTGTTAATTACCTCGATTCTGAAGACAGAGAGAGAACCGGTTTTGTTCAAGTTTTTTCGACCGGGAGGAGCCACTGATTGAACCAAACAGACCATTGATTCCCATTGGTTCCGGTTTAGCGAATCCCCAACGAACATCATTCTCTTGTTCCTTAGCTTCTCCAGCAGCAATTTCGCTTTGAACCTTCACCAAATCAAACAAAACAGAGACATTTTCTATTAATCAAAACTAAACCAACCCAATAATCGATTGAAAAAAACAGAGCTTTCTTGGTTTACTTTGGTAAAGAACAGTCTCTGGGTTGCCATCTCCAGTTCTGATACAGAGAGTCTCTCCTTCCATTCCTCATGCAAGTCACTTGCGCCGTTAAGAACTCACACTGATCCTCTTTGTATAACGGATGCGTCTCGTTATCGAAAACCCATTCTCCGGTGAACAAATCGCAGTCCTCCGGTGGTAGTTCCACGTCACCTCCGTCGTCTTCTTCCTCCGTCACAGAGAAGAGCTCAATCTTTTTCCCTTCCTCTGTTTTCGATACCTCCTCGTGAACTGGTTCAGCTTCCCTCGCTGAATCTTGATCCGGGTCTGAGTTTTTGACAGAGTCCTGAACTGGGTCTGCGTTCTTGGTCGAGTCTTGAATCGGAAGCACCATAATCTCTTTGATCGGTTTAGTAGCCTCCTCCTGGCTATCTTGGACGTCGCTAGGTTTTGAGCTGGAGAAAGGGAACTCGGCGATGGATTTGACGTCTTCGTTGTACATGAAGATCCCGAAGAGGAAAACAGAGAATACGACGACGAAGATCGAGAGATTACTGTTCTTCCTCTGTTTCATTGTCACTCCTGTTTCGAACAATGGGAATTTTCTTCTCCAGGGTTGCATCTGATTTAAAAGAATGAGTAGAAGAAGAAGAAAACAAAAAATCAAAAATCAAAAATTTTATCTTCGAGTCTCTCTAAAATGTCAGTATGTTTGTGAGGGAGGGAGAAAGATCGATGGGAAATATAAGAGCAAGGGATAAAGGATAATAAACTAAATAAATTTAAAATTTGAGAAATAGTTATTAGTTAACGTTAATTAGTTTTGTGATTATTAGTTTGGTGAGGTGGGTTTATCTTGAACTGGTTTTCAAAGGCTTTCAGGTGGAAATTTCATTTTTTTATTAAGCAAGTGCTCTATGGAAAAATGTAATCTCATTGATTCGCTTAACTAATCTATTTTTAAGTTGTTTTTTCAAGTTATTTTCAAGTTGTTGCTATAGCAAAGTAGAGTTTGGAGAGAAGAGTGGATTCAAAGATTCTAAAGATTGTCTCAATCCTCACCTAAAGAAAAGGACTATAGAAACAACAATTGTAGAAGCAGCATCTTGTTAATTACATTTACTTCAACACTTTTAGAAGCATACTTCATTTCATTTTCATTGTCCACTATATTATCTACTTGTATACCCCCAAGAGTTTATATTCAATCCATTTATATTTTTCGGATCATAGAATATAAAGACTTTTGTTTCTTTCCTAAACATATAGCTGTCTATTCAAAAACTAGGGTCAACATGAATTTAGCTTCTCAGGTGCCAGTTTAACTAAATATGTTTCAGCATTACTCACATTTTTCATAATCAGTTCTTAGAAAATGTAGATTAGTAGTACTAAAACCAAATGTGATTATGGGTTACGTCTATAATATCACTGTTGAGAATTCAGATCGAGATTCTCTTAGTAAATTCGTAACGTTTTTGCTAATAGAGCTAATGCCACTAGACGCAGTCTCTTTATTTTCTTCAGTAATGATGTTTAAATTAAATTTACGTATAATCTTTCGTTTTCTGTAACAATCATGCGTCCATCGCATGTTGAGGGTGAAGCATCCGTGTTCGTTAAGAGAAAATTCAACAAAGAGATATATACTTTCGATTTGCAAATTTAAAGGAAAAAAAAAAAAAGAGACGTCAAGAACTCAAAATGATATAAGAAGCTTTCTGTTTGGGAGAAGTAAAGGCTACGGAATCTCAAAACACACATATACAGTATATATATACTGCACCAACCATTACCAATCCATTTAATTTACAACATTTTCTGCATATATGTAAATTTATATATTTATTTTCTTGGCAGATCGATTGTGTATACTTTATTACGACTCCATTTGGCTTTAGTTGTTAGTTAAGTACTTGAATCTTTTCGCTTTGAACCAAAGCTAAAGGAACCCAACACAAACCTTTTGTATCCTTGTCTGTATGAGTCAGACACAAATCGGATAATATACTTACTACCCCTTTTTATTTCTATGATGATTTTGCTTGAAGTTCACCACGTGCGTAATGATGTATCTGAGGCACACGTGCGTTCGATAACATCTCTGCCATTTTCTTATTAGAAATAGAAACTTACATTTAAATTCCAATATTCCTTCACCATTCTAGGCATCCGTTAATTTGGTATGGACTGGCTCACTGGCATCTATGATTTGGTATGGACTGGATTGACTTTTTCGGTTATGAAAATACAAAAAAAAAATCTTTCATGTCTGGAAACTAAACTTCTTAATTTTCAAACGTAATATAACACTAACTCTCCAAACACACAGTGCATAAAACTGCCATGTTCCCAGGCTGATTCTCATACATCATCAAACTTTTTTTCTCGGAATGTCTTCTAACAAAAAATGATTTTTTGAACAAGTTTAGTAAACTAATTTAATGATTTTTTGAACAAGTTTAGTAAACTAATTTAATATAATAACATTCATATTACCAAGCTTGGTATAATAACAAACTAAAATTTTAAGAAACAGAGAAAAAGAAACCAAATGATTAAGTGTGATGAAGGA